CTGCCTCCCAGCCACCCCCCCAACGCCACCCAATGCTCCCATACCGTCGCGTCGCGCACAAGATAAGCATCGTGACGTCTGATGAAGAAAGGACCAGCGTTGAACAGCCGTGGTTGCCAATGTGGTGGCATTAGAGGGCCTCGCTGGCTGGCCCCCTTTAGGGGACCCTAGTCGGAGGACCAATTTGCTCCGGGAGGTAACGATTATTGATGGCAGTTTGCCAAGAATTTGGAGAAGAGGGTTCAGTGGGTCGCAGTCGCCGGCACACTAACCTCGAAAGACTCGAAAGAGCAACAGTCTCTCAGAGGCTGGACCAGCTGGAGCATCAATGCTTACTTCGTGTCTTGCCCCCCCCCCAGGTAGGGAGTTAGGGGTGACTGGGCCCCAATACTGTGGAGCTTGCTGCGCCGAGCGGTATCGCTCACAGAATCGTTTCTCCTCCTGGCTAGAAGATTCGTCTTGAGTGCTGCCCCTCCATCATCAAACGAGGTGATGATCCCTCGTGGGATGACATCGGCCCCCCCACCCCCTGGCGACCCTCGGACGTTTTCAACATCAATCGCCGTCCTCGAGAGGACATTGTTATATATGTCGTCGTACTATAGCTGATGGACACAAGAAGCCCCTTCTACGGATTAGATAGTCGGTATATTACGAGTCCCCTCTGGGATGTGAAATTTGACAAGATGAACACGGGCAAGCGTCGGTCCAATATTGGAGGCTAATATGGTCATGGCCCGGGCCCGAGAAGAACCAAGAATCAATATCCTCAAATTGATGAGGGGTAAAAGGAAGACCAAAAACGGGTTGGGCAGAAAAAGTGTGGTTGAGCAATTGAAACATTGGATCGCAGCTAGCCTGGCCCAATGTTGTTTCGTTTCTCTGAGGAGGGATTATTCTTGTGTGTTCCTGTGGGTGCCGGCCGGCTTCACACAGTTTCACCCCTACCAATTGGGTATGAAGTCAACGGTGGCTGGGACAGGATGCTGAACGGCGGTCGGAAGGCGGGGAACCGAGGAGTGACAGGACAGGGGCGGCTACAGGGAACTGTGAAATAGGACTCCTCAGAAGCTCAACTGGGGATGGCGGCATCCTCAGCCCGACATGCTACAGCACAAGCTCGATTGAAAAGTTGTGAGGAGCTCTTCTGAAACAATGGGATTGCGACGGAAGGAGAGTAGCCCAGCAGGAGGGCAGGGTTCAAGGCATGAGAAAAGAGGACAACTAACCCGAGATGGGTGGTCTGAAATCCCGGCAGGGGCCTGCCGACATGGTGCTCGGACTCGAAAGTTGGTAGAGCCAATGAGATGCCGATGCAGCCGGGCAAATTCACGAAATTCACGTGACATCAAGAGCCACTTGCGCGAATCATTGCTTCAAAGGCGCCATTTCAGTCCCAGGGCACAATTCCGGAGCGACGAGCTGCAGCATGGATTTATTACGTAGTTCCTGGCCTCATGGCCCAGTTGCCTGGTCGGTCTTAATATAGGATAGTTCGTGGGCTTATTTATCCCTTACTTGACACGACACTCAGACATACATGATCAGAGATCAGGAAAAAGAAAGGAAAGACGAGGGGAGACGAGGGGAGACGAGAGATAAGCCGGGTAGGAACGCTGGTGTGATCAATTGGGGCGCGGTAGTCGAGGTAACTGAAAGAAGATGCCCCTCATGCTGGTGTAACCCTGGTGATGAGACTCGAGACTCGGTGAGATTATGACGACGAAACCCTGAAGTCACAACTGACAACTTCCCGACTCTGCACCTTTTTTTCTGAGTTTGCGCCGCTGCCGGGCCCAGACCAAATTGAAAGAAGGAATGGGACTGTACATCAATCCCATCTCAACTTTATACCTTGCTATACGTCTGTTTCTAAGACAAGGGAAAGTTACCTAATGGAATAAGAAGCAAGTGAGCCAAGCACCACCAAGCTACCTACCTACCTGGGTTGTCAGATATTGCCGAAAAAGCAAAGGCGTCAGACGTGATGAGACGACTTTGTTCGGGATTGCGATTCTCGTCACAGTCCCATTTCCCGTTCCTGAATGTCTAACGACTTCTCAGCGGTTCTTGACTTTGCTATCTTTTTGATGCCTCAGTGCCTTCCATTACTAGCCCTAACCCTTGTGGCTTCCATGGCAGAAATAGCCCGGGTGATAAGGTGTTGAACTCGGAAAAACCGACATACTCGTAACTTACGGGATATGCACAAACGAATTATACACATCTTTTGGAGTTTGGACGAAGTAGTGAAAAGCTCGCGGGGAAGGATGCTTTCTACCTTAGCTTGCAGCTGTAGCCCCCTTGGCTGCGCATACATAGTGTATTTCCCATGTCGATCCAAAGCCGCCAAAAGTCGCTTATGAATTGGGTGGCTACTGTTTGTACCACTCCCTGTCGTGAGGTTATCGATATAGGTACCGGCGCGTCCTGCCCTTCTACCTGTGGTACCTAGGTAGGTCGAGGAACAGAGGATCCACTCCGCCCCCCCAAAAAAAATACTGTAGCAAAAAAAATTGTCAAGAATACCCCGGCCAGCCCCACACCCCGCGTGCCAAAAATTCCCGCGATATTTGAGCTACACGTACCTAGGTACCTAGTCCACAGCGACCGGATGGGGCGGGCGGGTCAGTAGCCTGTCCTAGGACTCCACCCGACTGGATGCTGGCCAGGGGGCAGCATGCATGTCTCTGATTCCTTCCCGTCTCTCTGATTGAGACCCACCAGGCGCATGTCTCGTTCGCTCACTTTCTCTCTTTCTATCTTTTTGGGGCCCTTCTCTCCCAAGTCAGGAATGAGCATGACAAGTACCTACCTAGCCTGGCGCCACACATCCCGTCCACCCGCTTCCCCCGCCCACTTGCATACATTTAGGTAGGCAGGTAGCGGAACGTGTTGGTGTAAACGGGCGGTACGCACTGCTACTCCTCCTGTCGAACCCCGCGATGAATGTCAGGGGTCTGGCCCGAGGAGACAAGGAGGACGAAGGTGGAAAAGAGGTATACACAGTAAACTACATATATCAGTTTAACGTTAGGCTAGCACGTGGGTAGCTACGGATCCGTCCTTATTCTAGGGCCACAGGGTTCCCCTGCCCGTTACCATGGTATTTTGCAGGAGCTCTAGCTGTCAAGTGTCATCCATGTCAATACGAACTGTCTACCTACCCTGCATACACACAGTTCAGTATATACAAAGGTACAGGTATTGTCTACTAAGTACCTATCTACACGTGTAGATAATCCATGACCTCCATATTATCTGCTGCGTACATGGTGTAACCCAGCGGCCAGGCCTCTCCTCTTAGGGTCTCTGTCATTACCCTATTGAGACAAGGTCGGTTAAAAAGTTGGCGGCCAGAAGGCCAGGGGTCCTAAATCAGCCTACATATACACTAGCGTGGCTAGGGACGTCAACCAGCCCTAGTGTAAGCGACCTGATGGTGTCTGTCTACTTCGAACCTCGATACTCAGGCTCAAATCTCCCGTGGTCCGTCCCATGTATGTACTGCGGTAGCTGTGTATTGTATACGTACACATGTGTCTAAGTACCTCGAGTCTCCTGGGACACCCATGTACACAGGTTCCCATCCAGCTTCTCACCGCGACCCACCCCTCGGTAGCTAGCCCTCGATCGACCATCCCCGACCTCGAGGCAGTAGTGTACAAGTCCACTGGGCAGCAGGTAGGGTAGGGATGGTTGTTTTCTCGCTCGCCGCCTTCGTGACTCTTTATAACCGTCCTGACGAGCTCCTGGGAACCCTCTCTTCCCAGGCTTCCTTCCACTTCCTCCAGGCCCTGCTCCCCCAATTGACCTCGCCTGCCAGTCCAATTGCAACGGCTCAGGGGCGTGCGTGCTTTCTCTCCCGCGATACAACGGCAACCCAACTGCGCAATATTGTCTGGTCTTGACTGCGTGACTTGCATATCGAGCAGATCGTCCTGCCTGCTCATCGTCTCTTCTCGGCCTTGCCCAGAGGGTGAACGCGGACGTGCCCTGCTTCCTGCGAGTGGTGTGCCCGTGCGCTGGACTCGACCCTCCCAGGAGCCCTTGCAGATATTATTTCTACATCCCCTGCGTACCGAGACTATTCCTTTTTCCAACGGCGCTCCTGCGTGGTGGTGCTCTCGCTGCGATCCTACAGTACCTAGTATTTGTAAGGTCACCCACCAGCCTGCAGCAACACGACGGCCTCGACCTAATCAATTTCTGTAGCAGAACCCTGGCCTGGCAGCTGCGCTCGAGCGTTCTCTCCACCTGAACCACCTAAACCTGGACCTGCAGTGGATCAAGGGGAGAGACCAGAGACAGAGTGTGCAGGGGAGCGCTGCTACCCACGCACCCACGCAACCCTAGGAGCCACCCCCGCCCTCGACACCAACGGCCATCCAGGAGAGAGAGAGAGAGTGAGAGGGAAACATTCTGGTATAACTGACGCCTCCCATAATACATACAGCCTCATTAAACGCCACGAGGTCGCTCAATGCATACTTGATAATCCCCTCCCTTAAGAGAGACCTGCTCATCTGCCCAAACCAAACGGCCACTCCTGTCATCCACCTCTGTGCTTATACATAAACCACACAAGGCGCCCAATCCCCCTCGTGGACGACATCCAGGAAGCCCTGTTCTTGCATCTGCTTCTTGCATCTGGTCCCTGTGTTCATCATCATCAAGGAGACTTGATCCAGGATCCAGTTCTAGAAACATAACCTTCTCGAGAGAACCCAATCGTCGCCCTCCTTGCCGGCAACTACCAGTGGATTCCAAGGTCTGCCACTTCCGAGTACCAACGAAGAGAGCCACGCTCCTCCGTCCTGTTCGGCTCCTGCTTGTTCTTCAACTCTACTCACTGTGGATATCAGAGCGGACTGTGCGCTTGCCCATTCCACATCGGTATCAGCAGGAAGCAGCAGAAGAAAGAGAAGAAGGAGATCACAATAGCTCAGAGCGACGGATCGACCCTCGACGAGTTCCACAAGACAAAAGTTGAGACGAAATAGACGCTTCGCCCCATCACAAGTCTCAGCAACGCGGCCAAGAGAAGGGGATCGATCTGTTCTGTCCAAAACGCCAAACCTGCACCTCGCCTCCCCGTCATGCTTCCCGTTTGAGCAGCCTAACACACGCCGGCGCTTTTGCAACCAGCAAGTTGTATCTCAAAACAAAAAAGAGCGGCAGACCTGCACGACAAGTCCCCGCCCTGCACTAAGGTGGGCAGCCACTTGCACCAGCCCATCCTACATTCGGCACTGCGCTACAACCGCGCTGCAGCCGCACTTCAGGTACCTACTTTTTTCTGGGCAGTCCCCTCTTGTCCCGCACGCCCACCCTACCCTCCACTGGCCTGTGGCCTAGATACCCATCGGTCTCGATCCCGCTAGTGGCCACCCCAGACCCCCCAGCCAGTGGCGACGAGTCCTTCTCGTTCGTACCTGGGCGGAGAATTTTGGTCCTCGTGCACGCACCTTGCCTGCCCTCTCCGGTCAGGCAGGTGCACTCTGGACTCATAAACAACTGCTTTTCCTCCCCCTTCGATCGCATCTGCCCCCCCCCATGAGCCACCCGAGACTCGAGCTTGCCCTGTCTCCGTCTTATATATACCCTACATCTTCCCTTCCCCTCGGTCGTGTGTTGATGTTGCCGTCGCCGCCGCCACAGTCGTCGTCGTCGTCGTCGTCGTCGCGTTGCTGACTGGGTTCCCACACAACAGCTTCTCCATTCTACCTTGTCGTCGGCCTTGTTCTCGTCGTTCTTATCCTGCAAGGATAGAGCCATACCGGGGCCCCGCCTACCGCGTTCCCACTTCTTGTGCTGCGGGTCCTTCAGCATAACTGCGCTGGACGCCTCGCCTCCCTTGAGTGCCTGGAGAGCCTCCTTACGTTTCTTGCCAGCATACACACCCTGATCCAGTAATCCTGCGTGCGGTGCCTCAAACGGTCCACTCTGGACGACGTTGTCGCGGAAAACCCACATAGTTTGGTTGCATTGAAGAAGATCACGCTTGCACACAGTTCCGAACCAGGGTAATCGCCCAGCTCGAACCACCCACACCCAGCTTGAACCGGGCCCTCCCCCCTGTCCTGTTCAGCCCGCATTTTTGCTTAATTCTCATACTCGCAATCCACTTCGAATCCACCCGCCACCCTCTCAGAGAGACTGCTCTCATATAAGTAGCGTCAGCCGCTCACGATCAGATCAGCAAACACACGGTCCCAGATCGATCTTCAAGACCGGACATATCAACCACAAAAACCAAGCAAACATCACCAAACAAATTCCCGGGGCCGAAACCCCCAAAAGAGATGGAACTCATGGAACTCGTGGAAAACGAGCCTACGGCTCGTCCTTTCCAGTGCGACTGGCAGTCATGCAGTAAGGTGCGTCCCGTTCATCCCAAATGAGCATCTCTTTCTCCCCTGTTGCCCTCCATCTCGACGCCGTGAAGGGCTACTGACCCAGCAACAGAGCTTCAACCGCAAGTCAGACTTGCAAAGACATTATCGCATTCACACCAACGAGAGACCTTACTCGTGCAATACCCCCGGATGCGGCAAGAGCTTCATCCAGAGGAGCGCTCTCACAGTACACATCCGGACACATACCGGTGAGAAGCCTCATCAATGCCAGCATGTCGGCTGCGGCAAGCGCTTCTCAGATGTATGTGCAAGACCCATGGCCTCGCGCCAATGGCAACCCATGCCCGTGAGAAGAGACCGTAACTGACTTCAGCATAGTCTTCGAGTCTCGCAAGGCATCGTCGGATCCACACGGGCAAGCGCCCGTACAAGTGCGCCCATGATGGCTGCTTGAAGAGGTTCGCTTGAACTCGCTCTGGACCCTGCATTTGGCTGAGTGATGCTAACATGTACGCAGTTTCTGCCGGAAGACCACAATGGTGAAGCACCAGCGGAGGTCACACCAGCGAGGCATCCACTCGTCGGAGCTTGATGACTGCACCTCGGACTCGGGGAGCGAAGACTCGCCCTCGACACCCAAGAGCAGCATCATGCAATGGCCGCCTCAGGGTGTCCAGATGATAGGACCCCACGGCCAGACCCTGCACCGCGCTGCCTCTTTCGCCGACTTCGGCCAGCACATGAACAGCTTCGGCATCCAACACCCGTACGGTCACCGCCACAGCCTATCGTCGGGCGGCGCCCACGAGTACCACGGCCTTCCGCAAGTACACCACCTCCAGCAGCCGATGCACCCCCACGACCAGGCCCAGCAGCAGCAGCAACAGCAAGGAGTGCACATGCTCCAGCGCACCGCAAGCCTCCCGCAGCACACTTACTACATCACTGAACAGAACAACCCCGGCGTCGCCACCATGAACCCGCACCCGCATCCGGCCTCTCAGCCTCCCATGCAACCACAGTACCACCAAATGCCGCGCCAGGGCGTCGAGCGCTTGCCCCTCGAGATCCCATACACCCCCAACCCGGGCCTTTCGGGCAGCATCCAGAGCAGCCCGAGCAGCTTCTCTGCCGCCTCGGGTCGCAGCCCAAGCACACAAGACGGCTTCTACACCCACGCGCCCACAGCACAGGCCGCAACATATGCGCTGCACAACGCCTCGCCCGTCGAGCAGCAGCAACCGCACATGGTCGCCTACCAGGGCCAGATGACACCCCAACCCCAAGTCATGACCCAAGCTCCGACACCTCAGCAGGTCCAACAGGCGACACCCCAGCCACAGCCTGCGCCGGAACAATACCATCCACCACAGCCCCAGCCAGAGGAGCAGGGCTGGTATCACAGCGTCCCATATCAGTCGCCCGTCGAGGTGACAGCCATTGGCCAGATCGCCTACGGCAACGGCGTCTATGACCCGTGGGGTCCCAAGATGGAGTTCGAGGACCCGTCGATGCAACTGCCAAGCGCTCGCATCGAGAACATGTAATACCACCACCGCCACAAAAGCGTCGGGCTTCGTTCATCGTCTCTTGTTGTTCTTGCGAATCCTTCTCCTTCCTGCTTCATCCCCATGTCACAGCATCGTATAATCATTGTTAATCATCACCGCACCAATACCCCATCGGGGGCCTTCCAGACGGAGCGCGGAGGGGCCCCTTGTACCAACACTGCATTTGGGCTGTTTTTGTCTTTTCCTTTTTGCGTTGCGTTTCCTTGTTTTCTCTTTTCGACCTCCGGGTCCTCGGACGTAATGTGTTTTCTGTGGCTCGTCCACCAATCGAGTCGATATGCGCAGAGCTGTATCTGCATCTCCTCCTTTGCATTCTGCATGTCGTCGACGGGGAGGTGCCAGCTAGGCACTACCAGGCCACACACTTGCGCCGAGTGTGCTTGATCCATGGCGTCGAAACGGGGGATGATGGTCGCATTATCCCACCCACGCGCCACATGTTCTTTGTCCACCCCCTTCCTTCTCCTCCCTGTGAAGAATGAGGGGGACGACCAGAGGCCTCGACCATGTCGGCGACTCTTTTTTACCCCTTTAATTTCTGGATCAAAACTGCGATTTCTTGCATTCGAATTTTGACTTCGATGTGTTTCTGGATTTTCCTCATCCAATCCAGAGAGTTCGAGGCCTTCAGATTCGGGGGAAGTTGACTGCCCGGTATAACGACGTTCAACAACGAATGTCGAGGGGAGCAACTTGGCACTGAAGCCGGCATCAACCATATCCTTAGGGGAAGCAGCATACCACGGGCGCCGAGGCACGCACGGGACGGGATGGGAGGGAGGGGTGAACAGGAAACATGGATGGTTGAAGTGAACGAGTGAATCCGACATTGTTACGACATCCTGATCTTTACGGCCGCCTTCATGTCTTATGATATCTTGTGGAGGATGATGAGAAGCGGAGAGGGAGGTGAATGGGGGGGCCAAGGAACGAGCGAGCGAGAGTGGATGAGAAAGTGATGAAGGTCAGGCAGGGAGGATATTCCATCTTTCATTAATGAGGATGATGAGGGTGGCAGGGAAAGACAAGTGGAAACGGGAAATAAGAAAAAGGAACGCAAAAGACCATCGGGCGGGCCAAGCCCATCATCCCAGGGTGATTGGGAAGGAAAGACTTGGGTGTGGGTAAGACAAAAAGTGGAGGGTGGGTAAGAGTGGGGAGAGCCACGTCGACATCCCGTGTAACAACAATATGAAGGAACTACCAACATACCTGCACCGGCGATTCCCCTATCATTTTCCCATTCTTCTTCTTCATTGTCATGACTGACACAACGGTGCCTGGCTTGGGGGACACGGTGGAAGGATCTTGTCAATATGTGTACTTTAGTTTCTTTTTGGTACTTAGTCCTTGCTTTGTATTGAGGGTTTCGTTATATCCCAGGCCGTATCGCTTCGAGTTTGCGAACGAAATAAAAACCTGATCAGAACTTCATGTTGCCCTGCTGTGTGTGCCCTGAACGGTGATGATGTGAATGTGTTTGTTGGTTGACCCTCGGGTTCAGCGAGGTCGACGCTTTAGCCGGTTCAGACAGGTTTAATGGGCAAGGACAGGCAGAGTGAGGAGACAACCTAGAACATCTGTGTGAAGCAGAGCGAGCGAGGTTTTTTTCTGTCCTGCTCTGGTCGGGCGCCTGGATTATATGGGCTTTTAAGGAGCTATTATTCATTCACTGGCATTTTCCCCGAGAGGGGCGTGAGTGCGAGAGTGGAAGGATCAATAACGTGGCATAAATGTCGATATTTGGCTCAAGTGCCACCAGCGTCAGATGCGGTGAAGATCCCCTGGGCCTACGCGAATTATTTGGGCTGTTGCAGGCCGGCAATCTTGGATAATGTCGTCGGCCGCTCAGCATCCAGCAGTGAGCTGACCAACTGGTGAAACCAGAAGTGGCTCGCAGATGGGGAATATGGAAGAACACGACCTGCAGCACGGGCGATCAGAAAATAGAAGATTTCAATGCACCCAGCCAGGAAGGCACTGCCGCATTCGTTGGGCCGTGATGTACGGAGGTACAGAGTATGTCGATCTAAGATCATGACGAGGGGTCTTATCTCGGTAAATCACGTGCGATTCGGATGACTTTGGCTTTTTGAGGTTCCATTCCATGTGAATTAATAAGATTGTCGTCGAGCCTGGTCCAGGCTGATTGCTTCGGTCAAAGTACAGTACCCATAAGAATGCGTGGGCAGTCCGCTGGTCCCTTCTTGCATTCGGAATTTGCATCTGTGGTACCTCCGATTTCCGTTTTCGGTTCTCCCTAGTTCCGGAGATCTGCTATTTGCACATGCCCGGTCCGCGACCCACTGCAATTACGTCGATCGCACGTAGGCGGCAGGTACCGTAAATAATAGTTAACAGCCGGTCGGGATCAAGCGACAAAGCGCCGCCCCATTCCATTCTTCCCGACTGTCAGCGTCTTTACGAAGGATTTGTTCGGGACTAGCAGCTGATTTACCCAATCTCACCTGAAGCGCAGAAAGCCACAATCGTCGCAATTGATCGCTCAGCCCAACCACATCCACCCCCCCAACGATCCACCAGATGCGCCCGTCTAACCTCCTCGTCCTGGGCCTGGCGACAACGGCCCTCGCCCACGGCGATCACGGCGGCGGCGCTGGGTCGGCGAATATCCCAGCGGTCGACGAGAATGCGGACTGGATGACGAGACACATGGCCGGTAAGGTCTCTCACGCGAGACACGCGACCGTCCTGCGCTGCGTGGTGGGTCGAGGCGGTTGGGTGCAGCTCAGTGGCTAACGTTTGTTTCCTCTGCCTTTCTTCACGGCTGTAGAGGAGCACCACATAACCGAGTTCGACCCCGCGTCCTTCTTCGCATTACACGACTACGATGCCGACGGTCGGTGGGAACCCGAGGAGATCATGCGGACGTACGGCTTGATGGACGAGTCGAACAAGGACGTGTCGCAGGAGCGGAAGGACGAGATTGTCCGCGAGGTGCTGCGGCTGGCCGACCAGGACCAAGATGGGGTGGTCAGCCGGGAGGAGTTCCTGTATATGATTCGCTTCGGAAAGACTCTGCCCGACTTCGGAACGGGGCCCGGCCACCATGGCGACGACGAGTACGAGTATGAGATACACCATTGGGAGAAGTGAGTCCTCCAAAGGGCCATCCGGGATGAACCCCCTGAATGTTGGCATCCTGGATGCTAATCTGATCGAGCAGATACCACGACGAGAATACCAAACTGGAGGACCTAACACACCCCGAGGATATCGAACACTTCAGGAAGCACGAAGAGATGGAGGCGGAGGAGGAGAGGATGGAGGCAATGGCGAGAGAGTCCATCGTGGAGGCAAATATACCCGACAAGTTCAGGCGAGACAGGGGCTAGGTAGCCGGATAAGGCGCGGCCGTGGCAGGGTTCGGCCCATACATCCACACATAGATGTGAGATGCTCTTGTCATGTAACACTAATAACTGCGACTAGAGATTGTAGTATAGACATCAAAGACACAGTGCCAGACATCTGGAGCAAATGTCTTGACCTGTTCAACATGTTCGACGCTAGCGATCCTGTTTTGCCCACCGAGCCTCGCCCAAGTGTCAAATACCTCCTGAATCTCTTGTCGACGGCGTTGAATATCAGCAGCTCCGACATTTTCGTGCAGATGCAACCAGCCATCACCTGCACCCACAATAATCGACCACGCCGGCTCCCAAGTCTGCGCGCTGGATGGAAGGAGGCCGCAGTTGACGTGCACTACATCCATCTCCACCGTCGATGCTATCCTAAGCTCCTCGATTCTTCGCCTCGCGTGTTGGTTGTCTTCGAGGAAGACGACGATCCGTTCCCGGCCAGTCACCAGTTCCGCCGTCGGCAACGCAAGGTCGGCGCCCTTCACCACCCGAACGGGCCACCCATTTGCGTCGGCGCCTCTCCGCAGGCCCTCGACGCTCCACGGGTTCAGTTCCCAACAGAGCACCCCGAGGCCGAGCCTGGCATAGGAGAAGACGAAGTACCCGATCCCCGCGTAGAGATCAACAGCCCACTTGTCTCTGAGACTCGTCCTCGGGCGGACCCTACGGCTGAGATGTCCCTCCTCCCGGTCACCGGTAGGCGTGGGCGGCGGCGCATTGTGGAATGCTAGGAGACGGGCCTTCTCCTTGACATTCCCCCGGCTAAACATGGTCCATCGCGGAGCCCAGATCTGCCGTATGCCGTTCTGCTTGGTCGACACCCAGAACGCCGCTTCAAAGTCCTCTTCCGCGACGGCATCCCGACTCCCCCGCGCAATAGGGGTATCGGGCCCGAAGTCGCCATAGAGCATGCAAAGCCGGGTGGGGCGTCTTATGACGTTCTCTCTGGCCAGAAGCGGAGCAGCAGGACACAGCCCCTCCCCATGGCTCCTCCTGGGATCTGCAGCCGTGCCTTCGGGCTCGGACTCAGTCTTCGCGATTTGGAGGGGAATGCCTTCGTTGACGGCCAGATGGGTCAACGGCTGTCTTGAGCCCTGCGAAATTTCCGTCAAGATGCGGATCCAGAGCGCTTCAACCATGGGCTTGTCAAGCAGGCCTATGGTCTTCCATATGCCTGTGGCGAAGCTGTTGCTTGGCAGCAGAACCATTGGTTCGTAGACGACCCACCTTTTGGGGCCATCGGCAACGAGTGCCCTGCCTATGTCATCTGGGCTTTGCCCTATCTGCTCCAGAAACGGAGACGGTAGGGTAGAGGTCCATGAGAGAATCCCCGACGAGACAGGGTTGTTCTTTCTTTGCGGCGGCCTTTTCGACTTGGCTGTCGGTCGCATTCTAGCTACCTAGTTGAGCTAGAAAATCAGTTCTGTGCCAAAGTCTAGCCCTGCAAGTCCTCAAGCTACATGACTCTTCACATGCGCAGCTCACAAGTAACCTCACCGTTTGTATCGAGAATTGTCAGATCCGTTTCGGTTAGGGCTATTACTCTTGAGCATTACTTTTTTCCCGTTTCGCAACATGTACTTCCCAGGTAAGCATAGATACGGGAGGAGGGAGAGAAAAAGTGTAATAAAAATGATTTATATCCCACTTGAAGAGAAAGAGGTTAAGAAAAGGAATATGAAAAGAGGTGGGGCGACCAAAGCATCCCGGTCATCCGATCTAAAACTCGCGGCCCGCGTCTTGGCCCGCATTGACCGGGATTCATCCTTGCATGTCTTGAACTTCCCATCATGACTGGCCGAGGTTTGGAGACGGTACGGGCTGAGCATCTACTCGGAAAGGGGGGTGATAGAAAGACGGGCAGATCCATGCATTGATTTCCTACATATTGTTCCGAAGCAGTGTTCGGTTTGTTGACTGATGGCGGCCGTCAATGCTCGACTCGACTCGTGCCAGTGGTGTCCTGGCGGGTGTGAAAGTTGCCCCGGAGTCACACGGGAGCAGGATTATGCTTAGAGGTGTGGAATAGGGTGGAAAGGAGAACAATAAACGTGCCAAACAAGTAACCATGAAGAAAGGAGGCAATATCTTGACGTAACCGCCCCCTCCAACCTCCACATCTGACGTTGAAGTTTCCAATTGAGACGTCAAGCGGGCCGACTGACTTTGTGCCGTCAGTAACTCGTATGCTCGGAGCTTCGTTTTGTCGACCTGCCGATCTGGGACGAGCTTGGCATGCTCTGCATTGGCTCACGAGCATCATTCGACGTCAAGGCATGGCGCGATTATTGCGACCTGTCGAACAAAGCATCATCGATCAGCAAGCCACGTAGATGCTCCTGAGTTGAAAAGGCGGCGGTCGATCGCTCTCAACGTGGGCACCTGACCACGGCACGGCAACTGCACGGTACCACATGCGGGTAGTGAGACCTCGTCTGCCGCCGCCAGAGTCCCGGAGATGGCCTACCTTGCGGCCCAGTTTGCAAGCAATCAACCGGTCGGCAGCACGTAATATGGTGTGGCCACTCCTGGGCCAGTTAACTGAACACTGCGGGCCTTGGCTTGAGTCGGTTTAGGAATACAGGGCGCCCTCATGACAGCTGAAAGAACAACATTGACTTCTGGCGGTGAAAGACTAGACGTCTAGAGCCTTCAACGTACAGCTGGAAAAAGCAACAATGCTGGCGTCTTGTAGGCTTCATCCCAACTCCCGTTACGTCAATACGAGACGTGAAGCCGCGTTTTGGAGCCACCGCCGGTGATCTCGTACGGGAGAATAAGGGGCTTGCAGACGATGATGCTGAATGATGTTTCCAGTTTGCTGTGTGCTAAACCAGCGGTGAGCTGGGTTACTGGACGTTCGAGTTACACGCGACAGTCCTTTTTCAAATTATACCGAAGACTATTGCCCTTCGGCCAACTTTCAGCATTCAATAACAGAGCAGGGGAGGGAGGAGGCCTAGTTGCCTGAGCCAGCGTAGACGTCAAGTATAAAAGGAGTCGACCCCCCTATTGTCTTGTGACCCATCCGGCAGAACACCAGCTCTCTCTTCACTCTTGCAAGCTCTATCAGCACCAAATCAAGGCAACCCTGCCCTTCAAGACTTCCATCCTTGAGAGCCAGAGTTTTCGCATCTCAAAACATGGCCAACACCGCCGAAAGGGACGTTGGTAATGAATGCCCTACGACTTGCTGTTCGTCCATCGAATGAGTTGACTTGATGCTGATGCCATATTTCAGGCGCTGTCGTCGATCTAACCGCACCTGGAGACGGAGGAAATAAGTGGACCGCTCGACAAGTCGACGTGGGCCGCAAACCACCCACTGGCGACCCCAAAGACAGCGTCAAGGTTGACTGGTCCTTCGGGCCTGTTAAGGTACGATGAGCTAGCCACCCAGACCAGCTCACACAAGCACTCAAATTTCTAACCATGGTAAATTAGATCCTCGGGAACGTCAATACGAATACTTACGAGCTTGGTGTCAGTGCCATCCTCCTCGGCATTAATGTTGGCGATATCCACGGCGACTTGAAAGACGGCGTCAGACTCGACATCAACCTCTTTGCTGCGGAGGGGGACATTAGGTTCTATCTCAAGAACGGGAACGAGCTCTGGATTCGCCTGGACATCAAGATACTTTTTGACGGCATCTTCAGCGGGGATTACAGGATACTTCGCCTCTGAGTCCATCGGCTCGCTGATGGTCGAAGTCGCCGCCAGCTTAGGCTCTTTTGATCTCTCTTGATCTTAGTCGTTCATTAATGGCTTCTACCGGGTTGCCTATATATTACGACAGCAGCTTTATCTACATGAATTGATGGCATAACGCCCCAGGTTTCCTCCTCTCCTTCAAATTCAAAAAGTTCAACCTGGCATTTATGAAGTAGATGCTAAAGTAATATCGATTAACTACGCAAGTTCCTACATTCAGTAGAAGGGCCAAACCAATATATATGACTTCATGCATTGAATCCTGTGACACAGTGTTTGAATGTAAGAGATTGGGTCAGTTGCGACAATGTTAGTCGAGACAGTCAGAGAGGAGACAGCTTGAGAGGATCCTGCTACGACTACACCTATACTTCAAGCAGAGAACTGGCCAGGCTTCCTATTCAACCAGAGCAGAAAAAAGGAAATAGACCGCATGTTATGAACGCCTAACCTGAGGCAAAAGAAAACCACTTAGAAAAAAGGGGGGGTATCATGGACTTCCCAATCTAAAACCACAGTTGGTGCAAGGGAAGGTATTTACTCGATAATGCCAAAATGAGAAGAATTCACCACCAAAGCCGCCTTTGTTTCATTTACGCCGCGTCCCCGTCCATCGGACTCGGGGACTGCACAGTCAACCCTTCTTCCTCCCCCTCCACCTGACTGGCCGCCCCAACCCCACTCGGCGCCGTGGTACCCTGCTCCCTGATGACCACCGAGCCGGGTGCAGCAGCCCTTTGTGACCGCCTCAGCGCATTCCGCTCCTCCCTTTGCCGCACCATATCCATTTCGATCTCGATGGCCTTGAGTCGCCTGGACTCGACGTCCTCCCTCTTGACGACGCGTTTGAGTCCCTCCGAGGCCTGGAGCAAACCGTCGATGCTTATGGCGTGATTCGTCATCTGATGGTTGATGTACGTATACACGTTGGCCGGCGAGGAGCACTCGAGAAGCTGCTGCTCGTTTAGTTTGAGCAGGGCTAGCGCTACTTGGAACAGAAATGTGCTGCCGTCGTTGGTGCACAGCACAACATCCCATACGCGAAAGAGCGCCTCCGCAGACAGGCAGTCGGTGAAGACGCTGAGGAACCACTGGAAGGTCATGGTTTCTAGGTCGATGCTGAGGTCGTCGAAGTGCTGGCTGAGCTTCGGGAGGACTTCAGAGACGTACGTACGCAGAACCTGTTGGTCGGCCCGGGAAGCGAGGAGGCTGTGGTCGTAGTAGTTGGCAGGCAGGATGTTCTCGATCATCGTGGCCAGGATCCAAAAGGCTTCCTCGGCCGATGGGACAATCAAGAGCAGGTTTGCCACAACCAGATTCATCCCCTGGCAGTATCCGACCTCGACATTCCTCCTTGAGTAAGCAAGGAGAACTTCATTGAGTTTCGCAACCCCCGGCCCCTTGCGAAAGAAGATGTTGTCGGTGAGGGTGCGTGTAATGTCCGCTCTGATCTGCGAGGCAACCTGCTGGTCGTCGTCACTGGATGGTTGATTCACGAGGCTGTCATAATAGCCGGGCACACGTAAAGCAGCGGCTCCCGAACACTCGGTCCAGATCTTTGCTCGATACGCCACAGGGATGCCGCCGAGGACCAGATTTTTGAACTCGTTCCACTTCGCGCGACCGACTTTCCCCTTGTTTCCCAGGCCAGCAACTCCGATTATCTCGCCATCAGCCAGCTTGGTCTCGGGCATCGCGGTAGTAGCTCGCTGGAACCTGGCCTCGGCCGCCGCCGCCGCCGCCGCCGCAGCGGCTTCTCCCTCTCGTTTTCTTTCAGCCCGTACCTTGCGAAGAAAATCATTCCATCGAACTGTCCTTTCTCGCTGTAGGTTGTCATGAAGATCGCTGAGTTGGCTGAGCAGGAGTTTGACAGGCTCGGCGTCCTCCTTGACTAACGTCCCGGAAGGCGGGTTTCCTTCGGCCGCCGGTTGTGACTCGTTGTCCAATGCAGTCGTTGTGCTTGTTGACGGGAGGAAACCTCGCTCCTCCGACGTAATCAAGCCGGGCGACTTTGGGACTTCGCCTCCCTCCATAACTTCGAATCCCGGAACGCTGATCGACGGGGTATGGGAGAGCAGCTCCGTCGGGAAGGTGGCTATTTTCAGGTAGTCTTGCCATCGTTTGGGCTTCGCCTCGTCGCGTACTTCCTCTACTGAAGAGGGAGTGCCTGGTCTCTCCTCGGTCGCAGCATCATCTCTGGGCGCGCTGCTAGCCTCAACAGTGTCAGAATACATGCCACTCCGCCCGTTCGTGAGCATTTCGGAGCGGCTGCCTCGTTTTATGTGCTGGGTCACCTGAGATGCCTCTCGCTGCCTCTTCTTTCGGCGTTGATCGTAAATAAAACCGAAACGGTCAGTAAGGTATTCAGAACCTTGGTAATTGTTGTAAATATGAGTCTGCGTAGGCGGTTGCCCTTCGGGCGGCAAGATTGTGTCCATTTCCACCGGTCCGTAGCTCTCCTGCCGTGCAGCCGGGTCATGCATAGGGATGGAGCTCATGCTGTCCCAACGCTCCTGGGACTGTGCCCTTGACGGACCGCTGACCGGGATATTTTGGTTGCCAGCAGTGCGGCGCATAGCCATGAGAGCCTTTGGACCACCTTGGGTCGAAACAACTCTTGCCGAGGCACTGGTCCTCGCACTGGATGCTGACGGGGTCCTGAAAGGGCCCGTCGCATTTGCACTGCTTGCCCTCCCCCGGGATTCGCCCTCGCGAGCAGCTGTTGCACCACCCGCAACTAGTCTGAGAGCAAGGCTGGCAAGGGAAGCCTTCCGGGCGGTCTGGCCCGGCTGGACGCTAGATGCCCTACTCGAGTCTTGTAAAGACTCCGTATCGGGAGGGTTGAACAAATCCTGCGCTATAGTTGGTCGACGATCTCCGGCCGCCGGGGCCCTGACGACGGTCTGCTGCGGAACGTTGGAGGGTTCTCCATTGACGCTGCTTGGACCACTGTTTTTCTTGCTCGTCCCACCACCACCCCACAGGTACTCCTTCCAACCCTTGATGGTACTCTTGGTATTATCTGCGTCGCCAGGTAGGGAAAGGCTTCCAAGTCGGACTGTTGCGTCATATGCGTCGTCGAATCCATACATGTATCCGACATCATCCGTCATAGCATCGGTCATCAGATCTGATAAGCCCCTCCCCCCTGCGCCGTGCCTCGACTGTCCGCTCTGTTTAGCCTCTTGATCGAGTGTGCGCAATCTCCTCTCCAGGTCTAAGTTTGACAAGCCGCATTCCAGTATAATCTTTCGCAGGGCCCGCTCCCGCTCATTGGCCTTGCGCCGCAGAAAGGCAGCCTGCGCGTCTCGATGGGCCAGATCTTCGGCGAGCTGGCGCACGAGGTTCACGGCCCCGTGGCGGGAGATGAGGCGCTCGATATGTTTGTCATCGGCGTGATGCAAAGCTCCGGGGACCTTGTGGGCTGAGAGCGGCGCATCCTCGAAGAGAGCACCGCGGGCTGCGGATAAGCGTGGAGGGGACGTCGTCAGGCTGTCAACAATGGAGGGGCTAGGCTGGGTGCCGGATGCTTGGTGGGAGAGGGTGGTCGAGGACCGATCCCCGGGATCGGGAGCAAAAGGGCGCCTGTCGCGTGGTGACTCGGGAGAGAATGATGGGAAGGATGTAAGTGACTTGTCGGAGGCAGCAATTGACGAGGCCGAGCTGGATGGTTGTGATGTGAGCTTTCGTGTCTTGCCTGGGCGAACTGTCTGGGATCTGTAGCTCTTCATCGACGTGGAAGATTGTTGCGAGTAAGAACGTTCGAGCGGAACCGAGGCCTCGGAATCCATCGCATCAGCTTAAATAGCTTCATTGTCCACATAGAAGTCCAGTCTTGAAAGGGGGACCCGTCAGGCTAGTGATCTCGTGCCATGGCGGTGGTAGTCAGAGGTTGAGCGCATCAGGATGGATGCACGTGTCGCGGCTAAGCTTGCCTTAGCGCGCTTGATTGCTGCGACATCCTGCCAGCTGAGGGCACCTGCTTATGCACAGACCGCTTGCATCTGGCGACAAGCATGGCAAGCATGGATGTCAATTGTAGTGGCCCGATGAGCCTGCAGGGAAGAGCGTTGGTGCCCAACCCAATCCCCCGATGCCCTTATATATATATACTTCGACCGCGGTCTTGAATTGAACTCGTTAGCCTTCCGCTGCTCTTTACCTCACCTCACCTCACCTCTGCCTGTCCACGAAGTTATTCAGCATGAGTACACCTGCCCTGACGGGAATTCTCCTCAAGCTCTACGAGGAAGCCCTCGACGACACTGATACAAGTCAGCATCGTTTTGAAATGCGTACCTGCAGTATGCTTTTTCGGATCAAGACGTTTATTCCGTGACAAGCGGAACTTCGCCAGGTGAAGCCCCGCCCAACGAATCTCTAGAGAGTGTCGACGTGGCTGTGAAGAGATACGATACCGCACTTCACACACTCCAGGGTGTACTTTGGGTCAAGTGCGAACGCCCAGCAGGCGATATCATGGAACTGGAAAGCCAAGCCTTAGATGCGGCTATGAGGTGCATAGAAGCAGACGGGTTGCCCTGAATCTACGCAATGACTACGGTTGGCGTCTCGTTCCGCACGTGGTTTGTCGAGGAGGGCCGCCCAGAGCTTCAGCCGGTCCATGGAACTGCAGTTCAGGCAGATCGGCGACAATACATTGACATTGGTACGGACTCGGGGGTACTCGCCAACACAATCAATCTAGCGAAGACCGGGACTCCATTGAAAGACGCTCCTGTCATCCCAAACTAGGCTCTACCCAGCAACCCCTTAGAATACAGCACGCAAGAGGGGGGCGGGTCGTATCAAGGAGTGGAGGGCCTGGTCAGTGATCCTTTTTCGGCGACGGCCTTTCTGAGAGGAAGACACACGACTTATATAAGTACAAGAGGATCGGATAGCAGCATGGCCGGTCAAGGAGCGGGAATGCATCGATTATTTCCTTCGTCTAACTGGTGCACTCTATGTTGCTGCAGTATACCTTCTAGTGACTAGGGGAGCACTACCATTCAAAGCCACTATTCAAAAGAATGGCAACCCAGGTCAGTTTGCCGCGGTTAGAAGGTAGGTGTATAGTGATGTTGGCCAAATACACAGCCCCCTTACACGTCCTAAAATGGCCAACATGATCCTTGGCAACATGAAGTTTCTGGATGGTGCCCTGCTTTTAGAGCGTCTAGCAATAGTTTGACATAGCGAACGCCCTCAACCGTGATGTAATGCGCATGCACATCAAGGAAGAGATCGACAAAGGAATCAGTACCTGTGTGTTCTTGCGTCTGCACTTGAGCCGTAACAACTGCGCATTCGCGAACAAGATATGTAGCTATCATTAGCCATAATTCATTCAAAACGCGATTCAAATTTCATAAGGAAACCTTCGTCCGAGATTGCTTGCGCGTTCTATTTCAGGATCATGCATGGGAAGCTTAATTGGCATCACTGTGTTGCCCAATTGTATTGACATACGTCCTCCTCGTCCATGTCGCTTCTACCACCCAATGCATCGCCAGCAGAAGTACCTAGGTACAACATTGAGGAAGAATGTTGCGGAGGTGGTTGTCCCCGGTCAGCTGATTGGGTAACCATTTTTGCCTTGCCAGCCACTGAGCCATCAAAGTGGAGCAAAGCTAGGTACAAAATGTGGACCAATCATTCGAAGCAGTTACCTCTAGGTCAAATCTTCTGCCCTAAGGAACGAAAGCACGAGCCATCGGGGAAAGCGCACACAGGAAATTCTCAAATTGCCAGTTTTTTGAGAACTTCCACTCCTCAGCAACCTCGACAACGACCATTCGAGCTCATCCGCCACCATGAAGCTCAACATCAGCCACCCGAGCAACGGCTCGCAGAAGCTGATTGACATCGAAGATGAACGGAAGGTCCGGATTTTCATGGACAAGCGCGTATGTTCCCACCCTCAACCAAACTCGTCTCAATCTTGCCTTGCGCGGACGTGTCTTGATGCATTCGCGAAAACGGGTAATTGGGTTCCAGACTTTGACTAACCACGGTGATGATGATTGCAGATGGGCGCTGAGGTCCCTGCCGACAGCCTGGGCGACGAGTGGAAGGGCTACATCTTCCGCATCACCGGCGGTAACGACAAGCAGGGCTTCCCGATGAAGCAGGGTGTCATGCACCCGACTCGTGTCCGACTCCTCCTCTCCGACGGGCACTCGTGCTACCGGCCTCGACGCACCGGCGAGCGCCGGAGAAAGTCCGTCCGTGGCTGCATTGTCGCCCAGGACCTCTCCGTCCTCGCTCTCTCGATCGTCAAGGTCGGCGACGAGGACATCCCCGGCCTCACCGACGTCGTCCACCCCAAGCGTCTCGGCCCCAAGCGTGCCACCAAGATCCGAAAGTTCTTCGGCCTCAGCAAGGATGACGATGTATGTACAACTTCGCCCTACTATTTCGTCATCGCCTGCCCGATGACTGCGTTGGTGGATTTGGAGCAGTTCGGGTAGAGTCTGAGAGAATATCGAAGAAAGAAATAGGAGGCTAATAAGCTGTGTTTGTTCTGCGGCATTACAGGTCCGAAAGTACGTGATCCGACGAGAGATCCAGCCCAAGGGTGAGGGCAAGAAGCCCTACACCAAGGCGCCCAAGATCCAGCGTCTGGTCACTCCCCAGCGTCTCCAGCACAAGCGTCACAGGATCGCGCTCAAGCGCCGGCAGGCCGAGAAGGTGAAGGACGAGGCTGTATGTGGTTCCCGGCTCCCTCTCCAATACATCGAACTACCGCTAACCTCCCGGCACAGAATGAGTACGCCCAGGTCCTGGCCAAGCGCGTTGCCGAGGCCAAGTCCCTCAAGGCCGATCTCCGCAAGCGTCGTGCCAGCTCCATGCGCAAGTAGGCATCTGGCGTTTGGCAGGAAATGGATTCCGGTTTGCATTTTTCCAGAAAAGGCTTCTGGCGTGGCTCAGGTGCCAGTTCATCGTTGGTCTGTAAATGGCATTAAAACCCTCGGGCAGAATACTCAGAATGGGAGGACAATGAAGACAATGAATAAGCCGATGTGCTTTGATTGTGATGCAAGCCAACCTGCATGAGCGCGTGAGCGCTTGGGTTTCAGAAACCATGCTCTCTAGATCTCCATGTCAATGAATGCTACCGTTCCCGCAAGCCCTGTCCTATCCTGGAAGAAGTTTTCAAGATATATATACGTATGAAATCAGCATCTGTGGCACTCCCGACCGACGTAGTCGACTCAGGTAAATGCTATGCCTCGAGCTGCAAGCAACAAACAAGCCTCCCATGATTTTCGCCCATGACACCAATCTTAATGATAAGCCCGTATGATCACACTGTCTACCTCTCCTTTTTTCCTCCAGTATCATGGCCCCTTTCGGCCAACAGCGCAAGTCTGTAAAGACTGGAACCTCCTTATGAGGACACGACCCATCGTTTACACGGGGGCATGGGTGAACAGATAGCTAGAACGACCACTCAGCAAAGACAGTTCAAGCTTGGCGGACTGGGAGACATACCTGACACTCTCGCCAAAGTGCGTTCGCCGAATGGCTTCCGCGAGCGTTCCGCTGATGTCGATCACACTCAGCTTGGGGCAGCGCTCAAGCTTGTCGCCAATGGGCACTGAGTTGGTGACCACGAGCTGCGACAGACACGACTTGTTGATGATCTCGACGGCATTCCCGCTCAGGATTCCATCTGAGCATTAGACGGCGCATGTTAACCCACACGTCTCTAGGTTGGACAAAGGGCAAGGGACAAAGCACGCAAATGGGAAAGGGAAGTGGTTGGCACATGAGGGAGGGGCTGGGATCCTTACGGGTAACGATGGCAATGATCTTGCCTGCACCGTGGCTCTTCAGCGTTTCTGCAGCCTTGGCCAAGGTTCCGCAGGTGTCCGCCATGTCGTCGATCAGAATGGCGACCTTGTCTTTAACCTCGCCGACCAGGACCATGGATCCAACAACGTTCGGCCTCGGTCTCTCCTTGTGGATCAGCGCGAAGGCACAACCCAGGCGGTCTGCGATAGCGGTCGCCCTAGGGGTGGGGAGAGCTCCCGGTCAGCGCCTCGTTCAGAAAAGGAGAGAAGTAGGGCGCTTAGGGTTCTTCTACCTCTTAGCCCCGCCCGCGTCGGGGCTCACAATGACGGCCTCCTCACTGCTCAGGTTCTCCTTGATCCAGCGGAGCACGGATGGTTCTGCGTAGAGATTGTCGACGGGGACATTGAAGAAGCCCTGAATCTGAGAGGCATGGAGGTCAATCGTGATTACATGACCACACCTGAAGACTTGTCAGTGCAATGGCAGGGAGGGCACAGATCCCAGAAATGACGTTACCCTGCCGTCTGCAGCATATTCGCGATCAACCTCGCCGAAATGGGCGCCCGGCTCTTATCTGTGGACAGACTCGGGTTAGGATCGGTTACGACGGAAGCACCCAAACTCGGACTCCGGCCGAATCTAGCCGGGCAGAAGGGGTATCGGATGGAGGTGAGGCTAAAACACCCCGGGTAGTAACCCACCCTTTTTATCTTGACGCGCATAGGGGAAGTTGGGGATCACGGCGGTGATCCTTCGCGCGGACGCAGTTCGGCAGGCGTGAATCATAATAAGCAGCTCCATGAACTGGTCGTTGATCTCGCCGGGGGCAGTGGATTGGAGGATGAAGACTTAGAAAGCCCGGTGTTAGTTACTGGATCGAAAGCTCATGCAGCTGGGGCGTGGGGGCGTGGGACAAACCATCTTCATCTCGAACGGATTCGCCAATTGTAACGCTGCGAGGGAAACATTGTGAGCCCCTGTCCCAATGGAATTGGTTCAAAGCCAACTACCTCGTTTCCTGGTTTGAGTAGTTCATGCTCATCGTCTTCGCTATGCTGATGCCCAGCCTGTGATCACCCGTCAGTCCCATCTTTCGAATTCGAAGGTGCTCAGCCACTGCTGGAAGGCTGCCTCAACTTACCGATCCGCGACCAGCCGAGCTAGCATCGGGTGGCTATTGCCCGTGAGCAATTTGATCTCGTTCGCCATGTCACCCATGGGAGGCGAGGCGAAAGGGTGCGAAACGGGGAGAGTAAAGACGATTGAAAACTTGAGCTGCAGCGTGCAAACTTTTAGCGCGGGGTTTCTTCTATCAGCGAATGGAGGGGCAGCTTATCCTCACAAGGCGGGGGGGCAGATGCAAGGTTGCGAAGGTGGCGCACAACGAAGATTCTTGACTCTATGCGTAGGTACTTGATGACGGTGGGAAGCAACAATCGGGCAAGTTTGTACGTCTACGGATCGGTTTGCAAGAGGGTCTTTCGCATAAGCCGCGGCGTGACAATTTCTGTGGTCTAGTCCTATCTTGGTCGCTTCTTAAATCGTGGATCCTGTCTTGGTCTTGTGGGGAAGACTCCCGGTTTGCAAACAGACTGGGAGTCGTCTTAGCGACGTATTAATAGTGGACGTCAATTAGCCCGCATTCTGAATTGCAGGCCGAGGTAAAAGAGAAGCCAACAACAATGATATGTGCGAATAGGAGGAGACTTGCAACAGACAAACAAACAAACAAACAAACAAACAAACAGCAGCATAAGATCCGGTGGAATGGATTTCTAAATTTATCATCGCTCTGACGAAACAAAGAAGAGCATCCGAAACCGGCACTGCCGCGACTATCCGGGACTTATTCGTTAAAAATCTGATATGCGAAGGACGCACGTCCCGAAACGACGAGGGAGGCACCCTAAAAATAGAGAAGGAACCAAATTGAATATCGAGTTGTTGATGGTTTATTTTTCACCTGCGGCGGAATTGTAACATGAATTTGAATGCGAATTGCGAGTAGGTCTTCTGTTTGTCCCAAACGTAACACCTTCCCAAGAATAAACGCGTTTAGGGATAATGGGCGCAGAACGTATTAGAGACTGCAACCCGTAATACTCTGATTCCTCTCGAGGATATCGAAAGTCCGCCCAAGGGCCGTTCGTTACTCAACAAGTACTGAGGAATGAGCATGGCATTGCAGGGTTAGAATCGAAAGCTGCCAATTGATTGTTGGATTGTTAAAGTCTCCAATTATCACCTCAACTACCTAAGCTAGGTAGCTTAGGTTGTTCTTAGACGAGTCTGTCTTGTCGGTTGGTACCTCCTGAGAACTGTATTTACTTACCTTACCTAGGGAGGTAGTTTGAATACTGGAGAGCTTTAACCTCTTGAACTTGTATGGCACTTTTAATACTGTCTCTTTGGCGATTATCGAAATTGCTTCGAGTTCTGCCCAATTTTCTCCTCTTTGAATGAATAGGTTAGGTAGGTAGGTGGGATCAACTCTTGGTGGACACAAGGGAGTCACGTGCACTCGCGTGACATGCCTGAGGGGCCAGGGCTGGTACGTACCGAGCCGCTAATGCAAACTAACGCATGCTTGCCGCTACTGCCAAGAACCAACAAACTCATCATCTTTTGACCTCAACCCTTGCTCAGATCGCCGAACTCATCAACCATTTTCTCGTTTGCATCCCTTGACATCCCATTTTCATTCCAATACCCCGCGCTCCATCAAAGACCCCGCTCTCCTCACGCCTCGATCTGTATGATAGTACAATATCGCCGCCTTTGCTCGTCCTCAATGAGTTCCCAATCTTCGCCATGATGACCCGGACTCGGCCAGCACCGGCTCCGCCCCCTCGGCAGATGCCGCAGCGTGCTACCAAAATCCGGAGCGTTGTAGTGCCGGAACCAAGACCCGCCGCCACAAGAAACACGAGCGGTAGAGTAACACGAAGCTCCGCGGTTCTGGACCCTCTGGTTCTGAACCCCGACGATGGTGACCAGGATTCTATTTCTCGCGATTCCGCTGCCGTACAACCACACCGTCTCAAACGTGCCACCTCTGCAGTTGGCTTGGCAAACCGGAAATCCAAGCGCACTCGCCACCATTCTGGCTACTACGGCGAGTCGTCGGATGAGGACGAAGACAACAATGCCTACCTATCACCAAATACTGATGGTGAGGCCCGGGCGGCTGCCCCCACCACCCCCACCAGAAATCGCCGCCCTCAGGCCAAGCCGACTGGTGCAACACCGAGAACCAAGCGCACGCCTAAAGGCACCCTGAAGACTGGAGAACCCGTCGCTCCTACGCTGGAGTTGGGTGTAATTCCCCCTTGGAGCGAGCTCCCCTACTTCATCCTGGTCCAGATTTTTGAGTCTGCTGCACCAACCCCACTTGACTGGGCCTCGGTACGCTGGCTCTTAGCGATGAGCAGAGTATGTCGCGCATTCGCGGAGCCAGCGCTCACAGTTTTGTACAAAAGCCCTCCATTGCTGTCACCCGCAATGACGCACAGCTTCCTCGATAGCCTCGCCAGTCAGCCCGATTCCACCCTGTTCAACTACCGACAAAAGATCGAGAGACTTGAAATTGACGTCGGAAATGTGGTCACCAAGACGTACCGTGGTGTCCAACTGGATCTCAGAGCTCTTGTCCAGCACCTCCCTCGGCTGATGGAGGTTAACCTTTGGCATCAGAAAGACAACGCGCCTTATCGTGAACTAGATGACAACTTGAAATGGCATTATCCACCTCAGCTATTCGAAGGTCTCGGTGTTCAAATTGGGCCTGATGGAGTCGTCAGTAGTTCCACCGAAGAGGACGCCAGGTTCGCCAAATTGAGAAGTTGGCGGTGGAGCAGCCGGATGCTGGGTCCAAACATGAAATTGGACAGCCTCCGGGATCTCCATTCGGCTCCGTGCTTCGTTGGGCTTCGGAAGGTCGCCTTTGTTAACTTTCAGATGCCGTCTCTCCATGCTGCCAATCCGGAAGACCCAGATGTCATGGAAAGGGACAGAAGCTTCGTCACGCGCCTCGGAGAGTCCATCAGCGCACTGCCAGAATTAACACACCTTGTTATCGAGTCCTCCACGGCAGTCACGGAGCAGCTCCTCCCACTGTTGCCCAAGACCATCCAGCACCTCGAGCTCGTCAACTGCTGGGACATTGGAGCCGAGGATGTTGCTGAGTATCTACTCTCGCACGGATCTGCACTTCGTCACCTGACGCTTCATCATAACCAGTCGCTCAGTCTGGCCTTTCTACCTGTTTTGGGCATTGCCTGCCCGAACCTCAGGTCCTTGAGCATGAACCTCACCTATTTCAACCATCATGCGTTTTACAGAGATTCCGATCCCTGTTACGATGCGCTTCTCGCCCCTGGCCAGATCCCCACGTGGCCACCGGCCCTCCAGCACCTTGAACTGAAAAACTTGAGGAAGTGGGACGCTGATGCCGCGGAGAATTTCTTCCAGTCACTCGTGGACGGCGCGGCCAACCTCCCCATGTTGCGCCACCTCGATATCAAAGCGATGCTGGACATACCTTTCCGCCAGCGGTCACAAATGCGAGACAAGTGGGTCGCAAAGCTGAACGAAGTGTTCCTTCGCAAGTGGGAGGATCCGCTTCCCTTCCACTCATTGCGATCACGGGAAAACGAGGAGCCATCCGAGATAAGGACCCCCTCTAAAAAGCAGCGCAAGCCCAGCGCGGGATCACTATCGTCAGCCCGGCGAAGCCATCGAATCGCAACCCAAATACCGAGTTCATCGTCCCGTGCAAGTAGTGTTGGCCGAGATCTGAGAACCGCTGGAGGACGGCCTTCCTACGCTGAGCCCGATACTGATGAAGATTTTGACAGCCTTGGCAGTGATGACGACGAAGATAACGCCAGAGATCAGTCCTCTGGTGCGGAGCATAAACCACTCTCCCCAGAGACGGAAGTGGGCTCCTTCGTCCAAGGCATGTGCAACATAGTTGACATCCGGTTCGATAACCAAAAGCCGGTCGAGCACCAGTGGCACATGGAAGACTTTCTAGACTCGGAATCCGACAATCCAGCCGATGAAGACTGGAATGGAGACAGAGATATTGACGATGACTATGCTTGGTGATCGTGACGAGGCCCACAGGACCTTGTTTGTATTTGTTTCTGTTTCATGTATTTCTGGTTCCGTTAGACCATACATGCTGAGAGATAACTCGCATTGATCTGAGCCGCGGTGGCTGTATAACAGGGAGTTTTGGCCGAGGCAGCTATTGCGACAGCATTAGACACTAACGGGGTGGCAACACAACTCGGAAGGGCTCAGTGGACTCTCAAACTTGCTTCAACTTATAGTTAGATGGCAAAAGAAGGCTTGGTTTCGTCTCTCTATCGATGCCAACTTTGTGCTCATGTCTACCTAGGCTACTACAATGAGAAAAGGCCACGAGCCGAGTCTAACTAAGTGCATAATTCGTGTCGAGGTTGTCCCAAGTCAGAAATCGTAAGCCAGACCTCCCTAGCCACGGAACCATGACTGCGACATTTGCAGGCCTTGGAGGAAAAGATTTGGGGGGATACATAGTTTTAAGCCGCCGGCAGAGCTCCCGTCTCATTTTTCTCCCAGTCGAATAAATTATATATATATTCATGAATATTCATTCACTTATGTGCCACCGCACCCCCTGGCCCAAGAGCACGCAGCGCGAATCGTTGTAAACTGGAGCACGCTGCCGGGGGCTGTAAGGATTTCATGTCTAGTATCCCTGATAACTTGGAAGTTGCCTACCTAGACTAGAGTCTAACGGGAAGTAAGAGGAGATGAAGCAAACAAGCTTGGTGTAATCACGTGTAACCACGTGTAACTTCAACCCCGAATGCTCGGTTCTTCCGCTGAACCCAGGAATTGGGGCCTTGAATGGAGATTGACTTCACCCTGCCCTCTCTATCTTAGGCAGTATCAAAGTAATTTCATGATACTCATGTATCCACATACCTTGGATGCTTGGGCCTGAACTGGAGTCTTTTCAGAACATCCGTGATCATCATCAAGACTACATCTGCCTGGACATGAATGATGTAAGGCTTTGAGGCTTGAAAACCACCATAACATATGCTCAGAAGGGCAGGGGAAGAATATAACCGGAACAACCGCTTTTAAGTGAGGAACCTGTATTTGGCATATCAACGCTGCGGCGCGCTTATCTAATTTTAGCGATTTTTCAGTGCTTCCAATAGTTGAGCTTAGTTGAACTAATCTGTACGTGTGTGCAGGTTCCAGGTTGTTGTGCTGATGATTGGTTTGCCGAGGTCGAATGCTCTCAGCCAATACATCGATAGAGAGTTGTTGCCTCGCGTTCCTCAGCGAGGCAGGAACCCCTTGGGTCCTCCAAGTGAACAAGTCGCTGAGTGGAAGCGGAATGAGCCGTCATATCTAATCGTTGATTTATCTGCCTGTGGCTCAATTCAGTTACGGAAGTATGATTCAATGGCATTGTGCCCGCGTCACTCGCAATTTCGACAAGAGAGCAGGACTACCAAGGTAGGTAGGTAGGTACCTAGGTAGCCACAATCCAAAATCCTCCTCATTGACAGAGGGCCATTGTTTTGGAGACGTCTTCAAAAATCGGGCAATCTGCGAAATCGATTGGTTCTAGCAGATCCATGCCTGTCCATGTTTATCGCACCATAAAGGAGCCGTTAAGGTGCGACCGGAAAACTTGCTGAGGCAGGTACACAGTGCATGTACCCTGCTACCGCGAAGCCGACCCTAGCCTGTCTGGGCACTGGCAGCCAGCATCCCGCCCCAGAACAGCCAGTCGGGATTCAGCGGCCAATTTTGGCACCGACCCCCAGGTGAACCAAGAGTGGAGCCAATGGGACAAGGGGATCGCGATAGATTCTCAATTTCATCCTCCACGGTTTTTGGTACGCGTCTTTCCCTCCCTTTCTGCGCTTTCTTCCTTGTACACCCCCTTTGTTCGCCAATGTGTCCTTTTGCTTCTCTGTATATGCCCTCACTTTTTCAGACACTCTATTGGGTTCCCACTATACTTAGCAGGCCAGGCCGGGCGCATTCTCTCATGAGAGGCTTCACCTCTTCCGAGGCCCTCTGATCAGGACATCGCCGCCACCACATCTCTCCCGTTTGCGATGAGCATTCCTCGTTGAAGAGTCTCTCAGTCCTTCCCGTTCTGACCTACTATTCTCAACTATTCTGTGTTATCCTCAGTCTCATCATACCTGGGTCAGCATCAAGCATCATCCTTATCACCGTCGTCATCAGATATTCGCGTTGTCGCGACCATTTCCTTGTAGTCGTCTGCGCTTCTCTCCCCTTCCCCTGGGTGGCTCCGTTTCGCAGAGCATTGCGTCATCTCCGTTGCACGTCTTCTTCCCAACCTAGTTGACGAGGATTCAGCGGTTCAGCGGCAACCCCCTTCCCCATTGGTAGCAAGCTGCACCATGCAGCTCTCGCCGTCCCTGTCCCCCCCATCGCAGCAGTCGCAAACCGCATCGGCCACGGATCGGTTCTCCCGCATTGCCTTCAGGGTAGCAGGCTCATTTGTGTTTTCAGGATCTCATGTCGTCCTTCCACCATGTCCAACCTAAATTGGCACACTCGCAGGCTCCCCTACCTCCACAGGAATTGGATGGCAGCGGTCAGCCACTGGCAGACCATGGGCATCAAACTATCCTCCCCATCCCGGCAACCCGGCGACAAGTTTCTCGACCACGACGATGACCACTATCATCGTCCGGCCAAGCGCCGTCGCTTTGCCGCGAACTCTCCCGAGTCTGGCGCTGGAGTCGATGACCTGGACGGCTTCTTACTTCCAGGCGACCGCGACAAGGTCGAAAAGGCCTTGCGCATTGAAGTTCTCAAGATCGACCACAAGGACTCGTCTCGAGTCAAGTTCAGCGGCATTTTCAACGGCCTCATCCCGCCCCAGGTCAAGGACGTTACTGACAGCACGGCGCGCTGCCGTATCTCCATCTCCTGCCAGAGGAACGATGAGCGCGTGATACTGCATGTTGACAGCCAGATCTGTACCATAAAGACCTTCAAGAACCCTGTGGGGCCGTCCCGCACTTCGAGGATCTACCTCCCGCAACCATTCCATGTCCCGCAGGAGAAGATCCTCATTGAGCGGGACGACGATGACGTCTTCGGCCTTGCCGAGTCTTACACAGTGCTCGTTGAGCTCGAGTCGGCCGGGGACCCCAACTGGCCACCACTAAACCTAGCTCCCCCAAACGACGACGAGCACGTCTTCTACAACCGGGGAGCCCAGTCGTCCCGGCAGTGGGTCCTTAGTGCCAGTATTGCCGAGATGTTCAACCGCAACCGGAAGGCGGTTGCTTTGCGCCTCAAGAAGAGGAAGCCCCAACCCGACGTGCTTACCGACTACGTTTTGGATGTTGATGTCCGCTGGACCTCGGGCCTCTCGTCTAGCAGAATGGCCAGGCGCTTGGAGAAGGACGTCATGCCTTCTATCACGGTGATTCATCCCAGCGAGGTTCTACCACCGGATCCGCCCGTGACCAACGGCGTGGCGATCGTCCATGGCCTCGACGGCCATGTCAACGGGGATTTGGTCAACGGTGACGCAGGCGCCTTGGCGAATGGTCACGTTAACGGCGATGTTCTGGATGACGCGGATGAACAGGCGGAAGGGGAGCTCACTCCCAGCCGGTCACGCAGGGCGAGGCATCAGATCAATTACAACCTGAAGCTCCTAAGCGACCAGGCGGCGGGCAAGGAACGGCGGAGACGAAGGAAGGCGGCGGGCGAAAAAACCGATCACGCGGACGAGTGCAGAATCACCTATCTTCTCCCGCCGGAGCAGTTTTCGGTGGACGACTTCTCGTGCTGTCTGTGTGGCGCCCCTCATCAGTCCCTCAGTCAGCTCCGCGCTCATCTTCTCGGTCACGAGAAGTACGATTTCGATTTCGATCTGCGCCCAAAGGGAGGCTACCATGTCTCGGTTGCCCACATCCATACTGGCGGCAGTGGTGCTGTTTCTCCGCTCAGGAGCAAGGTGTACCAGCTCGGCCGACCTATGAGGCCGTTTGACCTTGAGAAATTCTTAGACGGGGACGATTCGTGGATTACTTCTCGATTGGGTCCGGACAACGATCGTGACCTGGGCCCCATGAAAACCGTAGGCCCAAAGGCTCTGCCAGAAGTAAGATCTTCCAAAAATTCAACGGCTTGCATCAGGAGAGTGACATACTAATGGTCTCGGCAGATAACTGCTCCTAAGGCGAAAAGGAAGAGAGCGCTGGTCCCCCACACCAAGCAGCCGCTCTTCGACCCGTTGAGCAAGGTACTCCTTGAGCCGGGTTCGGAGATTAGGCCTTATGTCGCAGATAGTACCTGGCTTATCCAGAAGCACGGCGACACCCTCCAAGACTTTGTTGATGTCGATGCCAATGAGAAGGAGTACATCAAGGTGTGGGATGCCTTCATCATGAAGTTGCACCTCACCTCGGAACTATATCTTCCCCGGGAGTTCCTATCGTTCGTCAGGCAGAAAGCGCCGTGGATTGTCGCCAAACCGTCTCGAGCCCACGAGTTCAGCAAGCACGCCTTGGTCTTGTACACGCGGAACACGATTGACGAAGGCGTCATGAACACTGCCTTGCAGTGTCTAAACGAGGCGAGACTGCAGAAGCCTCTGGAGGAACCGAAACCGTCACCCAAACAGAAATTATCCAATGGATGTGCGGTTTGTGGAAAGCTGGTATCAGGACCCTCGTATCTAGTCTGCTCCGAGGCCGTAAGTGGTTTCCTTTCTTTGCCCTCGTCACGACCCTGGGTCGGTTCCAGCAAGTTGTCTTGATACTGAACCAAGTGCACTAGGACTGCAAGAAACGGCTCTATCACGATTATTGCGTGACAGATCCGAAAATCCCCATTGAGGACAGGGATTTCTGGAAATGCAACAGCTGTGCAAAATAGCTTTGGGGTCTAGAGGAAGTTATGGGACGGCTCCAGGAGGTAGTTGGGGCTCATCCGTCTGAGGAGGACGTACCGGGAGATTGGGAGGCAGAACACACTACGGCATGGTTGCACGAAGAGGTTGGAGCTGTTTACAAGACACATATACCTGTGTCTAGCGAATTACTTTGGTGTACTTCACGGTGTAAAACACGCCCGTTCCATTTCTCGTCAGACACATAGGGGTTACAACCGAACGACTGGGAGGTGACTGAGCATGGATTCAGCGCTGTTGCGAGGCAAGAGAGCAACGTAGCTTGAAGCTGAAGAGCTGGAGAGTAATCGAACATCAGATATATAGCACCCACGATGCGTCCAAGTGAATTCATTGCATGTAGAAGAGCGAGGAACGGCGCTTGATTGCTCCGCACTGCAATACATCCTGTTCTTTTGGCTTCTGGAGAAGAAAGTCGACCGAGTCTGTCTTCCACTGAGACTCAAACCAGTAAATCATTACCGCCTTGCCCCTTGCTGGAGGAGCCCACCTCAGTGACCCCGACATTTATAATTATTCCTTGCTTGCTCGGACCGCCGTCAAAAAGGGATGAACCCCGCTCCCAAAATAACACCATGATTCTCTACTCCTTCGAAATGGTGTCTCTCTTGAAATCCATCACCATACTTCCGATGCGTTATTGGCGCCTGTTATGCGAGCAAAGCCCGCTTTCGCTCTGCCGCTCTCTGTGTTCTTCTCGCATCCGTATCTCTCTTCTCCTGCAACTGTCCTAATAACTGATCCAAAGTCAAGCTCCGATATTGAATGCCAACCAACCCGGCATTCCCCCAGTTACGGGCTTCGATTCCTACAGACCCCTACGCAACCCAACAGTCCGATCAAACACAAGAGGAAACAGCGTGGCTCAAGACATGGCAAAGGTTGTGAAAGAAGCTCTACATACAATAATAGTAATAGTTCACTTGGAGATACAGTTGTTGTAACTCTCCAATCCGCGATAGAGCAAGTTGATTTTCTAAAGAGGGTGGATCTATGGTTTAAGTGTGCTTTGCCAGGTTTCCAAACAGTCTGTCTCAACGGGCTCAAGAAGCGAAGTCTAGAACAAACTTCAGAGAATTTTGGCAGCGTGAACATGAACAATCAATCAGTATAGAGTCGGATATCAAAATATGTAGCCGAGGTTACATCTTATTCCCCTTCCCTACAGCCCATTCTCCTCTGAGATAGGGAGGGGTTGATTCAGTTTGAAAGTTTGCATCAATCAAATACTGATTAATAAACAGCTCTTGACGCAGTAGACAGATTTGGCAAACACAGAAAGACCCGGGATGAATCGTCACGACCAAGGTATTCCCCGTGTTGCGCAAGTCTGCCTTGGGGAGCAGAGTGGGATATATGCGAGATTCTGGGAGTGAGACCTCCTAGTTTAGAGGATACATCTAGTCGAACTGTCAGGCGGGCAACAAATATGGATTTGGGTCTTGTGAGCTTATATCTCCGCTTGTTTAGAGACCTTGTCACCAACAAACGCGAGTGCGGTCAGAGGGTGTCTCTCCAGTCACTCGAGAGTGGTTCTGAGATCTCATACTTTCTAACAATTGGAACACAAATTGAATTAATAACTAGTCTCTCCTGTTTGCAGATGGGATTTCAAGTTAGGGAGACAGCGTCCTAGGCAGTGACATTCAAACAAGCTCCCCTTTTGTCGAGCGGGCAGAAGGCGGTTTGGACTTCAAACAACTTCCCCCCAGAAGAGGCCCTGAGGCAATCAGTTCCTCAGACCAGCTCTAGGGCAAATAGAATGGGCCAATTGGGCGGTCTAGTTCTTCACATATGGGTCTTGAAACCAAAATGCCCCCAAGCTCCCGGTCGACGACCAGACGTTCGCACAATATATTACCGTTTCTGGGAATGTTTTGAATACCTTCAAAGAAGATCTTAGCAAAGAGTGTTTCTGTATTTCTGGTAGATCTATCACATCATATGCAAGATGTCTAGAGGGAAACTTTGCCGTCGGTGCAACAAGGATGACCACCTAGTCGCTTATTGCCCGCTCCCTTCCACTATCAATATCCTATACCGCGTATGCGAGGAGCTAGGGCACAAGGCTTCGACTTGTCCGCAGCAAGTGCCGTAATGCTTCTACAGGGAACAAGAAAGGCAAGCAGCATGGAGATAAGAAGCTGCAGAGTGTTACGCGTGTCACAAAAGGTTGGCGCAAGGGTGTAGAGGCTACCTACCTAGGTACCTACTTAGCTGGTAACCGTATCTTCTTAATCGCTATTGCTATTGCCGTCTCTGTCTATCGCTACTGCCACTGCCGTCACTGTATATCACTATTGCTATTGCCGTTGCCGTCACCATCGCTGTTGCCATCGCTTTCGCTGTCATTATTGGCTTTGGATGCCTAGGCGCGCGCAGCAAAGCACATCACAAATGGACTTGCAAAAGGATGTCGGTTTCGGGAGTGAACGGCCAGATGTCGTCACCCTCTCACGTGACCAAATTGACCTGAGTGAAATCAATGTGACAATCTGCCCGGCTCTCAAAGAAATGCAACGTCCTCATTATAAACTGCTATTGTGAGCGTAAATTGCTATCGCGAGCGTAGATTGCTATCGCGAGGACTGTTGAAGAGAATCCATACAGCTTACTACCCTGAGGTGAGCTGGAATGCTGGGCAACATTGGATTGAGGGGAGTCGCTGGGTGTAGGCGGTATAGTATAGGCGTGCTGGGCGTGCCGGGTGGTACGGGCGTGCCGGGCGGTACAGGCGTTCTGAGCGGTCTGAGCGATACAGTTCCATTTTCAAAAGTCAGGTCGCGACGCGAAGTTAGAAGAATCAAAGTGGTCAACATATCCGGTCGTCCCTTCCTGTTCGAGAATACAACAGGGGGCGGATACCGCAGCGTCCCAGGTTACGTAAGTGTGAATCCCAGGGCCACTGTAAAATGGAATGACAGGGGAGCAAAGCATTAATTCAACCGCTAAATGCCAGTGTTTTCAGCTGGCGCAACCACAGTTCCAATTTCTAGCAGAGTCATCAAACTTGGTCTCAGCAGAACCTTTTCAATTCCACACATGACAGGAATATTCAGAAAGTTCAGAGCGTTTGGAACTTCAAAACAGAAACGAACTGCTCCCTCGGTAAATTGTCTACCTAGACAGTGAGCTCCAGTCGACAACAGTCCCGTCGAAAAAGAGTTGTGGGCAACTGCCAACACCCTGAGCATGGAGGGCGTCCGCGTTGCCGTCGAAGGCTGTGTAAGAAAGCCATGAAGGGAGATGAAGGTGTTGGCGTCGTCGAGCTAACCGGCTTCAGGGCCATGGCACTCTCAATGCCATATATGACACGGTTAAGCGGTCCTCCCAAGAAAGGGGCTGGGATGGGGTAGACCTCCTGATTATTGGCGGCGATTTCCAGGCAAGTCGTTGTGTTGGGTCTGGTAGATTGCCACGGCCACACTCGCTCCCCGGAGACCGGGAAACAGGCCACTGACCAGACATGCAGGCCGTCCGTAATGCCGCAGACTTGACGGTCATGTCCGTCCCAGCCAAGTATCGCGAACTGGGCGATTTCCATGAATACTACAGCGGGACCCGGACGGCCCCGTATCTTACCATCTTTGTGGCCGGCAATCACGAGGCCGCATCGCACCTTTGGGAGCTCTACTACGGCGGCTGGGTGGCGCCGAACATCTACTACCTCGGCGCCGGAAACGTCGTCCGCCTGGGACCCATCCGCATCGCCGGCATGAGCGGCATCTGGAAGGGCCACGACTACAGAAAGACGCACTACGAGCGCCTGCCATTCAATCAGGATTACGTCAAGAGCTTCTACCACGTCCGCGAGATTGACGTACGCAAGCTGCTCCAGCTCAGGACGCAGGTGGATATCGGTATCAGTCACGACTGGCCGCGGGCCGTCGAGCGCCACGGCAATGAGAGGTCACTCTTCGGAATGAAGCCTGATTTTGAGCGCGAGTCTCGGGAAGGAACCCTGGGAAACCCTGCCGCAGAGTATGTCATGGACAGGCTGAGACCCCCGTACTGGTTCTCTGCACATATGCACTGCAAATTCTCGGCAATCAAGACGTATGCTGCACCTGGGGGATCATCTGCTGAAGACGTCAATACAGTCAGCGAGAGCGCTTCGGTACAAGAAACAGCACCGCCTATGCCGGCGGAGAATCCGGATGAGATTGAACTGGATCTAGACGACGACGTTGATGACGAAAAGACAACTGCTACTCCCCAGGATGGCAAGAGAACCGAGGCAAGCGCTCCGAGTGACGGGAATGGAGTCCCCGAGGAGCTCCGTGCCCAGCTACCGGCATCATTCGCGGCGCCGCAGCAGCAGCCTCGGACAATACCCGGCCAGCCAGTCCCAGCGGGTATTACGAACACGACGGTCCGTTTCCTGGCGCTGGACAAGTGTCTCCCTGGCCGCAAATTCCTCCAGCTCTGCGAGATCCACCCCTTCGACGCCTCCGACCTTGCCGCCCACCCCCCGAACCCATCGGGGCCGAGATACAGACTACAGTACGACCCGGAGTGGCTCGCCATCACCCGCGTCTTCGCCGCGTCCCTCACGATAGGCGACCCCGGAGCCCAGACCCCTCCCGACCTCGGCGAGGCGCACTACCTACCCCTCGTCGAGGCCGAGCGCGCGTGGGTCGAGGAAAACATTGTGCGCAAGGGCAAACTCGACGTGCCCGAGAACTTCGCCGTCACGGCGCCCCCGCACGTCCCTGGAAGCCCCGAGAGCACCGACGCCCAGCCCAACGAGTACAGCAACCCGCAGACGGAGGCGTTCTGCGCCTTGGTCGGGGTGCCGAACCTGTGGGCGGCAAGCGAGGAGGAGAGGAGCGAGAGGAGGCAGAGGGGCCCACCGCCGTCGCAGTTCGGTGGCAGGGGAGGTGGCTTCCGAGGTGGCAGGGGAAGAGGAGGGGGAGGAAGGGGTAGGGGAAGGGGAAGGGGCTGGGGGGGAAGAGGTAGATAACAAGGAAGAGGCATGTCAGTCACTTGTGGGAACCGTGTGAGCTGAGTTGAGTGGTAATCATATATTATAACTAAGGCGGCAAGGAATACTGCCGACTGTATTGAAACAAGAGCTAGAGGGAGATGTTCCCTCGTCATAAAAGCGAGGTCCCAATGAGAAATTATGAGCCAGGCAGATCGCGGAGGATTGATTCAATATTCCACCCAATATAGACATCCAACCCATGGAAGAGAATTGAGTTGGATGTATATGCTAGGATGGTACGCCAGGGATTGCTCGAATCTACCCGCGTTCTTCGGTCTTGCACTCGGGCTTGGGGCGGCCCAGCTGTCACTTGGAAGCACCACACGACAGTCAAAACTGATGAATTAGTTGCAAGTATCGTAGGCCTCGCCCGGCGAGGCGGTGAGCACTGAGATTCCGGGCGGGGAAGAGATAAGGAATAATACCACCCTCCAATGGGATATCATGATGCTCCTTGGTCTGCCAATTCTCCCTCCGTAAGCGCCTTGAAGATGCAGCTGATTACCCAACGCCAGTCATTCCTTCGTTTGCTTCGTACATATTCTCCGTGGAGGATCATTCTGCTCGAAATTAGTTGCCAGTACAGCAGCAGGACGGGCAGGAAGCACTTACGGTCTAACCCGAGATAGTCTGCAGCCATCAACAGCTCGAGGCAGTGTTCGACTGGAATATCCATGTCTGGCACATCTTCCTTGTCTCGGTTCCTGTACCAGTAGTGGAGATATTCCACGACCTTCTCAAGGACAATGCCACTGCTAAGAGTTAATGCTGCACTTGAACTAGAGCAGGACCCAGGTGATGATGCCATGATCAGGGTAGTTGTCAGATCAAGTGTAGTTTGCCTACATGCAGTCCAACACCCCTTGAGGGTGGGTCTGTAAGGAAGCATATAGCGAAAAATGATTTTCATCATGCATCACAGGAAAAAGGGTTGCATTGTGCAGTGTCGTATATGTCGGTCCAAACGTACTTGATCTCTGGGAATACGCAACGACTGGTCTTTGCCTCCAAGAACTGGCGCGTAGGGTCTAGCATGCTCTTGATGACAGGGCTGATAGATGTGGCCTCACGGAGGACAACATACTCAAATTCATCGTTCGAGACAAGTGTGATGTACTTGCTATTTTCTGTGCTTGCGGCCATGTTGTTCTCCTGGGAGAGGCTGCTCTGTCGAGAAGACTGGACGAGGCTTTTCACAAAAGCCCGCTTCTTGGTCAGAGATTGCGAGGTTGAGATTTTCTTTGGTTTCTTTTCCCCACGAGTTTTTAAGCTCCAGTACGTGTACCGCACGTATCTGATGACGGTCCAAGCTCCAAGCCTTGCAACCCCTGTCACTTGCGCCACCTCTCGTCCATTTTAGCCGTTGTGCCATCGCTATCTTGTGCGGGAAGGCGTTGCCCAGGCGACTGTTTACTTCCCGTCGTCCTTTTTGCGAACCACTACTCTCCTGCCATCCCATTTTCAACAAAGTGGGAGAAGACTCGACAGACATTGCCACCTGGTCACTTGAGGCCATCTCAACTACGTATCTATCTTCCGAAACAGTCCCCTACGATCCGACATTGAATTTGTATATCCATTTGGAAGTTTTCGTCTGAGCGCATTCCTCTCAGCCCAGTCACATTCCATTCGAAGCCATCAAAATGACTTCATACCAATACCGCAATTCCTACTACAACTCCCAGCCGGCACCCGCACAAGACAGTTACGATAGTGGAATGAAGAGAAGTTCGACAACTGGGCGGCGAGACACCCGAGGCACCAGATCCAGTGACGGCACCGTGAGCACCATGATGAGCACCTCGACCGGGCGAGAATCATCAGCAACTCAGATGACAGAGGGTCCTGCATACTCCAAGAAGATTGTCGTAGTTGGTGATGGCGGGTGCGGGAAGACGTGCTTGTTGATCAGCTACAGCCAAGGATACTTCCCAGAGGTAAGAAGCCCTGCTGCCGTCGGGTTTGCTTGCATGCTCACATGGGCTCTAGAAATACGTCCCCACCGTTTTCGAGAACTACATTACCTACCCGACCCACTCTCCCACTGGTAAGACCGTGGAGCTTGCTCTCTGGGATACTGCTGGACAAGAGGAGTATGACCGTCTGCGACCTCTCTCCTACCCCGAGACCGACCTGATTTTCGTCTGCTTCGCAATCGACTGCCCAAATTCGCTGGAAAATGTCATGGACAAGGCAAGTGATAACCCGACGAATTCCGGTGGCGCATCTTGGCTAACAAAGTCTCCAGTGGTATCCCGAAGTCCTCCATTTCTGCCCTTACACCCCGCTCGTTCTCCTCGGCTTGAAGTCGGACCTGCGCTACAAGAAGGCCTGTATCGACATGCTTAAGACCCAGGGCCTCACTCCAGTCACTACCGAGCAAGGCCTAGCTGTCGCAAAGAAGATGGGCGCCCAGTACATGGAATGCAGCAGCAAGGAGATGAAGGGCGTGGAGGAGATCTTCGAGCAGGCCATCCTGACCGTGGTCGCCAACGACAGGAAAAATCTCGAGATGCAGGCGGCAAGCAACTCGGGCGCTTCAGGCAGCGGCGGTGGACTCGGCGGCGTCGGCCCTCTAAAGAAGAAGAAGAGAAAGTGTATCGCCCTCTGATCCAGGACGATCAAAGAGCGACCAACCCGGGAACCCGACTCGATGTAATGACGATGGCGCACGACTTGAACGATTTCCTTTCTGATCAGGACCCGGGGTTGGGATCGGATTCCCCGGATGTAGGTAGGGTAAGGGCTGGCTAGGGTGTCGATTGTCGGAGTCTCTTCCCCATTCCTGGCTCTCGTCCAAGACCGCCGACGCTCGGTGGCGGAGGATTTCGGCGTTTCCAGATAGGGTGCTACTTTTTTCTGCATTCGGTTGCTGGATATCTGCCCATGGCCCGGGGGCAACCAGGAGAGGCTCGTGGTCTGGACGAGGTGCTGTATTCTTCACTTCTTCTATGCACAGATCTTTCTTTTGTAGGTATCATCAATTTCTTTTTCACTCATCAAGCAATGGGATAGGACATAAACGATCATCATGTTATAAAAAAGACCCCTGGTATGCCACATGATCGTGCGTCCTGATCTTCTCCGTAGCCCTCTCCGGCTGACCTTCGCCTCCGCTGCATTGGGTATCACATGTCATACCTCCCCCCACCATCGTTGGCATAACAAGACAGGGGCACCGCCGAGCAATCATCACCTCTCGGCCTCCTCGCTCCTGGCGCCCTCCTCCCTGCCGTTCTCGCTCTCGGCTGCCTCAGACTTGCCACCTCCCTCCTCCGGTTCCTTGGCCATGACGTTCTCGAATTGTGACCACAGCGCCTCGACGGACGAGAACTCGTTACCGACCTAGACGCTCGTCAGTTTCCCTAGTCCTCAACCCGTGTCAAAATCAACCACCACCGTCGGGTCCCGAGCTTCTTCGTCACCCGACGTAGGTTGTTGGCCGGGAAAGGGCGGGGGAAACGCACAGCGATGACGGCCTCGAGGGACCGGTTCAGTTTGTTAATGTTGGCGAGGACGTGCTCGAAGCTCTGTTTTGGTTCCCCAGGGCAAGGGTCAGCGGGACAGGTCTCGTTGTAGGGGGGTTCTCTCAGTAGGGAGAACAAGGAATTGCCGGTTCCTCACCATTGCGACCTCGCCGATCAGCGCCTCTCGCTGCTGTTCGAAGTAGGTCTTCTCGCGCGTCCCCGTCGCGGACGTGGAGCGCTGGTTGGCCGCCATGGCGGGGAGTCCGCGATATATGACGGGTGTTCGTGGAATTGTCGACCTGGATTTGGCGGGTCGACGCGGCGCGCGTCAATTGTTACATACTACATACAGTACGAGTGGTGGGGTTGTTGCGCAAAAAAGGTCCGCCGACTCCCTGCCGCCTGGCTACACCTGGCAGGCCGGTGCGGAGCCTCTGTAACCCTAACCCTTGGCACCTGTGACGTCAACTCGAGAGAGCAAACAAACTTTGGGATCACATCATGGGCTCAGATTTCCAATCTAGTTTCCCTGAATTCCTCTCCCATTTCCCACAGTTAGAAGCCTATCATTACCCAGACCCCTTTTTGGGGGCTGTCCGATTACCCACCACGCCACTCTTCTCAGACCTCTGGGATTATCACGGGGAACCCCTGCGCCCTCTGTTGCCGTCTTATCAGACCAATCTCCTGGAGTTACTCATCTGTGGTCTAATCTATGAGGAGATCCACGGTGCCTTGTGACCGCTCAACTGCTGCAATGGAACCCGAAGGTCCTCTTGCTCAAGTATAAGAGGTCCCAGTAGCATTGAGGTTGCCACTGCGTATACGTTGCGATGAAGCGTCGACGCCATTGCTAGATGAGCATCAACGTCTGAGTCATAGTTAAGTGTTGAAAATCGGGACTGACGGCCCTATGTCCCTTGTTGTACGGAGGTTCTGGACAAGTCCATCCTTTTGTTTCCCAACTCTGACGCTGACGACTCGCATCGTGCTGGCAATCATTCTGCGCTGCTCAATGCTGGGAGTAACATAGTCCCCGACTCTTCCTCCACACCTGCCCAGGCGACTGGTCCTCAGGCCAAGAAGTCAGGCTCCCCTAATTGCTCACTTAGTAATTACCTAGTTATCACAATCCAAAGGCCGACGGGGTTTCTAGCAGGTGGCAGTATCTTATTGCCATCGCTCTTGCCGTCGCTGTCTGTCGCTATTGCCGTCACTGCCTATCGCTATTGCCGTCGCTACCTATCGCTATTGCCGTCGCTACCTATCGCTGTTGCCGTCGCTGCCTGTCGCTATTGCCGTCGCTGCAGCGCACAGACCCAAGCAAGCGGTAGTATAAGTAGGGGTTAAGGCAGTCGAGAGCTGCTCAGAACAGTTTTGCCGCCCTCAGTAAAAACAAAGGAAAAAGCGGATTCCAGCCACAGCCAAGATTGACGCTTTGATGAGGGTCAAGCAAGTTGGGGACCAGCTGGATGCCGAGCTTGGGAGCCTGACCTAAGGAGGAGAAGTACACCCGAGAGAGAATTGAGGGGTTGCGCAATGATGAACCTACGCGGCAACGCGGCTGGTTCAAGTTCCACGTTGTTTTCTACAGCGACGAGTATCCGAGTGGGCTCCGTCCCAAAATACCTCTAGCAGCTTCCTCCCAGAGCTTAGCAAGGCAAGGATTAATAGGAGGAGCAAGGTAATCGGTCGCTCTGTGACCCTCGCTTTCTGACCCTTGAACCACAATGTAACCGGCTCGTTGACGTACTTGCGAAATTGTTGGTAAGTGGAAAAGTGAAGGTTATACATATAAGGTCAAGTCTCCGCGGGCAGGGGTTGTTGACTATTCGGGCAGGGGTCTGTGCTGGGCAGGGGTTCCGGGCTGCTGGGAACAGCAACAGAGACGGCAATTGCGACAGCAATGGCTAGCCAAATGCCCCTGCCCGAACAGTTAAATGCCCCTGCCTGAATAGCTGAATGCCCCTGCCCGAATACCTAATTGTCCCTTCCCAAATAGCTAAATGCCCGCGGAGACAACCTCCACAGAAATGCCTTGGATGCCTTTGCCAGGAACCTCTCCTCCCATTCAAGTTTTGCAGAGCTCCGCTATATGTACACACAATTTTCGCTGCTCGTACGTATACGCCGAAAACAAAGTGATATAATTGGACCAAAAGATCCTAGCCCGCATGCAAGGGGGACCCTGTGGCCGGAACTTGGGAACCTGATATGTACAGTAGCGAAAACTGTGTACATCTCAAGGTAAGAGACAACCTTCTCTATGAGCAAACAATCTACTTCAACGCACTCTCCAAATAACATATATCTAATTTCATTCTTTCGGCTAGATTCTGGAATCCACCGTGAGGACCTCGCCCAGTGGACTGAGTTCTGAATTACTGGTGATCACTTTGTATGTGATTCTATGGAAGAAGTCGCCAAGAAAATGATCGAAGATGTACTTTACGACATGACCAGCCATATTCAACCAAACAGCGCGGACAGAGTCATCGCCTAGATCCACCTCCGTCGCTTAAGAGAGGTCCTCGCCATGGTTTACAACCCAGATATAACATGCCAGTCAAAGGTTATCGGACTCGTCACGTCGATGCTTCTCGACTTTATACAACTGACTCGCTACTCCTTACTTGGGAAACCCAGAATCTAACGATCTGTTGGATAAGTATCCCTGTCTTGTTAGCGACATGTTTGGACGTAGGCGAAGAGAAAGGGGCTTAAGAGGCTGATACCTTCCCTCGAGCATTCTTCACCCGCGTCAGACCTATGGCAGTGAAGCTGAGGGTAGTATGCTCAAAATGCGCTGGGAAACACGGGAATATAAGGTGATCATTTGGACCGCAGAGCTTCATAAGAGCAAACAAGAGATCATATTCATAGTCCTAGGGGCTCAGGCCAGACTACACCACCACATCAATTCATCCCATCTGTCTCATTCTCATCATCTCTTGGAAGGCGCTCGGCCATCCAAAGCTTTTAAGGTAGCCCATCTGACGCCGTTTGCAAGCACCGCTGTCCAGAAAAGTCTCAGCGAGGTACACTGACTATCCCTTCTTGTGGTTAAGCAAGCAGCTTCTAGCTTGCTTTGGCTTCTCGTGTACCAATGCCATGACCATTCTAGAACATCGCACCACCAAGCCGAATAGCAACAGACTTGTTCTGCGTGTAGTTCGCCAGCGCGGCTTCTCCCAATTCACGTCCAATGCCACTCTGTTTGTAGCCCCCAAATGGTACCTCGTGCCTGAGAAGATTATAACAGTTGACCCAAACGGTGCCGGCGCGGAGGCGATTGGTGACGCGGAGGGCGGTGTTGAGGTCGTTGGTGTGGACGGCCGCGGCGAGGCCGTAGCTGGAGTCGTTGCCCATCTTGATGACCTCATCTTCCGTAGAGAACTTTGCGATGGCGCAGACAGGGCCAAAGATCTCCTCCTGCATGATCTTCATGTTTTGGGTGACGTTGGTGAAGATTGTCGGCTGGATGAAGTATCCCTTGTCGCCGTGGCGGGCACCCCCGGTCTCGACCGTGGCGCCCTCCTGCTTTCCGGACTCAATGTAGCCCATGATACGCTCATATTGGACCTGGCTGACCTGCGGGCCCTGGAAGGTGTCGGCCGCGAACGGGTCTCCAACCTTGTTCTCCAACGCCCTCTTCTTGAAGGCCGCGACAAACTTGTCGTAGATACCATCCTGGACGTAGATACGGGAGCCGGCACAGCAGCACTGACCGTGGTTGTAGTAGATGCCGAAATTGACCCAGCTGATCGCCTGCTCGATATCGGCATCGTTGAAGACGATGTTGGGTGACTTGCCGCCTAGCTCCAGCGTCACCTTCTTCAGGTTCGACGAAGCAGCAGCCTTCATGATAGACCGACCGACCAAGGTTGAGCCAGTGAAGGCAATCTTGTCGATATCCATGTGCGAGGCAACAGCGGCTCCCGCAACCTTGCCGAAACCGGAGATGACGTTTAGAACACCGGGAGGGAAACCCGCCTCCTTGACAAGGTTGGCGAAGACGAGAGCAGAGAGCGGGGTCTGCTCGGCGGTCTTGAGCACAACTGTGTTACCGGTGGCAAGGGCAGGGGAGATTTTCCAGGCAAACATGAGAAGAGGGAAGTTCCACGGGATGATCTGGCCACAGACACCGATCTAAAAGACGACAATTGTTAGCGAGGTATCACAGCCTGGGAATTGAAGAAACGCACAGGCTCCTGCTTCGTATAGTGGAACATGTCCGGAGCAACATCGAGAGTCTTGCCCTCAATCTTGTCCGCCCACCCTCCGTAGTATCTTATGCAGCCGATGACGGCCCCAACGTCGCCTCGTGCCATGGTAATGGACTTGCCATTGTCGAGAGACTCGACAGCAGCCAGCAGGTCCAGGTTCTTCTCCGCCAGGTCCGCAAGCTTGATCAACAGAATGCTGCGCTGTTGGGGTGTGGTCTCGCGCCAGACGCCCTCGAAGGCCTTTCGCGCAGCGGCGACGGCAAGGTCGACATCCTTCTCTGTGGCCTCACTGACGGAGCAGATGACCTCCTCTGTTGTGGGGTTGATGACCTCGAAGGTCTTTTTGTCGACACCTTCAACCCACTCGTTGTTGATGAACCTGCTACAGAGTGAGCTTTCTGCCCGGGGACTCGTAGCTACCTAGGTAGCTAGTGCGCCAGGTTGGGAAGAACTTACAGGCCGGTGGGCTGCTTGTAGGTGCCAGTAATTGGCGTCTTGAGCTCGATAGAGAGATTCGACATTTTCAACGGGTATCTTGAGCACGGTTTTGAGGGCTAGAAGGTGTTGCGATCGCGATTGGATTCTGGGGATGGGGGGTTTCTTGTAGGGGAGCTCAAGCGGCAAATGGAGGAGAAGGTGTGAAGCAACTTACAGAGCGGGGTCAAGGAGAGGAGTATCGGGAGGTGCATAGCATCGGATCACGGTGATAGGGTGGTGCTAATGGGAGGTCCCCCCCCTCTCCGTTTCTCCTCCCTCGGGCTAACGAGTACATCTTCCCACAACCCTCCTATGAGATTGAGGATGGCGAGAGATCCATCCACTACTCCGTCCCCTACGTCCTTTTCTCCGGGCCAACGGGGATAGCATGTCGCCCCAACGGAGAACGAGTACGTAACTGGGGCGAGCGAGAGGGCATTTGATTTTACGCATTGGCGACTTTCTGACAAATTGTTCCCTTCCCCCATCAGAGCTCTCAACTACCGTGGAGTTCCCAATCCCCTTAATTCTAGGCAATAGTTCCTACCTCTTGTTAAGCCACATAAGTTACACATCATGACCAAGTTTCCCACCCCGCTCCAGCCATCTGAGAAGTGAGAGCCGAATCCCTTGGCACCTCTTGGGTTAACCCCGCCAACAACTCCGTAGCTGTGGTGAGTGAGTCGGTGACAGCTCTTACAGGTTGCATTGCCCGACCTTGGGATGACCTCATGTTTAGCAATGTTTTCCAGTTAGTACGCACACTAGTGGAGCTCGCCCTGGACTCTGCTAAGTCCCGTCGGATGCGTTGCAATGTGAGAGGTCAACGCGAGGGCGCATGATCGGCACAATTACGAGCGAGAGGTGACATGGAGGCATGGAGGGGCGAGGTGGGGGTGTGTGGGTAGCTCTTTAAAATTGGGGTGCACATCGATCCCCAAAACCTCGGCACCTCTATGGGTACGGTACATGGAAGCACTGAAGAGGATCCGTACAGTATCAATACAGTGTACTTTACTGTATAAACAAGCCTAACGTAACGGTACCTAGTCTGGATTGTTAGGAGCTTCCCAAGACCCGTCGGCCATGCAACAACAGAAGCCGGGTAGAGAGCAGCAACTCGGGCGGGAACTATCATATTCCGACTTCTAGGATCTGAGGCCGACGTCCATGTCGTCCATTGCCCTCCATCCCCCGACGGGTCGAGAGCAGGCCACGCCGAGCCCCTTACCGCGGCTTCTCCAGACCCCGTCTGGCCTGGCATTACTAGAGCTTCAGGGGGCCATCAACATACCCGGCTCAGTTATCGCTGACCTGGTTGTCGAGCAAGGCGGCACCAGACCGGCGGTCCCGATCGGGCGTGTCATTTTCCCCGACTATAACCCCGACGCCCTGGACCCCTCCAGCACGTCGTGGATGAAGCGAGTCTACCTCTACGTCGGCCAGCACCAGCGTCTCACCGGCGAGGTCAAAAAGCTGCCCAAGCCTCTCGCCGTCGTCCGCCGCCGTGGCGGCCGAAACGAGTCACAGGACGAGCCTGCCGAGGAGCTTGAGGTCGTCGAGATTGTCAAGTACAAGATTGTGTTCTCGCAGCGGCCAGAGCCGGTAGGGGCAGAAGCCTCATAGTCGTCGAGGATTCCCCCTTCACGAATGACCCGCGACACCTTACCATCACTCACGAAGTCAAGGATTCGTCTAGCCATTGGTGATGGTTAAGAGTCTTCTCCAGAGGCATCAAGACTGCCACTGGCGTCTTCGCATCTTCCCGTGGAATTAACGGCTCCTCATCTATATGCTGCCGGCGACAACGTAAGGCCATCCCACGAGCGACCTTCAGGGTGGTGTATTGATGGCAAAGACAGCTCGAATTCACCAGTGAGGCATGGGACTCGGGAGGAAGGTGTGATATTCTTGATTGGTAGATTACCTGGATCAAGTAGCCTCGACGAGACTCAGCGGCTTCGTCCTGCCTAGACCGTCCTTGCCGTAGTAGTCCATAGGATAGACTCCGTCTCCCCAATCTTTTCTCTCTTCCAGCGCCACCAAGGCTTCATAAGGTGTCAATAATGGCCGAGGGAACGCATATCCCCAGTCGATGCTCAACCGCGGGCAGGCCACCTGAACCCAGCATTCTACATCGTCCATCAACGCCAACTTCCCCGGGAAGATCTCGCTGAGCAGGAGGTTGACAAAGGGGATGCCATTCTGCTTCAGCTTGCTCTCTATCAAAGCCATCGTGTGGGGGTTGCCCTGCCTCCCCAGAGACCCCAGAATGAGGCCCCACTTCTTGGCCCCCTTTGCGGTCCGGATGGCCTCGCGCCTCAGGTCCTGCATCTCGTCGTGCCCGTAGGTCTCGTGGGTCAGCTTCCTCGAGTACGGATCATACCTGTAAGCGGGGATGCTGGGGTTGTGGATCATGATGCTCTCCAGGTGGAAGCGGCCGTCGCCGAGGTACAGGATCAGGTCGACCGTGGCATCGGTGTACGTCGACAGGTTCGGCGACGTGCAACCGAGGATCTCGCCCTTCGACAGCGGCGCGATCTGCGGGACCACGACCTTGAAGCCGGCCTTCTCGAGCGTCGACTTGACTCCGTGGATCGTGGCGTTGAACTGGATGGTCCCAACCATTGCTACCGTCTTCCCCGGCGAGAAGTTCCGCTCGAGCGTTGCGAGCAAGTGGGTGGTGTCGATACTGATATCGACAAAGACGTATAGTGTCTTGATCTTGGTCACGTCAACGGGGATGAGGCAGCTGTGGGCGTAGTGGACGAGCAAATCACAGCCCATGGCCCGTGCTGTGTAGTCATCGATACAACATGCCCCATAGGTAACATCGCCCATGATGAGCGTCTCGATTCCGGGGCAGAACTGGGTGAGGATGTCCGAGATTGTGGTGGCAAACATGAGCAGGCCTTCTGGCATCTGCAGCGCAACCTTCTTGGCCCCCAGGGTACGAATGCGGTGGATAGTCTTGGGAACCTCGAAGGAATAGTTGGCGGGCAGGAGTGCTAGCGCAGCCTTGAGCTCCGGGTCGTTTAGTATCTCCGGAGGTACTTGGTTCAGCAGCCTTGGTGGTCGCCTTGGCTGAGCCGCTGTGGTAACTTGTTAGATGAGAGAGAGCCTGAGCACATGGGCAACATTGGGTACATTACCCTGAACTGCCCCAGTGCCTCCTCCGGTAGTAGCATTGTTCCCAGACTTTGCCGTAGCGTCAGCCGTCCTCCTCCCGACGAACCGCTTCTTTGGCTGCCTGATTGCAGCGGCTTGTTGCGAGCCATGAGCTTCTTCAATATCGGCCGCTATGCCCAGATCGACTTGGGCACGGTCGTCCTCCATTTTGGATAATAAGTGAAGAGTCAAAGACAATTTCCAAGGCAGAATTTGCACTGCACCCCTGAACCCTGCGAGACTCAACCTGATGGCTCAGAAGCTGTACGGACAAGCACGCTGACGTTCCAATTCTGGTTTGGTCTCAGACTCGTCGCTAATATCGCCACATTCAGTGCAGTTTTTTTTAATAAGGGGTATCGGTGTCCGAAAAAGACGCTTAAAGTCCTCGTTCCCAAGTTATGTTACGGGCCAGGTTTTTTTTACTACGCTACAGCGTTGAAATCGCTCTGCAGTTCAGGCTGCTTCGTAAAATGCTTTTACGTGGAAACCTCCTCGTACTACGAGGTCAATTCAGTTCTTTGCAGGCCCACCATGCCGCGTAAACTTCGGCAAAAACCCCTGTCATTAAATCCATGCCTCGAGCTGCAGGTCAAGTTCAAACCACATTCACGGATGATGCGCCCGCCCAGCACGCCTCTTCCGAGTCCCTCCAAGTAGATCCTCACCCTGTAGTGATAGAGCTGGCTTTCTATTTGATCATCGTTAGCCATATATAAACCCAACGCGAGAACGGCTTCCGCCAGAAAAGATGGCCGGCATCCCCAAGCCTGGCCCTGCCAAACTTCGACCTGGTTCGGGTCTGGACGAGTGGCTGGAGGAAGCAAAACAATGTCATTACCTCCCGGAGCCTGTTATGAAGCAGTTGTGCGAGATTGTAAAGGAGGTGTTGATGGAAGGTACAGAGAGAATGGCACCCATTGATACAGTCCCCTATGACCGCAAATGCTGACCTTGGCGCTTCTCAGAGTCGAACATCCAGCCCGTTGTGACGCCGGTTACAATATGTGGCGACATCCACGGCCAGTTCTACGATCTCCTCGAGCTCTTTCGCATAGCCGGCGGAATGCCTGGCGAGAGGAATGTGGAAGCCCCGAAGACGGCGACAACCGTAATTACGTCTGAGGACATCGAACCGCCCACGGAAATAACAAACCCGAAGCTGAAGAAGAAGATCAAGGAGTCTGAGGCTCCGGGGGAGACCGAGGGTGATGAGACCATTGGGGATTCTTCAGAAGCAGATAAGCCGTCTGACTCGACGATAGACGAAACCTCGACCGGTACCGACAACACGCGATTCGTCTTCCTCGGAGATTTCGTCGACCGAGGGTATTTCAGCCTCGAGACATTTACGCTTCTTATGTGCCTGAAAGCAAAGTATTTCACCTGTCACCAACCAAGCGGGGCTGCATCGGGGGTAGGCGCTGACCATGTCCAGATACCCTGATAGGATCGTCCTTGTTCGCGGCAATCACGAGTCGCGGCAAATTACTCAGGTCTATGGCTTTTACGAGGAATGCCAGCAGAAATACGGCAACGCGTCCGTCTGGAAGGCTTGCTGCCAGGTCTTCGACTTCCTGGTCCTTGCGGCCATCGTTGATGGGACGGTCCTCTGTGTGCACGGAGGCCTGAGCCCGGAGATCAGGACCATCGACCAGATCCGGGTTGTTGCTCGTGCGCAAGAGATCCCTCACGAAGGAGCGTTTTGTGACCTTGTATGGAGCGATCCCGAAGATATCGACACCTGGGCTGTCAGCCCGCGTGGTGCCGGTTGGCTCTTTGGCGATAAGGTTGCGACTGAGTTCAACCACGTGAATGGGTTGAAAACCATTGCCCGTGCCCATCAACTGGTCAATGAAGGATACAAGGTTCGTTAATAGACTCCAACCCGTCCTACCTTCCATCTCTCTACTGACAACGTCTATAGTTCCACTTCCCTGAGAAGTCTGTTGTCACGGTCTGGTCAGCTCCAAACTATTGCTACAGATGTGGCAATGTGGCATCTATCATGACCGTCGATAAGTCTCTGAACACCAAGTTCAGCATCTTCTCGGCAGTGCCAGATGACCAGAGGCACGTACCTGCTGGTCGACGCGGTCCCGGCGATTACTTCTTGTGAACCGTTGACGCCAGAATGCGGGCGGACATTTCAGATACCGGGAGCGGGCGTTTAGGTTTTGCGCATTTTTGTTGGCATGGTCCGGAGACCTGAAGTGCTCCTTGCATAGAATAGACCACGATGGTCGACTGAGATACCCCTTGACGGCTGCCAATCATGCTATCATGCTATCATGCTATCATGCTATACGTGGTAGATGCCAGCCCGATGGAATCCATGAAACCAGTGTTCCGCCATGCCATGGAGGCCGGTATTAGTGTGCTGGCAAGGTTTTCCTTGAGTTGGGACGATTGTCAAAACCCTGTTGCGGGAGACTACCTAGGTTGGTCACTTCCATTAGCCTTTCCATGCATAGAGAAAGGCCGGAAGGTTATCGGGGACACATTTCATGCTTTCTACAAGAATTATCCTATACCGCCACCTATAACTACCTAGCATGATCCTCTCTGAGCTTCGACTTCTTGTGCCTGAGATCAAGAAGCCCTATATCGCAACGACCGTCCCTTCCCACCAGAAGACAAGCATCTACAATTTACCTACCTATCCAAGCAAGAAGATGGAGCCCAAAGAGCCAAAACGGCCAGTGGCACTGAGACCAGTGAGACAGCCTACGGCTCCGCCCGGTTACCAGGGCCCTTGCGAGACAGACGATGTTGGATCGATGCTCGAGAAACTCTCACCGGAGATCCTTGGTGAGATCATTGGAAGCTTGGACGACTTCGTGGATCTTGGCTCGTTGTATTCTTCCTCGCCGGTCGTCTTCCAGGCCTATCTCATCCACCGGAGAAGGATTATCATGCGGATTGTTCTCAGCCACGTCGAGCCGGAGATCCTCAACGAAGCTCTCGCCATAGTCTATTTTCCGACCCTTGAAGCGGACGAGACTCCTTCTGAGAAGCAGCAGAAGATAATCAATCACATCAAAGACTACCATGGCGGAAATCTGAGGCCGCCAGAGCCTTGCCAGTTCGACAAGGTCAAGGCGCTGTGGAAACTGCATACCTTGCTCGACTCGTTCATCGATGATTTTGCCTACAGAGTGAAGAACAAAAGCTGGTCCAATGCCCCATACTGGTCCCATCGTACTCTGCTGCCCCAGGCCAAGCCTGGGTCCCCTTTCCCCTTGTCGCCGACGGAGAAGATCAGGTTCCGACGCGCGTTTGCCAGGTTCGAGCTGTTCGCCACCGCGTTTCCCTTCCGCTCCGGGCCCGAGCTCTTCTCTGCAAAGTCTCGATTCGACCTGCTGCTCTCGCACCTCAAGCCCTGGGAGCTCGAGGAAATGAGGTGCGTAGACAGGTACGTGTTGCTCACGCACTTCGGCCTCCATCAGATGATTTCCGGTCATTTCTACGATGCGGTGCGGCTCGCATTTTTGGAGGAGCAGTCCTTTCCGCCGGGTGGGGAGCTCGTGTATCCTACGGCAGAGCTTCTCGGGGCGGGCTGCCCAGTACAATATCTCATGGGCGGGACTGCCTGGAACCACACGAAGACGACGACGTTGCGGAACCTCGGTTCTCTCGGACTTGCAGCCCTAAACCATGTCTTGAGATGTCCACTCTTGGACTTCGCGCCACTATTCCGAGATATCTACGAGAGTACTTTATCTGACCCACTACCGGCCGGTCTAGAACTGGCAGCGGCTGTGTATCTCGACTCCGACAGGGACCAGGGGCATGATGTAGCGAAGCTATGCTTCAGCTTCACCTCCGAGAGAGTCGACACATGCAATATAGCTTGGTTTGATATGGCCAAACACCAGGAGCATGTGCGGCACCGTAACCAGCCCTGGTTCCGCCACACTATGCAGACCAGCGGTTGGGTTTTGTGGGATTCGCGGTCTACGGCGTTGGGTATACCGAGCGATTTCCGAGCCTGTATGAAACTGACATCCGATATACGCCTGTCTAAGGCACGTCTAGAGGCATTGAGCGACGTCAAGATAGCCAGAGAGACTTGGGAGAACGTGATGCGGAAGTACGTATCGCCAGATCTTGGCGGTTGGTCGGGTAGCGGCACGAAGCAATCAGTAGTTGGGCAAGATGCACTTTAGATGGATGGTCAAGCGTATGTCTATGGACAGTTGGGAGTTTCGAATGTGAATCACTGTTCTGCTTCTCGAGCGTACCTAGCTTCTGGGCTTCACCATCCCCGTCCTGGGATACCTCCCCCACAACAACTAGCACCTAGGGATGATGAAAGTAAAGAATCATAGCTATATGTGCGGCGAGAATGAAACCTTTCGCCTATCCAGTCTCCATAGTAAGGGTCACTTGACCATTCTCATTCCCAATCCCCGATCCAACTTACCAGACTCCTTCCACCTTTACACGAGGAAGTCGACAGACAATCCGGACCCGCCTCCCCACACCCAAAACTGCAGTATCCAACCTACCTACCTACCCATACCTACTATAGTGGAGATTCATCCGCGGCCCCCCATCGAAATACTCGCCATAACCCCCACCAAAGTCACGCGGCGGCAGCGGCGTCCGCATCGGCCCGCCGCCGCCGAGCCCCCAGTGGACATCCGGGACGAACCCCTGCCTGGGAGGCCCACCGACTGCCGCCGCCGCCGCCGTGATCCCGGGTCCCCCGCCCCCCATGGCCGCGGCGTGCTGGAAGCAGGCGCCGCCGCCGCCGCCGCCGCCGCCGCCGCCGCCGCCGCCCCCGACGAGCACCTCGACGGCGCACCCGGCGAAGACGCACTTGTGCCGCTGGCAGAGGCGGGACCCGTTGACGGCCTGGCCGCGACACCCGCCGCCCACGGCGGAGGCCGAGGTGGCCTGGCAGGTGTGCACGGCGCAGAAGGGGAGCGGGGGCCCCGCGTCGTACGTGGCGGCGGTGGTGGGCCAGACGCCCGCAGCCGCAGCCGCCCAGTGACTGGCCGTCGTCGTACTCGGGGGTGGCGCGAGGCCGTGGCGGCGGTTGGGGCAGTGGTGCGCGCCGCACCGGTGGGCGACGCAGTAGGGCGAGAGCGGGCCGCGGTGGCCGGGGCAGCCGTCCACGAGGCAGGTGTGCTCGGCGCAGAAGTGGCCGCCCGCGACGGCGCGGTTTGCGCAGGGCGCCGGGAGATAGCGGCAGCGGTCTGGGTGGTCTTTTTTTGGTTTGTTATGTCAATAAGGGCTCCTGCCGTCGTGGAGAAAAAGGGGGAGGAAAAAAGGGGGTGACGCACGGTTGTTATACTGGTCGTGGATGTGGATTCCCTCTGTCCCGAACATCCTATCCCCATTGCACCCCGCGGCCGCGCACCCCTGGTGTCTGGCACAGAAGCCGACGCCCTCGCGGGCCTCCCCGTCGCACTCCCTCCTCCCGCACTTGTGCGAGCCGCACCACATGGCGCCGTCGAAGCGGTCCCTCCTGCACCCGACGCGGCCGCACTGGTGGTCCGCGCAGAACGAGCCGTCGGCCAGGGCGAGGGCGGCCGCGCACCCGGGCCGCCGGCACGTGTGCCTGTAGCAGTAGTAGCCGCCGGCCTCGCGGCCGCGCTCGCTCTCGCACCCGTCCCAGCGGCAGTAGTGGTCGCCGCAGAACCGGCTCATCTCCCCGCTGTCGTGCATGTGGACGCGCCGCCCACACGCCCCGCGGTCGCAGCGCCGGTGCGCGTTGCAGAACCGGCCCCGGCTTCCCGGCTCGCCGCTGCCCGAGGCCCGGGCCCAGCAGCCCTGCGACTCGCACGTGTGCCGGGCGCAGAAGGCGCCGTCGGGGGCTCGCCCTTCGTTGCAGTCTGGCGATCGGCAGACGTGGTCCGCGCAGAAGCCCGAGTTTGCTTGGCGATGGGCTGCGCAGTTGGGGGCTTCGCAGCTGTCTATTTGGGGGCAGCAGGTTAATTGTGGGAGAAGAGGAGATGGTCACCAGGTTGGCATGTTGGCGAAGAGCAGAAAGGGGGCTTTACTTACGGCGGCTACAGAACTTATATCTTACCGGATCATAGTACCTGATGTCCTCACTGCAGTTCGCGGCGCAGCATCTCATGTCTATCACAGCGACTCTTGATTAGCACTCATTCCCCATGCCATATTGTCTGCGGCCATAGGTACTCACGATCGTGACACCACATATAGTTTACGTACTTCCGGGGGTTCGGACATAACAGGAGGTTCTCGACCCTGCCACAGAAGCAGTCACGGCAATATCTCGACGGATAAGACTGACCATTGTGGTTCAGGAGGTTGAATTTGTGCCCACACATTGCACACCGCATCTTGTCGTCCCTTCGATAACTGTACCCCTGAGATACGATGGCTGAGCAAAATGCGCTGTGTCCGTAAGGCTGAGAAAAGGCGTTCGAACCACACAAAGCCAAGTCGGTCGCGTGGGATTTGTCCTGATGCTGAAGACGGCGGCGGGCCGGACTATTTAAAGGCATGGCCGACCAAGCTGGGTGGTATCCGAGTATGGAATGGCCCGAGAAGACACTCACTCGTTCGCAGTGTCAAACAGTGACGTGGACTTCACCTGTCGTGCTACATATCGAGATTGCGATGGACCTGATCGGGCAAGCAGTCCGGTACCTCGACGCTCTCCTGACCAAGAGTTCCTTAATCGAGATTCGACAGAGCTAGGCGAAACATACTCATTGCTGCCAAATCCTAGATGTTAAACTGGGAAAGTCGGGACGACCCATTTGCTAGCTGGGTTGGCCGACGTTTATGATGCCACTTGGTGATTGAGCAACATCGCAGCAATCTGAGAGGACGGCGATGTCTCCATCATTAGTGTACTCGTGGATTTATTAGAGTGACAGCCTACGCCGCTGGACAACTCTATCCTCGGCTCGTGTTCCTGATCACGAAGCCAAGGGGCCTCAATATGAATCCCTGCTGTATCTGTGTCCACAGGGAATGGAAGACTTCGGCCCCTGGGTCGAACCGCTTCATTATCTTTTTTGATACCAGGAGGAGACAGTGAGTAGCACGTATTGGAAACGGAGTGGTTCCCGCAGAACAAGCTGCTGGTAGACGTATATTCAATACTCTATAATCGAACCCCACGAACCAGGCAAATTGCCGATGGTCCCTCGATTCGGTCGATTGTATCGACTTGATGTAGACGAGTACTACTTACTGTGCGCCGCCTCGTCCAAAAATGTGGTATCATGACGCACAAACAAACACCCGTACCAGACGGCTAGCAGGGCCCTCCGAAGCGGTGAATACCGTCTACACGAGCATGGCCACCCATGGCCATGATTGCCTCGCGGCTGGCTGCCTGATATCTTTAGGCTCCCCCCACCCCCCTTAGCTTCTACTTCTCTCCCCGCCAGACGCCTCGTTTTGCCTCGTAGGACAAGGTGGGCCCTCAACTCGCTAGACTCCTATCTACCCGTAGGCGTGTAGAGTTCGCATCAAAAATCAGCAGCTAGTAATGCCGGCATTATGGGAGAGGCTCCCGGTTTCACCACAGCAAGCAGCTGTCGTGCTTTACGTGGATCCATTGCACAAGCCTCCCCATGTATCGCGCCCGAGTGAGCTAAAATGTCGGAAGCCTGTTCCGTATTCGCATGCAGCTATACGCTCAGGCTTATCTTAGGGATTCAGCTAGACGGCGCTGTCACGGAAGGCTGAAATGTTTTCGTTTCCGGCACTGTGGTCTCATGGTTGGTGACCGGAGGGGTGGGGGGCGCCGGACGTGGTGCTGATTGCGTGCTGGTGCCGCTCGTAGTTGAGACGGGGTGTGCATGCGGTTGGGACGCCTGTTGCAACTGTGCCTGCACTAAAGGCTTCTGAGGCTGGGTCTGGCGTGCAGAAAGTACTTGTGGCTCGATCTTAGCTTCTTGCACCCCCGGCTGGCCTGCAGGCTGCATCTCGGTGTGTGCTCCTGGCTGCATCGTAGGTCGCTCAATCTCAGCCCGGTGCACAACTGGCTGTTCCGGTCGTTCGATTTTGGGTTGTTGCGTTGGTTGCTGTATCGGCTGCTGTATCGGCTGCTGTATCGGCTGCTGTATCGGCTGTTGCGCCGGCTGCTGTACCGGTTGATGCACCGGCTGATGCACCGGCTGATGCACCGCCTGCTGTATCGCTGACATGTCGAGCCGCTCCATCTTGGCCTGGTACATCGCTAGGGGGTCCGTCGGCTCGCTCTTCACATTTGGCGATGTGGCAGCGGCAATGGGTGTGTTCCTGACGGGCGAGAATGCCGGGATCGCGACCCCAACACCGGGCGTTACAGGGCTCGCTCTCGTGGACGTTGACGCTCCCGAGATCGGCACTGGGCTGCTGGTATTCCGGTTATTGTTGTGGAGGCTCTGTGCATGCGTCGTGATCCCTTGGAGCCTCGCGTGTTCCTCCTCTGAATTCAGTCGTGCCTTTTCCTCGGCTTCCTTCCGCGCAGCCTGGCTGGGCGCCCGTGTCTTCAACTCACCGGTGACGCACTGCAAATAATAAGGCATCTCCGAGTTGGTTTTGAGGAAGAAGAGCTTGAGGTTCCGAGCCTTGTCTTTGAGTTGAACTTGTGTCCTGTCCTTTAGAATATCCGAGATGGCTCCATTTTGCCCAAAAAGTGTCAAAATCTGGCTCCAGTGGGGGCCTTTAACCATGTCCAAGCCAGCCATGAGAGCCTTCTCCTCTTCAGGGGTCCAGGCCCTGCGCGTAGAATGGAGTCCCTCGCGCCGGGCAGTGGAAGACGACTTGGCAACAGCTGCCTGTCGGGCCCGCTCGTACAGTATCGAGGTGGGGAATGTCTGGTTGGGGGGGAGCGTTCCTCCTTCTGCGGGAGGTTGCGGTGGCGGCGGGGGTTGGTGGGTGTATGAATAGTACGGTGTTTGAGATAGCTGGTTGAGTTGAGCTAGGGAGGGGGATTGAACAGCAGCTGCGTCATATTAGCAATGGCCCCGAAGCACGTATGGCCAAACTGATAGCAAACTTACCGGCACTGCTGGGGGGTAGCGTTGTTGGATGATACGGCTGAGAACTGGAGAAACTGGGGCTGCCGTTTGAGACGTTCCCAAAGCCCGTGTTCAGTTTTGATGCGATCAAGGATGCGAGACCCCCTGAATCGAACATATCAGTCCCAGTCCCGTTTGTCGCTGTCGTGTCTGCTAGTTCCTCCTTCGCTGGGTCACCTTGGCCTGATAGAGACTCCTGTATGAGTTTACCAAGACCCAGACTGTCGCTTAAGCTGGTAGAGCCTTCATTTGTACTCGAGCCGAGATCCATGTTTGCCGAATCCTCCGCACCATTTGGGATCAGGCCGGATGTTGCGTTCTGTAAGAGCAGGGATAGCTCGTCGTGATCGGTCTCAAGTTGGCCATTTTCCAACGGTTCGCTGACGGCCAAGTCCTCGCTGATCGGGATGTTGATCCCATACTTTTCTGCATACTCTATTGTCGCTCCCAACTGGCTTTGCAAGTATGCGCCTAGATCATCAGCGAGGCTTTCGAACGGATACAGCTCTGCCAACCGTGCTGGGTTCCTGTTAGCATCACTGGCTTGAACTTGGCGGTTGTCGAGGCTTACATCTCTTCTCGTCGTCGAGGATGGACTCAAGTAGCTCCTGTCTCCGAGTCCTGATCCCCGACGCTAACCTCTCTCTTTCCTGTGTCCTGGATGGACTGTCGCCGAGATTTCGGCTTACAGTTTCGTCCACATTGGCCGGGAAATGCGCATCTAGCGCATCGGATCTGCCCTGACTATCTTCGGTTTGCTTCATCGATATCAAGAACGCCTGTGTCTTGAAACTGATGCACAAATTTGCCGTGTTCTCGGCAAACTCTCCATCTTCCGGTATGAAGACCGCCGCAAAGTTCTCGTGACATTCGGAGACGAGACCATCGTCTCCTTGAAGCACACTGGAGCTTATGGCGGCAAGATTCGACATCCGTAGTGTCTCGCGGTCCTCAGAATCGCTGACTTCCAGATCGTCGGCGAAAAGAAGGGGCGACGACTCGGAGAATATTCGTCTCGCGTGCTCCAGAGAATTCTTTAGGAGGTCGTAAGCCTTGCGATATTCCGACTCCCGGTCAGCGATAAGCGCCAGGGTCTCCTGCCTGGGTTGTTGTGAGAGAGCGAGCAGGATCTGGACGGCCTGTAACCCAGTTTGATTAGGATCTTATTCCCTGAGGCGGCCGAGGGCATGGACGACGACTCACCAAACTGCCCAACAATGGCAGGCTCATGGTCCGCATCACATAGTATGGATTGCTGGAGAACTTCATCCGCTTCTGCTCTACCTTCCGCGCAGTCGTGGGCTGAGGATGGGTTGTGTCCGCGGTGGAATTGTAGTTCGCGCCATCGTCTGCTGTAACGGCAGGCTGATGCAATTGCTCGTCCAGAGATCCCAGCGCATTCTGGATCATGGTGGAGATATCCCAGCTGGTCGAGCCCATGTCTGGGAGAACATTCCCCGGGGACCCATGATCATCTGTCTTTTGTCGCTTCTCGGCGCAACCTTCGTCGTCAAGTTCGGCTGTCCGCGGCCGTTTCGAAGGTGACGTCGTAGGCTCTGTGACCTCTGGTTCGGGGATCGTGGGCCCAGGCTCAACCTTGTCGTCTGCGATCATGTCAGTAATGCCCACCAGGAGAACACTCGAATCCGGTCGCAAATGCGATCGCAAGGGACCATACCAGGGACAGACGCGAAGGCTGCAAGCAGGTCTGCAGCCAAATCAGGAGCAATGTCTGCCATGTCTGCGACTCCCGATCTGACTGGCGATATTCGCGATCTCAATCAACCCGGATCGTCAACCTAGCTCCCCAGACGGCCGCCCCGCTCACGGCGACCTTGGCCCGATTGGATGTCGGAGAAATTTTCTTGCCTCGACTACCGTTCCTGGCCGCAAAACCCCTTCTTTTTGGCCTTCGAAAACGGTATGGAGATTTGAGCAGACATCTACTTTCATATGGGAGCAAAAGTCAAAAAAGTTCTCAGGCGTGCAATAACTAACGGGACCTCGCAAAGTGCTTCTAGTCGAGGCGGCCTGTCTACGTCCTCGCCGCTTTATTGGCACGCAAGGATCACAATCCGGCCTTATCGTGAAAACTCGGCAAAACTTAAATCCATCTCACCCCACTGGTTCCGCTCAGGTATCTAGGTACCTACCCTGCACCGAGGTGGAGGGTTTTCAACCTCTCACGTGATTCAGCCCACCACCTTGCCATTTTTACCATCCCACTTCATTTTCGATATACCCTCTCTAATCCCCGACGTCGTCCTCGTATCTTTGTCAGTAAGTCAATCCCAGAGCTTGCCTCAAACCGTGCCTACCGACCTTGCAGCTGGTCTTGAGATTTCAAGCTCAGGTACGACCCAGCCCTCTTCCGGGCACGGTCCACGCACAATCCCGAAATTAACCACCATCTTTTTCGTAGTTCCTATCACCACCAACTCAACCAGACAACTTTCCGATTTTCGGTCAGCACGTAAACATGGAGAACGACAAGGGCAACATCGTGGATCTGTATGGCGGCCCCCCTCCGATTTCCCAACCTTACGCCCCCTTAAATAAACAATTTGACTAATTTTTGGTTATGTAAAAAACAGCTACATCCCGAGAAAGTGCAGCGCCTCGAACCGCATCATCCGGGCAAAGGACCATGCCGCCGTCCAGATTGCGATCGCGAAGGTCTCTGACGACGGCCGTGCCATCCCCGGCGACAACCACGTCTACGCGCTGTGCGGCTTCGTGCGCGCGCAAGGAGAGGGCGACGACTCGCTGAACCGACTGGCCCAGAGGGACGGCTTCCTCAAGAGCGTCTGGAGCGCGGTGCGGTAAACTATGGGTAACATTTGGGCCGGTGAACGGGGGAGCTGAGTAGTGGGGAGCAAGAATAAAAAAATTGTTTCCTACTGGAGGGGGAAGTAGAGGATAGAATTCTCAGCCGACCGCATGGAATACTTGGGTCTTTTTACAAGGGGCGTCTACTTTGCGGAATTCTTCGGTTTCGTATGACAGATATGAGCCAGATTCATAGAAGAACTCCCGCCTGGGATATGTGAAAGGCATAAGAAACCATGGGCTCCCCTGGCCTTTTTCCCCCCACCTGAAATGTCATGTGCATGCATACGCTGCTGCTCTGTTTGATCGAGATGCTAATCCATCAACTTCGTCGCATTGACTATCTTTGGCCACCTATGTAACCATTTCCTAAGCTAATTTTTCTCGCGGACTGGCAGCGGATTTCCTGCGGCCGTTTTCCCCTTCGCAGGGAGGGGGGTCTTCTCAGTCCGCTCCGGGGCCTCCTTTACGAAGGGGATAAACTCGGGTTGGCCAGGGATATACTTCCTCAGAACACTTGGAACAGTCAATCCTTCCTCGGTCTGGTAGTTCTCCAGGATGCAGCAGAGGGTCCGCTCGGTTGCGCACAATGTCTGAGGACAGAAGGTTAGAGAAACAAACACGTTGAAAAATGACGAGGTAGGACTACTTACGGCGTTCAGGGCGTGGACGTATTCCTTCTTCCCCGATCCTACCATGTTCTTCCCCTTTTTGACACCGAAGCGGATCTCAAGCTCCCTGGTTTGGTAATCTGTGCAATTGGAGCAGGAGACGAGCTCTTTATACTCGGCCTGGAAGGGGAAGTACGCTTCCAGATCCTGCTTTTTCGCCGCCGCGTTGTTTAGGGCCCCGGAGACGATGCCGACAACGTTGTAAGGCAGACCAAGAGACTGGTAGAACTCCTCAGAGACGGCCATCATCTCGTCAAAGTGTTGCCAGCTCTCGTCAGGCTTGCACAGGATGAATTGCTCGACCTTTTCGAATTGGTGCACGCGGAACACACCCCAAGCATCCCGTCCATGGCTACCGGCTTCCTTGCGGAAGCAGGTGCTGTAGCCGCCGTATTTAATCGGCAATTGGCTGGGCTGCAGCCATTCCTCGGAATGGAGGCAGGAGAGTGGCTGCTCACTGGTGGCGATCAGGTACCGATCAGACTCGCCATTATCAGCGCCTTCCGAAACGCGGTAAAGTTCTTCGTCAAACTGCGAGAGCTGGGCTGTCTTCGCCATTTGTTCGCGGTTCAGGAAGAAGGGCGGTTGGTTCGGTGTATAGCCTGCAAACTCAAGTCAGGTCAAGTTGCGAAGGTGGTCCGGGTAGGGTTGCTCACCTCTCGAGAACAGGAACTCCACTCCATAGTTGATCAGGGCCATGTTCCTGGACAGTGTTAGTGTCATTACTCGTTAGTCTTGGAGTTTTGGGACAATACAGGAAAAAGCCATAGCCCGTCAAGCAGTAGCCCCGGTGCCCAACAAGCTTCACACCCCTCACAGGATCGTAGCCATCGAGCCTCCAGAGGACCTCGTGATGTGACAATGCCGGCTTCCGGGTTTCATCAAATCCCTCGGGCGCCCACGTGCGGATGGTGGAGTTCTCATCCTCGGTCATGCTAACCGGGACAGTCTCGTGGACGTAGTTACCGACGGTGCGAACCTTGATCTGGAGTTCGCTGTGTTTCGAGGCAGCAATGGCCTCCTGTGCGGCCTTCTTTTTTTGCAAATCATCCTTCTGTTGGAGAAGGTCGTCCGCGTTCTCCTTGGCCTTCTTCTTCAGGCCAATTTGTTTCTGGACGCCATTTATTTCGGTGCCGATTCGAGTGAATTCATATTGGGCTGAGAAGGGGTCAGAATGGGCGCTGAAAGCGTATATTCGAATGTCATTGCGGCCTACCAGCACGGGCTTCCTGCCATAGGGTGATGATCTCGTCAACGATCTCAACAGGGGCGCCACGTCGTCGCTGGCTCTCCCTGATTTTCTCTGGGTCACCTCCGCGCTCCTTGATAAAATCGTCAGCGTCCAGCATCGTGGCGTTATTGTCGTTATTGTCAACTGTGGGGCCTTTTTTCGAGGTTGATCAACGACTGGGACGATGTTTGATCGTTTGGTGGGGGGCTGTAAACTGTTAAAGTGACTCAAAATCGGTATCGTGGAGGGGTAGGATTCTGCCTCAGGATCCCGCCCTCCTGCGCCCCGCTGTGCCCCGGCCATCTCAGGTCGGGCCCCGGTCCCACACCTAATTGGCTTTCGGAACCCAAGTCGGCCCGATGCTTCGTTTCCCTAGGTACCTAGTACCTACTGCCCAGACGCCACCTACCAGATGCAGAGTACTCCGTAGCAGCGAAGAGACGGAGTGATTCCACGGGGCTTACGGATTAGAACAATGGAAAATACCAAATCCAAAATATGGAATATTCATTTTCGAAAATGTTACAGACTAAAGCAAGAAACGCACCCCTGGTTCGAGTCGACTCGTCTTACTCATCCCGGTCCTGTCGGGAACGGGGCGACTACTCTAAGACCTACAGCCAGGGGTCAGCGAAGAAAAAGACGGTGCGAGGAGGGAAGGGGCCTTACCTCCTGCATTACCTCCTGAAGGAGGTCTTCAAGTCGGCCAAAGCGCGTGTTCATACGCGCCTCGAAAGCCTCAAGGGCATCATTAGACAGAGGGCGCGGCGCCGCGGCTGCGGCGGGAGGGGCAGTGGCAGGGAGGGGCGACGGAGGCGACGGCGACAGGGCCGCGGCAGCTCCAACCCTACCCGGGCGGTGACGCTCGGCCCCTGCTAGGGACTTGCAGGCGACAAAGAGGGGGTCGGCCAGCTAGCAAGTGGTATCGGTGCATCGTCGCGGAAATGACGGGGGGGGGGAGTAGAGTCGGCTCACCACCTGCTTCTGCCTCTTAGACGCATGTGGCGAGACGTTTTCAAGCTCCTCCGCGGCTTCACATGCCGCGAGGTAGGTGGCCCGGTTGGCCGGTGCCTAGGGACCAAATCAGTATTGCTTCACGACACGGGCGGGCTTCTTTAGAAAGAGCGGCGAGCTGCAAACCGTGTGGTAGTAATCAATACTAGAACCAAATGATTTAATGGAGAACCTGTCACGGTGCGGAGTGGGATATCAAATATGCTTCAAAAAGTAAATAGAGTAAAAATACATCAGGGGCTCCGATATTCATGGGAACTAAGACAGGATACTCCAGAAACCTCCCATTATCGCCCAAGCTACTACCGCCCCGCCATCCTACGTCGCAGTCGTGTTGATGCTGAACTTGTAGCTGGCCTGGAGAACATAGGGGTCACCGCCTGGCTCGAAGATCTGCTTCTTGGACCGCTGCCACTGGGGCTGGTTGATAGCATCAATCCAGTCCTCAACCTCGAGCACGACACATCCGTACTTGGGGATCGTGCGGGGGAATTTCGGGTTATCGAACAGGCCCTGCGTGGTCTTCAGGGTCAGGGACCCGTTCTGCCCATTGCACGAGTACATTTGGAAGGCCTCCTGGTCCGTGTAGACGTCAAGCTGAATACCCGACCACGCTGACTGCAGACGCGCCACGAAGCCGCCCTCAGCCCGCCAGTCGTAAGGGCCGTTTTGCTCGCGGTTCACGAGCCAGCAAGTGTCTATCGATCAAGTTAGCGAACCACCCTTGAGAGCCGCGAAGCTGGGAACGCCTACCATATCCAGAACAGTTGAACCCGCAGTTGTTGTGGATCTCGGGGTCAGCAAAGCCGGCGCCAATCTGCTTCGGGGAACTCCAAAAATCATTGACGGAGCCCGGGTGGTTGGCGATGATATCACCTGTCGGGATGAGGATGTTGTCAACGCCGACCCTCTGCCCGCTATAGGGCAGATAGAAGGTATGGTTCAGGGCCGTGTTGGTCTCGTTGTTGGCGAAGCCATCCAGGTTCCAGTACGTATGACTGCTCAGCATGATGGGCGTCTTCTTTGTTGTCGGGATGGCAACCATCTTCAAGTCCCAGGTCATGTCGCCGAGGGTGTAAGTGATGTACGAGATGACCTCGCCGGGGAAACCTTGGGCGGCATCGGGATCCACGATCGAAAACGTGATGCTGCTGTCCGAATGAGAAACGACGGTGAAGTTCCGCCAGTCCCATCCATCCGGGCCGCCGTGGAGAGTATCGATACCATCCGGGTGCTCGGCGGTGGGATTCTCGTTTGCCAGCACATTGTAAACGATGTCGTCTATCTCGAACGAGCTGTTCTTGATGCGATTGGCATAGCGCCCGGGGACACCACCGAGATGTGGATGCTGCTTGTCGACCCCGTAGTAGGTGGCGTTGTCGAAGCCAGCCACGATATCGCGCTTAATCCCGCGTTTGTCCTTTATCAGTAGGTTGCTGATGGAGGCGCCATAGGGAATGAAGGCGGCAGAAATGCCTTCTCCATGGATCCAGTACTTCCCATCCTCGTCAGGGGTGGGAGCAGTCGCGTCGCCGGCAGAACCGTCTACCCTCGTCTGCAGGCGCGCAAACACCCCCGACAGGAAGAGCACAGTCAGAGAGATGGAATTGAGACGCATTATGGTGGTGATGACAACGCAGGGATTAGGACTACAAGCTCGGAGGTTAAGGGGAGAGAGAGGTAGCCCAGTAGTAGCAACCTCCTGGAGTGAATGAGGGGTAGGGTGAGGGGCAGGGCGAGAGAATGAGAGGGCGGATATCTTTATACCTCCCTAGGTAGGTAGGTAGGTAGTAAGGGGGGGAACCAATGTTGACGGGAAATGGAAAGGAGCGGAGCTGGGGGATGGCGATGATCAAGCTTCAATACTGCGCCCACCAGCGTATCCGAATGTACCCATCCCCGACCGCGAATGCTGTTGCTACTCCGCTTGGGGCGGTACGTCAACGATCCCGGACATGCATGGGGAGAGCTTGTTATTTCGAAATTGGAAGCTGGAGGAGGAGCTTCGGTGACTTGGGTGATCATTCTGCGAAGGTGGGTTGATCCGAGCCTATGACGAGCGTTGGCCGGCAGAGTGCGGCATGTACTCAACGGCTGCCCCGAGCTTCCTGAAGCGTCATAGGTGGACAGGAGAGTAATGAGAGGGACACGAGGGACGCCCAATTCACGAGGCTGGATCTTCCCCGGCAATTCCTGGGCTCACACTTCAAGTTGGGCAAGTTACACACTAGGTACCTACCTTATTACCTTTCTTTACCTTACGTTACACCGCCAGGCCTGTCGGCGCTTGCTCGGGGCAGCACAGGATGCCCGATGCTTGATGAGCAGCTCACTTCCGCTCTAGGCCGCCACAGGTGGTAATATTTTCGTCCCCTAATCGCCTGGCTGTGTGTTCTCGGTCCTGCTCCCACGAGACCCCGAGGTCACTTCTGGCAAATTGGTGCTGGCCTGGTTCCATGTTGTTCGCAAATACGGTTGAATTGTGTATCTGTAGTTCGGTACTGTACCTATACTGGCAGGGTAAGGTCGGGTGGTAGGTTTCATTGGCGCGGGTGTGGCTGCACCGTTGGGATGAAAGCTTGTTTAGAATCCGGGGTTGCCTCCTCTGTAGGAAGTAGATGCGGGGTTAAGTTAGCTGCTAATTGGGGTAAATACGGATGTAGTCGCTTCGTTTACAGCCATTCCCAGTCCATCCTTCACCTCCAACTTCCATAACTTTTATATGAGGAAAGACACCACAGCTCCCCCAAGTAGGTAGGTAAGCAGTGACCAGTCGGACAATTTGCGCATCGCGTGTCCAACTGACGCGACAGCAACACGAGGTCTAAACCTAGGCACTGCCGGACATTGCAGGACACATGGAGCAAGACCGAAGCTGGCATGCCGTGGATAGTAATAGAGTACCTATTTAGCTTGAGCAAGGCGAAGGGTTTTCATCGTCGACTAGTCTCTGCTTGTCAATGGGCTTGTAAGGAATCGTGCACAAGGAGAAAGCCATGGACTAGCTTTCGATGCGCTGGCGAGGTGGAATAGATCTTACTGAGTTGCAATTTTGCTGGCTTTTCCCACGACATGCCGAACATGAGTTCCGGTGTGGGCTAGACCACATACACGGACACACGGGAGTGGGAAGACCATTTGTTCTGAGTCCTTATCTGCAAGGCGGATAGCCTTTTTGATACATGGCATGCATGGGTGTTTGCATGGGGCAGCAATGCCCTGAAGACGGTTGCCGGTGAGAGAACGACGGCCAGGCTGCTCGTGTGGAGGTGAGAGGTGAAACAAGGAACCGAAAATGATCGCATTTTTCCAGTCTACATGTCCGAAGTCGAGGCGCATTGTCTCGTGCCATTAAATACATGGCGGCGCGGAGAAATAAACAAGAAAAGAGCCCGATGAGTGCTGGCCCTTGCGAACCAGTGAACCCCCCCCCTTAAGACCAACGGCCGGATGCCAAACCCCAAGTTGGCAACGGTGTCTCCCTCGCGACAAGGCGCAATTATGCGTCGATCAGGTTCTCCCCCTCGCCCGATGTGTCCCTCGTGTCTTTCGTCGGGGCCTTGCCCTTGCCCTTACGGTCTGCTGCCGTTCGCTGGTAGTACTCGTTGATGATCTTGGCAGGGATCCGGTTCAGCATGTCCTTGCGGTAGATTCGAAGCAAGCTCCACGCGAGGTCGAGGGACTCGTAAATCGTTCGGGACTCGTACGCCCCTTGGTTAATGAAGGTTCGTTCGAACTTGTCCAGGAACTCCAGAGACAACTTGTCCTCGGGGGACAGCGCCTCCTCACCAACCACGGCCTTCATCGCGGCGGCATCACGGCCAATGGCGTACTTTGCGTACAGCTGGTTTGACACGTCGCCGTGATCCTTGCGCGTCATCCCCTCGCCGATGGCAGACTTCATGAGACGCGAGAGAGATGGCAAAACGTTGATGGGGGGGTAGATGCCGCGGTTGTAGAGGTTTCGGTCCACGAAGATCTGGCCCTCTGTGATGTACCCCGTCAAGTCGGGAATGGGATGCGTGATATCGTCGTTGGGCATGGTGAGAATAGGAATCTGCGTGATGGACCCGTTGCGACCCTCAACACGGCCTGCGCGTTCGTAAATGGTCGACAAATCAGTGTACATGTAGCCTGGGAAACCTCGACGGCCCGGCACTTCTTCTCGCGCAGCAGAGACTTCACGAAGAGCATCGCAGTACGCTGACAGGTCAGTAAGGATGACCAAGACGTGCTTTTCAAGCTGGTAGGCGTAGTACTCGGCGGTGGTGAGAGCCAGGCGAGGGGTGATGATACGTTCGATGCTGCTCCGGCGTTAGCGATTGAGGACTGGTCTGAAAAGGAGTATCTCGAGAGACGTACGTTGGGTCATTGGCAAGATTGAGGAAAAGAGTCACGCGCTCTAGGCTGCCATTTTCCTCGAAATCCCGGGTGAAGAAGCGTGCGGTTTCGAGGTTGACACCCATGGCCGCGAACACGATGGAGAAGTTCTCCTCGTGCCCATCATGAACCCCCTTGTTCGTAACCCCATCACGCTGGACCAAGCCAGCTTGGCGGCAGATCTGAGCGGCGATTTCATTGTGTGGTAAACCCGACGCCGAGAAAATGGGGATCTTCTGCCCACGGGCAATCGAGTTCATGGTGTCGATGGCAGAGATGCCCGTCGAGATCATCTCCTCTGGGTATACCTAGCAGTATCTTAGCAGACGGACCTCGGGCTGGCGACGAGGCAACTCACTCTTGAGTACGGGTTGATAGGACTGCCATTGATATCCAAGTACTCCTCCGCTAAGACCTTTGGGCCTTTGTCGATTGGCCGACCCGAGCCATCGAAGATGCGACCCAACATATCCTCTGAGACACCAAGCTTGAAGCTTTTCCCCGTGAATTCTACTTTCGTCTGCCCGTATCCATCGGTTAATATTGCCGAGATCAGGTCATAGGGGTGGTTATTTGCTCACCTTCTTCACATCGATGCCTGGGGTGCCTTCGAAGACCTAGCTCTCTGGTCAACCAGCTGCTCCCGAGGTTATTATAACATTTCGACAAATTACCTGCACAACTGCTCGATTTCCTGTCGCCGCCTAGTCAATAATGAGCTTCCTCGGCTTCCCAGCTGGAACACTAACCTCGAGCCTCCAGGACTTGACCTGAACGTTCAGTTCCATCGGGAAGTGTGAGGGTAACGATCTCGTTGTATCTCGGGAATTTGACCTTGCAGGTCTGTCAACACACCAGCACCCAAGTCGGGGAGGGGAAGCACAAACATTGTCGAGGATGACCAGAGGCCCGTTGACACCACTAACAGTGTTGTATCGGATTCGGGGGGTGACCGAGTAGGACGAGGATTCTCGAGGGTCGCTCATCGTGAAGAGAATGCGGCGGGTCAGGCCCAGATAGAGGGGAAAAGCCGGATAGAGGAGAAGAAGCTCGGCACCCGCTCCGGATATAGCTGAGGATGCTTAGCGGAGGTGCGAATAGGATGGCTGGAGGTGAGGTTGGCAGACAGGAGCTAGTTAGTAATAGGTAGTTAACTGCCCAATATCTGTATCCCGTAGTTCCCCCAAGGATGGAAGCTTTGGCCGCCTATCACATGACGGCGTGCTACGAACCCCGCAGCTTTAGGTGCATGGTTCCATGTCAGAGCTCCCTACTGAATTTTGCAACCTCCTAGAGCTCTATGCATTTTGCGTTGAAGCTCTTATTATACTCGGGCCTGTCGACAAACGAGAACGAGCGCGGCCACTGTGAGGGCGCGTGAAATCACCTTACCTCACCGCGATGCGATTGACAATCTAGTCCCCGTCAAACAGCAATCATGTCAAGCATCTACAATCTCGAACCACAGCCGACGGCATCTGCGATCATCCATACGACCCAGGGCGAGATTTCTGTCGAGCTTTTCGCAAAGCAAACGCCCCTTACATGCCGCAATTTCCTGCAGCTCTGCCTTGATGGCTACTATGACAACACCATCTTCCATCGCCTTGTCCCAGGCTTCATCCTTCAGGGCGGAGATCCGACCGGGACTGGCAATGGCGGCGAGTCGATCTACGATGGCGGTGCCTTCAGCGGGGATCTGGATCCATGGCCAATGGACCAGAGAACCGGCAAGAATGCGGGGCCCACGGGGATCAACTTCAAAGACGAGTTTCATTCGAGGTTGAAGTTCAACCGCAGGGGCTTATTGGGGATGGCGAACGAGGGAGCTCAAAATACGAATGGGAGCCAATTCTTCTTCACGCTCGGCAAGACCGAAGAGCTAACCGGCAAGAATACCTTGTTCGGCAGAGTGGCTGGTAATACCATTTACAACTTGATGAAGATGGGAGAAACCGACGTCGAGGAGGAAGGCGAACGGCCCGTATATCCTACCAAGATCACCAGCGTGGAGATTGTCGTCAATCCTTTTGATGATATGAAGAAGAGAGAAAGGGTGGCGCGTACAAGCGTCCAGAAAGCACCCGCGGCGGCGAAGAAGCAGAAGAAGAGAAAGGGTGGGAAGCAGCTGCTAAGCTTTGAGGATGAGGAGGGTGACGCTGACGCCCTACCCGTGGCTAAGAAGGCCAAATTCGACACACGGATCGTAATGGACGCTGAGGACGAACAACTCGAGTCGTCGAGGAGCAAGGCAGTGAAGAAGACATTGCCGAAGGCTGCGAAGGTTGAGGAAAGAGCAGTTCCGATGAGGGCAAAACCAGAAAAGGAGGCACGACGTAGGTCGAGTAGGTCGAGTAGTGCGAGTAGTGCGAGTCCTACTCAACCAGAGCCTCCCAGACGAGAACATCCGAGACCAGAAGCGACGTCGGACGAGGAGTCGGAAGCGGAGCCGGAGCACCCCAAGAAGAAGTCTCTCCTTGAACAGACCAATGCCGAGATTGCAGCCCTGAAAGCCTCTATGAAGCGGAACATCCAGATGGAGCCGGTAAAGGAGAAGAAAAAGTCTGCACTGGAGCAGCTAATACCGGAAACCTCGATACGAGGAAGAAAACGACGGCCAGGAGGGGCCACCGCATCAAAAGATGCCCTCAAGTCGTTGGAGATGCTCAAGGCGTTCCAGGCGAAGCTTCAACAGGCACCGTCAGAAAAGGCCCAAGGAGAACCAGAGCCCTCGGCCCCCTCGGCTCAAGGTGTGGAAGACAGCAGTGCCAAGGATGGGGTGGATGAAGGAGAGGTTTGTGACCTCCACTTCATTGCCAACTGCCAGAGTTGCAAATCATGGGACAAGATTGAAGCCAAGGAAGAAAGCGATGACGAAGGCTGGATGTCTCATTCATTGAGCTTCGCCGCGGATAAGCTGGGCAAAGACCTCAGTTACAGGAAGAAGGCAGAAGAGGAGCTGGTAGTCATCGATCCTCTGGAGAAAGCTCGCACGCTGAAAGAAGAGAAGCGGGCAACGAGGGAGGCTCGGTCAGGGGGCTCTGGCAGAGCATGGGACCAGGCTCGGAATGCACAGTTGGCAAAAGCTTCTGCCTTGGCTGGGAGAGGTGCCAAGTAGATACTGCATAGTACCTAGGGTAGATCTCTTGCACAGGTGGCCTTTATATGTATCGAGATACCCAATTCTGTCAAGTCCCCTCAGTCTACTAAACATGACGGCGTCGAAGCCGCACCTTGGATCCAGGTTACTTGGTTGTACCTAAAGTGCGATACGATACAAGTGGTCAACTGCTTGGGAGTCAAAGAAAAACAAAGGCATTGTTGCCTGGAATCAATGGTGAGATGGAAAGGAGTACCTAAGAACCCCGCCATCGGTAATCAACGGCAGTCATCATCCATTAGAAAAAAAGTATATTTCTTTGTACCCATTGTCCCCACGTGTTGGTTACGCTGATATCTGTTATCTTCCTGGCCGCTGATTGGCTTGGAACGCTAGCTCGTGCTTCCGTGAGCCTCAATCGCAAGTTGAAGGCCCGCAGTCGAAAGCTGTCGCGTTTTTGCCAGTCCAAGCCCACTATCCTTACATCCTCTTCTGCGGTCTCCAGTCCCAAGCGATTGATTCGTCCCTTACTCCTGAGCCATGAGACGCGCGGTTTAAGACAGACTCCCACCGGCAGATAAACCACTCCTGGCGCAAAGCATCTATCTGATGCCAAATGGCAAAACCCCGACTCTAAGGACGAAGAGACCGACTTTTCAACGCTTTCATCCGCGCCGAGACACCCATTGCGTCACCCCGAACATATCGATTGTCTGACGGGACAACACGCCTTTGCTCCTATTCCAGGCTGCGAAACCGCGATAGACCCGTCTCCTGCCTGCCTTGCTGAGTCAGGCTATCGACCTGTTAACGACGTCACTTCACTTCAATACGAGTATATAACGAACTGTTGCGGGCTTTGGTGGTGTTTCCTGGAGGTTTACGTCGCTTTTGGTTGATCGCAATTCTCCAGCCACATAGACTGTCGAAGAGGGCTTGCCTCCAAGCAAACGGTAACCTGCAGCAGGCCGCCGAACCAGCAAGCAGCCCGGCTTCCTTGCGTTTAGGAGTCTCGGCCCCGACAATTTGTCTGCATCGTCGGTTGCTACTTGGTGGTCGAGGTCTCTTTCCCAAACCCACCCGGCCGCATGTATCCATCCATGTCTTCCCCGAATTCGAGAAAACGGGCTGCCCCGGGGGCATCCCCCGTCGTACCGATACAGCAAATGCAGCAGCCCTCATACCCCACCGCGCAGCCGGACCAAGGATTGCGGTGGGATGGCGGAGCCGTTGGAAGCGATTTTGTGGATGCTGGATCGAGGAGTGTGAACCCGTACGGCATCATTTCCACCCCAGCCCAATATGGACAAGGCATTCCGGCAGCTCCTTCTACCGCGCTTGCACGACGGGGCATGGGCCAAATGAGCCAGGCACTGGTCCCCACGACCCCGAGGCAGGCATTTGATCCCAATTCGGGAACTTGGAACAGCTTTGGCGACGAATCATTCTTGCAGCCGCCAAACCCCATGGATGACAATGACAATATCGAGCTACTTGAGGAGCGTGCAGCGCGAGCTAAGAGGGACGCGCAGGCAAAGCGCAAGCAGATCCCTCCCTTCGTTCAGAAGCTCAGCAGGTAAGAATTGCAACTGACCGCTTCCTCTCACTCCGTGATCAAGGTCACTAACGGTGAACCCCAGCTTCCTCGACGAGTCCAAGAACACAGAATTGATCCGCTGGTCTGATAAAGGCGACTCGTTCGTTGTCCTTGACGAAGACGAGTTTGCAAAGACGTTGATTCCAGAACTCTTCAAACACAACAACTATGCGTCTTTCGTGCGGCAGCTGAACATGTATGGCTTCCATAAGCGCGTCGGTTTGTCAGACAACTCGATGAAGGCGAGCGAGAGGAAGAACAAGAGTCCGAGCGAGTATTACAATCCATATTTCAAGCGCGGCCATCCAAACCTTCTATGGCTCATCAACAAGCCAAAAAGCGGCGGCAGTAAGAAGAAGGGCGCCAAGAAGGAAGATGGCGACATGGACAGCGAGGATGATGGGGCGGTCGAGGAGACCCTCTCTGCCCAGCAGCCCTTCATTACCACCAATGTTGGGAACAGAGGCGCTGGCATTAGCGAGGTCGGGCCGCTGCAGAAGAAAGATCTCGTACAGGTCAAATCTCAGATCGACAAGCTTCAACAACAGCAGCTCGCCATCTCACAGCTAATCGAGAGATTGCGTCGAGACCACAACCAGCTGGTTACCCAGGCGATTATGTTCCAGAGCATGCATGAGCGTCACGAGAACTCGATCAATGCCATCCTCAACTTCCTAGCCAATGTGTTTCGAAAATCGTTGGAAGAGCAAGGCGGCGCCCAGAGCGTCTCGGATCTTCTTGCGAGCATCATCCCCGGCGCACAGATGCCGCAGGGCAGTGTCGTGGACCTCGACGATTTTGTCAAACGACAAGCTCCCGACCCGGCCACGGCGAGCACTCCAAAGAGGCAGCCGCGGCTGCTTCCGCCCATCCCGAATCAAGCCAAGGCTATGAATGCGGCAGCTTCTCATGCGCCGCAGGCGCCGTATCAAGCTGCGCAGCCGATGGGTTCTATCACAGAGCTTTTCGACACGTCGCCGTCTGATACGACCTCACCAGCGTACCTTCACAACGAGCTTCGAACAAATCCCCAGGAAGGCATGATGAAGATTATTCAAGACACAAACGCGGGCGGCACATCCGGAATTGACCTTCCGAACGTGGCGGCCAAGACGCCAGTCACCATGAGCCACGAACAGCGCAGCAAGATGCTGAATATCATGGCAGGCCAGTCTTCGTCGGACTCATCTTCGGTCCCAGCCACAGCCGGCGCCCCTCCGCTTCGCCCCTCCTCTTCACCAATACCACCACCTCACGCATCGTCGTCAAGGAGCCCCAACATGGGCCTATCCCCTATCTTCCCCTCCATACAACCTCCTTCTCTCTACGAAATCCGCCAAACGCAAGCCGAAATGGAGGCCTTGCAACAACTGCAGAGCGACCAGGCTGCGAAGCTCGACGAACTATCCTCTATCCTCGGCCCCTTGAGTCCCTCGGGGCGTATTCCTGGCGTCGATGAATCTGGAAACCAGACAGGCTACTTCGACAACATCGACTACGACCAGTACCTGGACCCGGTTGCCTTGGACGACCTACACTACGACGGAAATGACTTTCCCGGAGGAGGTGTTTCGACGGGCAATATAGACGGCAACGATTTCAACTTCAGCCTGGACGGGCCGAACGACGTCGCGACGGCCAGTGCCCCTCACCTAGCCACCAGCGGTGGATTAAAATCCGAGGGCGTGCCCGAGAGTGCGCCCGGAAAGGATACGCCAAGTCCAGCAGGCACTGAAGAGATATTGCGCAACGACCTCGATACGCCCGAGCGCAATTCGAAGCGCCGCCGCCAGTTCTGATTACCGCCTGTGATGAATGCAATGCCGGGGCTGCCGGCTCTCCAGCGCCCAGACTCTTCCGGGCCGGGGGCAAGGGGTTTCTTCTGACCAACAATTTTCTCTTTTCCCTTTTTGCTATTTTGACGGCCAGAGGTGGCTGGCCTCACACCTAAGGGAGGCTCTTCTGAAGTAGTTAGATATCCGCGGAGGTTTCCGCAGCTGTTCTTGCGCGCTCCATTTTTACTGCATTTCTCTGCCGGACAAGGTGCTTCGACATTGAGAGTGGCTGGTACCGGTTGCGCGGGAAGCATATGACATGATGACATGGAGGGGCATCTGTGAGGAAAGGCGTTGACTGGTATCGTCCAACAGTTGTGTAAGAGGGTCATATCTGAAGCAAGCAAGCTTAGTTGGCAGCACAACATGACTCCTTTGATCAGGTTCTGCTTGTGAATATGGAAGTTCCGCAATGTTGGCATGTGCGTCGAAATACAGGTGTTAAAACTGTCAGCCGATTCGGTATATTGTTGCCATCCTTGAACACCAAAACGGACATCTGATTTACAAAGAGCCTTCATCTGGTCGGCCGTGGTTTTCCACAGGCCCTTGGTAGTAACCAGCGTACCATCTCTCTAGTTGACGGCCTGCCTTGCCTCATCCTCTGCCCCTCGGCCGGGTTATCACCAGGCCTAAAAGCCCTCCACCTTCATATACAGGAACTCACGGAGGTTACAAAGTCTCCTCAAGGCTCCCGACATCTCTGTTTTTCGCTGCTCCCAGGGGAATGACCTGGCTGATCATGCCTGAAATCACCGGCGGTCCATTACCGATATGAGCGCCGTGTGGTCGTCGACACGGCCTCATCTGAGTTTCGCCTCCCGAGCCAGGGAAACCTCCTCATACCGGCGTGCTTCTGGGCTGATCCCCAGTAGCCGATAGGCAAGCCATTTCGTTTCACGACCGCCGAGCAACCAAGCACATGCCCCGAACTGCCGCGGGGGCGTTCTTCTTCCTCCAGCGATAAAAAAGCGCCCCCCCCCCCTCTGCCCCAACAACGCAGTCCGTCTCAGCCGGCGAGCGGGTTCGCGTGGACGGTGACGCTCTCAATGCGGACCTGCTTCTTGGGCCTGTGCTTCCTGTCGACCTCGAGGGCCTCGAGGGCGGCGAGGGTGGCCAGGCTGTCGTCGCCGACGAGGCGGCCGAATACGGTGTTCTGGCCGTCGAGGTGGGGCGCCGCGCCGAACAGCACAAAGAACTGGCTGCCGTTCGTGCCGGGCCCCTTGTTCGCCATGCTGACGGTGCCGCGCGCCGAGTGCCGCAGCCCGGGCCGGATCTCGTCGCCAAAGGTGCCGCCGTAGATGGACCGGCCGCCCTTGGGGTTGTCGGGCGGGGAGGGGTGGGCGGGGGCGCCGGTCTGGACCATGAAGGTGGGGATGAGGCGGTGGAAAGGGGAGTGGTCGTAGTAGTTGGAGGCGCAGAGGGCGAGGAAGTTCTAGGATTGGGGGGGGGAACGAGGTTAGCCGGAGAGGGGTTGGGTTAATTGTGGCGGGCAAGGTCGCGGCATACCTCTGCGGTTTTGGGCACGCTTTCGCAAAAGACCTCAATCTTGAGGTCGCCCAAGGTTGTGTGAAGGGTTACTGACATAGTAGCGACTGGGAAGCCTTGCCGGAGGAGCTTAAGGGTAACTTGCTGCTGATGGGGGTGAATATTGCGATCGAGCTTCAGACTGAGGCTTAGATTTCTTATCGGGGTTGGGTCTGGAGCTATGACCACCTTCTTATCTTTTGAGGCTTACCTAACTGAGATGAGTTGTCTTAGCCTTGGTAAGCGGGCATTTGGGAGTGTTTACGGATCCGTAGGAAGGTTGAGATCCATCGATATCATTCCTCGGGCTGTCGTCAATGTCTTATATTGCAACTTTAATCGATAGTACTATTTCGTATCTACACTTGTCCAGTCGCTTGTTAAGACGATACAGACAGCAATGCTTTCACACATTTATCTTAGTCTGTATGGGTTACTTCGCACAGCAAGCCTTGTTTGTCTGGACTGAAGGCGGCCCTTAGCCGGAATTCGGCAACGGCGAAACATGTCGACTCCCATTGGCAGCTTGTTGGTAGGGCTGATGGGGGGATCAGCAATTCCTGGTTTTGCTGCGACTTCGAGATCTCCTCAGCCCACAGCCCTAGAGCAGCGGCCGCTCCCATTTTTGGCTGTGCTTTGGAGTCTGGATTTCAATCTTCGGTCTTTCTCGGTTGGGTGGTAGTGTTACGTAGTTGGACACCATGAGAGAAATGGTCAGTGGTTCCATGGGAGCTGCGGGAACGCTGTAGACCATGCACGGCATTGTCTGTAGAAGAGATTATACTGGCTGCCTGCTTTTTTGGGGCACATAAAGGCTGGGAGAGGGCGCTTGTGCGCCGTTGTGGTGCTTGTTGTGAGCGGCTAAGAGGCGACAGATAAATTCGTACGCAACCCGCAAACGTAACCCGTCGCACCTGGGGGGTTACATATTACATGCAGCATTTGGTGTGCCTGGCTAGGTACCCCAGTTCTTCCGCGAGAGAGAGGACATAAGCTGAATTGCAGCTCTGTGGACCGCCGTCATTGGGATCCTGCCAAACTGCCAAACTCAAAATCATTCCATTCTCGATTTCCACCCCCGCCCGCCGTTCTCTTTCCCAATTTTGGCGCGCTTCCATATTAAAAATCAAATAGGGGAGGTGGTTTGCTGATTGTTTCGACTACGCGCCGCAAAGCCTATCTCGACAAGCCTCGACAAGCCTCGCATACCCCACCTCCTCCTAAGCCAGCCGTGCTCCACCTCCACTCACCTTCGCCGACGCGGCCACGCCGGCGGCTGGGATCCCACCTCTATGACGGGACGAGCCCGCGCCGTCGCGAAAACAGCACCCTAGTCTCCATCTCCATCCCCATCCCCATCCACACCGAGTCTTCGCCTTGGGCCACCTCCCCAATCCTGGCGTGAACAGCAGCAGGATGAATGTTCAGAATGCAGCTGCATCCGTCAGGGTCTCCGGGCCGCCGAATAGCAGCTTCCTAGTGGGCTATCCAGGCATCTCTGCGACATTAGTGAGTCTTTTTTCTCTCTCTCTGCCAACCTCGACTTCCCAGTCCTGGCGATCACTCATGGGTTGCCTGGGTGGTCAAAGGGGAACAACAGGAACGAGTATTGGACTCGGAACTGATTCGTCATCTGATTGTTTGCTAACCAATATTACCCCCCTGCTTAGCCAAGGATAGAAGGCAGAGTCGAGATACGACCGTCGTCAGGGATATCCGCGCCAGTCAACGTGTCGCTCGTGCGCATATGTCTCCAGCGCCGCGAGACGATACACCCAGCCGCCGAGAATGTAGCCAAGCGCCACCTGGGCACGCCGAGGAGAGAGACGACCGATGTCGTGGGCAAAGAGCTCCTGTTATTTCGGTGTACGAGCGGCAGGGAGTCCGACAGCGTCATCGCCATGGACCTCCCCTTCGTGTTGTTCATTCCCTTCGGCAGGGGCGGCGAGGAGTCGAACCGTCGGATACCGCCCGCGAGCCTACAGCTACCCAGCCGCATCGCCGAAACCTATTACGAGCTCGTTGTCACAGTACAGCAAGGCGCGAGCGTCCAGAATAAATATGCCTTTCCGATACCCCTCCAGCGCTACGACACCCTCTCCACCTTCGGCATGTATAATCGTCCCGAAACCAAGGCCGTTACAGTCGACAACCTCGTTACCTTAGCAATGTCGCTCCCGCGGTGGAGTTACGGACCGCTGGACCCAATTGCTGTGTACCTCAAGTTGACTCCGAACCCCGACTGGATGACCAAGGCAAAAAGGGTGACCATACAGAAGATCACGTTGAGCATCGAAGAAGAGATTACCTTTAACCCCGAGGGTGACGAGCCGACGAAGAAGATCAACAAGATTGCGAAACACACACAACCCGTAGGGACCAAGCTTCCTGAGTCGGGATACGTGGCGCATCTGGGGCTCGTCTTCCCATCCAAGGATTTAAGAGACCCCGAGGGGATAATAAAGAGGGGCAAGCCTGCGTTTCCCATGTACCAGGTTACCAGCTTCACAACGACGTCGACGCTCTACAAGATTGAGTTTTACTTGAACATCAAGGTAAGCCGACCCCCCTCCTTTAGTTGAGACTCCTTCCAGGCCGCGGTTCTCATCGGGGATTTGTATTACATATAGGCGCATATGGCTTCGGCCCGTGACATCACGCTCCGCCAACTCATTGTTATCTGTCCGATGGACCAGCAAGCCTGTAAGGAGGAAATGGACGCCATCGAACAGGCAGCGACGGATGCTTCCCACGTGGACCCGAACAACCCCATGCTCCCGGCTCGAAGGATCGTGTATGCGGGTGAAAAGGATGCTATTCGACATCTGGGCTTCTGTGAAGTTGGAGGAGCGAAGAAGATGCTCATCGAGTAGCCTGCGCTGCAGAGGAAGAAGGATGAAAGGAGATTCAACGCCGCTAAAGAGCCGACCGAGTCGTCGAGTGCCGAGGAATAGGAGCCAGCGGCCCGGTTCGGAGCGGATGAAACCCGATGACCACGGAGAAGGACCTTGGTCTCGAAGCGTTTCCCGAAGCGCGGCGGCATAGCCTTGCCCGAGAGACGGAGCTGCCATGGGATGACGAGGGCTTATTCGGCTTACGCTCGCCCGCCCATTCTCTGTGAGCTTACCCAGCACTGGTTTGGAAGAGCGGGAGGGTTTACGACTTGAATTTTAAATTCACGAGAGTGGTCTAGACCTCCATGATGCGATCATGGCTACATTCTGAGGCTTAGCAGAGGATGGAAGCCATTCAGCATTGAGTCATCAGGCAGTGCAGGACGACAAGGGGAGCTCGCTCGGCTGTTTCTGCTGCGAAAGTTTTTTGGTAGAAAAACCTCAACTTACGAACGATACGTACATGGCGTCATGACATCCCCAGGGAGACCCCTGGTAGGGTCGGAGTTTGGAGCATTTTTGGTCTGGCTTTTTCTCTTCGCGATCTCTTCCGGATGGCCTGGCAGGGGCAAACCGGCTTCGGAGGGTTGTATGATTTACTTGATGGGTATTTTGGGACGAGGCCCCTTTTAAGGAGGCCCGGATGATTTTTTTTTGGGAAATGGAGGCGGCTGTGTTTTATGGAGAAAGGAGGCATTTACTCGGCCTTTACTTGCGATCAAACCGCGTCTTCGCCCGCAAATCTTCTAATTGGGTCTTACCGCCTGGAGAATTTGTGTAAATAGAGACAAGCCCTCAAGGTTAGGCCTTTCCTTGGCCACGCACACCAAATTAGGAAGCACGATCAGCTCAGATGCCTGACCTTTTAAGCATCAGGTAATGGCAGAATGGGAAGAAGACCCTTAAGAGAAAAGAATATAGCGTTCAGCCTAGGTTCTAACTTTTCCTCTGGAGCTCTCTCCGATCGCCTGAAGCGAGCTTGAAACCTCAATTCGGTCAGTCTTCATGTTGACTATCTCTGGACGCAGCTGTTCAACGCCTGTGCTAGCCGGCCTGAAGGGGCCGCCGGGACAGCGTATAGCACCCTACCTTACTATGGTCAGGAGGCATGTAATGCAGCACATTTGAAGGAAGAACAGAAATCAACGATGATCCTTTAATTTCTGACCCAAGGAACCTTGTAATGCGCCAGAATCGTTCGGTTTCTAGTCAGTTAAGTGCATATTGAGCGCAAGATCTCAGATATTGAGCTAGTTGATTAAGTCTGTACTGTACAGTGCGTTCCCCGGGATCGGCGCTGTCAAAATTTCCAAGTCTATACCAAACCATCATTCCGCCGACAAAAACAAGCCCTCCAGGAACACACATTCGAAAAGGGCCGTTTTATACCCCGGGGACTACGATCAGCACACTTCGAATGCCCGTAGCCAGAATACCACCGCTTTAGCTCGCACACCACCCCCCGCTACGAGGGGTAGCAACCATGGCCTTTGATGACGACGACACCCCTACCGCCGCGCCGGCGGCGGCGGCCGCGGAAACGGACGCGCCCGAGGCGTCGGAGGACGCGCCGACGGCGGAGGAGGCCCTCGAGGAGGAGGCGCAGGACTTCCGGCTGTTCGCGGCGCTGTTCCGCAAGAAGAGCGTGTCGGCGCAGACGATCCGAAAGGGCGAGAAGGACTTTGAGTCGCACGGCACGCGGGCGCAGCAGAACGCGCTCGAGCAGAGCCGCCAGGCCATGGAGGACGTGCTCAGCTACACGCGCGTGTACAAGCCCGGGAACTGGCTGCGGGGGTGGTACTTCCCCGACCGGTTTGCCGACTGGGCGGCCGACGGCGGCGAGGCGGGGTTGGCTGAGGAGTTTGGGGGGGCCGGCGGGGTAGGGGACAGGGATGCGGATGCGGATGCGGGTGCGGGTGCTGGTGGCTCCGACAAGAGGAGGTACCTCGACGCGAGGGATCGGGTCGTCGTCGTCGAGGGCGCCGGCGGAATCGTCAGCAAGACCATTGGGAGGGTCGTGACCGGGCAGGCCAAGGACCGCGCGGCGAGGGACAAGATGTGGCTGCTCCCCGAGGAAGCGCTCTTCCTCGTCGAACGAGGTTCCCTGGACCTCTGGTGGCCGATGCGGGGCATCGAGACTGTCTTTCCACTCGAGCCGAAGCAGGACGGTGGGGAGGTCACTGGCGAACAAGGCTCAGGGTCTGCGGACGATGAATACGACTTGGGTCTGCCGCTGAGCCTTGAGGCTGCCTACTCTCTGCTCATCGGCAACGAAGGAGAGCGCGGCAAAGTCACATTGCAGAAATTCCAGGTCTACTCTAATCTCAAGCGCGGTGGCTACAAAATCCTACGAGCGCCCCAGGCCGTACGGCCTGCACGCCATCCGCAACCTATACAGACGCCATCCTCAGTCTGGCAATGGCTGTTCTCCCTCCTGTTTGCCGAGGAGGAACCGCACCACCAGCCTTACGGGCCTCTTGTCCGGCCGGGACTGTACCGTTCGTACAAGTCGATCTACGGACAACTAGCCATCATTCCTCGGCATAAACCGACCACGGAGCCGTCGTGTCCCTGGCCCGCCGAGGAGCCGTTCCGGATACACTTCCACGTGTGGAAGTCCGGGACGACCTTCTCCAAGACCCGGCCGCCGCCCCCGGATTTCTACCTGTCGGTTGTCGACGCGCAGGAGTCGGATTTCCCGACGCTCGAACAGATGGCCGCGCTTCTGGACTCGTCGCCGTGGGCACCCCCGAAGGCGGAGTGGGCGGTCCCCGGCAGGCTGTACCAGAGGTTGAAGCACGGGTACAGGAACGTGATTCTGGCTGTCGTGGACCACGGGGTCGTCAACTATCTGCGCGTTGCGGAGACGGCGTTTGGGGAGGAGTCCCTGGTCTATCGGTTTGACTACAAGGGCGGCCACAGAGGCGGGAAGAGAGGCGGAGGTAGGAATGGGTCGAGAGGGGGGAGAGGAGGAAGGGGTGGGAGGGGCGGCAGAGGCGGAGGGAGGGGCAACTAGCATGGCATGCCTTGAGCAGAGTTAAGAGGCCGTCGGGTCATGGCAATTCAATGTTGGAGTGTACAAAGTAGGAAGAGATTCCAGTGACGATGGCCAGATTTGGGTCTGCTCTTGCAATGCCAATACCCTTGCCAGAGTTACAAAGACTCAGTCTCCATCCCTTCTCTCAAGTTTAGGTTCGCCTGACAACTCATGATTGAAGGGTTCGGACGGCCAAAGATAAATACTTCGGCCCAAGGTCAGCAGTGAGAAACCAAGACCGTCCAAACAAGGGAAGACGATAAATCGGATGACGATTCCTTGCCATAAGTAAGGAAACGGAATGCATTAAGCCGAGGCGACCTGGCCGAAACGCAGCAAGAAAGAGGTTACACATCATAACTCAGCCTTGAGATCGCATGTCGGCATTAAGCATTGGTTCACTCCTCACATTGCGGAACCGAGACCTGTGAGTTGTCTGAATGCTATTGGGGGGTTGAGAGGACCAACAGCCGGGCTGGAAAATTTGAGCTAATCCGTAGAATTCCCCTGAATTCCACCACCCACCCCATCAAGTCGTTGGCAGGGCGGGAATTGCGGGAAAAGGGAGCATTAAGGTTCGCCATCAACGACGGGAGTGCCTATCCAGGTACGTATCATCTTCGTATCATCTCGTATCTCGCCTGCCGAGTCCACCTACACAGCAGGCGCCTGTCTTTGTAGCTTGGCGTTGGCTTGCTTGAGTTGGAACTGCCGCCCCAAGTCACCCTTGCAACCGTCGCTGAAATCTGATTGGCATGTTAAATTATGGATGAGCCCATGTTTGCCTGCAGAGTCGTCACTCGTCAGTATGCACGCAAGGCCAGTTTTTGGCTGGCAGGAGGGCCAAGGACGACATGAAACTGTAATATTGAGGGATAATCAAGACAAAAGTCAATTACTTCATTGTTGCCAATTTCCCCCTCTCTCTTGTCCTCTCGCTTTTTACTGAAAAAATAATCCCGCCTCAGAAGAATGGAGGGAGTAAGTAGGTAAATAGGTACTCCGTATTTACCTCTACTGTTATCAAGAGGCGCCAATTCGAAGACTGCAGGCGGCTGCCCAAAGAGTCCCTCGCTTAGGTCTTGCCTCTTGACGGGAGGACTCGAAGTCGTTCAATTTGGCTGGAGGATTGACATGATTGATTCAGGTGCTCAGTTAATTACTTGCTCCATGTAACCAAATCCCATATTGCCTGGGAAGTATTTCCCGCTAACCTTGTCTCAACACAACTGCTATTTCCCTCTTGCATTTCCCGTTTCGGCCACCCTTCTCCATTTTCTCACATTCTTCCCTTTACAACAACAGCTCTGGGACCCTCAGCCCAACCACTGCCGCCTTCTCTCTTCCTCCCGACAGGCCCCCCTCGTTCCTTTGCGCTACTGGTCATACTTGGCCTATTCTCAATCCAGGAATTCTCGCCATCTTCTCTGCGCATCGTTTCCCCCCACATTGCATTCACTTACACCGCAGGGTGTCGAGTACCCCTACCTAGTTCTACCTCTCCAGAGCTCTCCACTTTACCTTGATTCAGCTAACTTCCCGGCCAAAGTCTCCCGTCAAGTCTCGGACCACCCCCCCAATATTCTCTGCAACTCAATCAATCGCCATGATGGATGGCGAAATTGCTGAAGACGTGAAGCAACCTGCCGGCGATGTTGCTTCACCCACACCAAAGCCAGCCGAAATCGCTGAGATATCTGAGGCGTGAGTTATTGTTTCTTAGCCACACAGTGTCCGTATCCGAGTCGCTATCCCATTGTTTTTTCCCTCTGTCATCCCGTTACCCGTTACAGCAACGCGCAAGACTTTCCGCGCCAACTGGCAAGTTTGCCAATACCTGTTTGTTTTGTTTTATATTTCTCATATTCTCTCTCTTCTCCCTCTCTCTTCTCTCTCTCGTCTCCCTCTCGTCTCCCTCTCTTCTCCCTCTCTTCTCTTTCCTTCTTAGACGAGCTGTCTGATCAGATTGTGACTGGCAACTCAGCCGCTCTCCCTGTGTTGTGCCCACTCCCCCAACTTCAGCCTTCGCCAACTACCTGGCTGACTGCACACACGCCTGCCACAACCCTTATAGCTCCTCTCTTCTCGCTGGAGATATCCTTCCTGGCACTGTTTGTATAAGGTGTATGCTGCCAACTTTTTACCCTTCCCGCCCCATTTCGCATGTTCTCAGTCATATCCCTCCCGTCAGGTTATCTCGCTAGCAGTGTGAGGGTTGCCTCTAGCTGGCATATTCCCATTCCCAACCCCATCGCAGCCTCTGCCAGATGGGGTTATTCCTGATACAATTTTGACCGATGGTCCATTTGTTGAGGCAAGTTTCTTAGACTGGCCTAACCTTCATCTCCCGTCGCACTCTCCTGCCCCTTTTGGGTTGACGAAGTCGTCACTTCCCCCTGGCTTATTGAGGGTGTTCCCGTGAGCCCCAAGCCTAGCTCGGGCCTTCCCAATGACCTACCAAACATCTCTCTAGTGTCGTTGTGCCGTCCCCTACCCGCCCCTCTCTCAGACACATCCAACCTGCTTCCCTCCATTGCCACCACTCAAATCCCAAATAGCGAAAACCATATCGAGTCACCGGCCATTGTCTCATTGTTAGATACTAACTTCGTAATTCAGAATCGACGTCCCAGATCATATTCAATCCGAGGCTTCTCCTGCTCCTATTGACGGGTGAGTTCTATCTCAGCTTTCTGTCTCATCAACTCTTCTTCAAGCCATTTCTCCCATTCCCTCTCTTACCCTGTCTCTGGGTTCTTTACACTCGCCAGCAAGGGTTTTTGGAGGACTCGAGCTTGAAGCCAAGCCAGAAGTAATGGTCGAGGAAGAGCCCAGAGTGAATGGCAGTCGGGTGGCGCGGGTCCTGTGCTTCAAAGAAAGTCGGAGCCTGACCTCCTCCCGATATCAATCCCTCTGTTTCAGGACGAAAGTGAGGCTGACAACAACTCCCTTCAGGACTACCGTTAATGGCCATAGCCCCCAAGGGGATGAGACTAACAACGAGGACCTGACCCCACCTCCGGATTCGCCCATAGTTGACGACATTATGAGTCCGACGACAAGCATTCCAGTCAACACACTCCAGGACGAGATTGTTGTCGGAACCAAGGCTCACCACTCTGACGCTGGAAAGACATCTCCCATTGGGGTTGCATCTGATCAAGAGGATATCGAAATGGACGAAGAGGCCGATGAACAGTCTGACGAACAGCTTGTTACCTCTCACTACCCAAAGCGCAAGCGTGCTTCCATTTTCAATGACCTGAGCGAGGACAAGATAGAATCAAGTCTGGTTGAGGAAGAGCAGGGGCGTCGCCTCCCCAAGATTAGCCGCCCGGCCAGGGCACATGGAGTAGGTGGTGTGAAGGGAGTCGTCCTTGGTTACTGGCGTGACTCGCCCGTGGCCGACGAGAAAGACAAGCATGCTGTTATCGGCTTCATTGATGTCCGTGACCGCCTCCGTACTCGAATCCAACCGACCAACAGGGAAGGCAAGAACATCAGCATCGGGTATCCTCTCCCTCCCGGCCCTGGTGGCAGCTGGGTCACCTTTGAGCGAGTTGCCTTTGATCCCCATCTGGTCAACCTCGATCACTACCAAGTTAAGGAGTACGTCAAGATTCGAGCCGAGACAGTCGGCGGGGCCGAGACTTCGGAGGAGAGGGAAATGCTCAATACAGAAGCCGTGACAGAGGCCATCCGCCGAGTGCAAGCCCACCCTCCTCCCGAGACTTCTGTTGTTCCGCCGGTTGCCTATGGACCTCAGATTCCCGAGCATGCCCAAATGTCCAACCGGCCAGAGAGCAAGAAGCGCCGCCTGGCGTCCGGAATAGGCCTCCCAGTTACCAATACCACTGCCTCGCCAACCCGGAATCAGCAACTTGAGAATATCTCGAGAAGTCGGCCCACTAGGATCTTGTTGGGCTTCTGGAAGAAGTCCAGCGCGGAATCAAACGCGGATAAGCACGCCGTCTACGGCATTCTCGGCGCGAATGACATGTTCCGAGTCAAGCTCGTCCGCGAGACTCGGGATGGCCGCACCATGCTTGGCAATTTCCCTGTTGGGCCGGGCGGGCTCTGGATCCACTGGAATGAGGTGGAGTTTGAGCCTCACCTCCAGCTCCTTTCCCGCAACGATATCAAGGAGTATTGTAGAATTCGCCAGGCACAGATGGACGAGGGGGAGTCGCCTAGTGAACGAGGCAAAAACGAGATCGCCGCTGCTCGTGATGCACAGCTGCGTGCGCCCCATAAGCTCCAAGGCAGGCGAGACGGTCCTGCTGGTGGTGCCCCGCCTGCCACGCCGGAGCTCATCCTGGCCAACGACACCGACCCCGAGGATAATAATACCGAGACCTCGGCTCCGGCTCTAGCCCAAGCTAAGCTCGAGTCTGAGGTCCACGGCCCCCGACTGTCTCGCCGTGAGAATCCCTCCCGTGCCCGCCACTCTCTTCCCGACGTCCAGCTTCGCGCAGCGAACCGACCTCTCAGTGTCGATCGTCTTGAGCGCACCAATTCCCTCGCTCGTCGGGAGATTGCCCGCGCTGAAGCTGTTCAGATGCGGGCCGACCAGCGGTCAGCCAGCCGCGGGGCTGCCACCCCGGCCCCGGCTCCCCTATCCGCCACAAACAAATCCCTGTTCCAAGATAACGTTCAGCGCCTAAATAAGGTGTGGGCTGCACAAGAGGCTCACCGACTCAGGGATGGCGCTGAGGATGCAAAGATCTATATGGGAATCAAGTACGAGCGCAAGCAGAACGGCCCCTTCGAGGGGAAGCTCGTCAGCCAGGGAACCATCATCAGCATCGACGGGGAGGATTATGTAGAATACCGCGTGCTTACGAAGCCGACCTTCTTCTGACGGGACCTGAGCCGTCATTCTTCAGTCGTCTCATTCCATCTTTGGAACGACTGTCGTACTGCTCTCGTCCTTGGCTTTTGGTGGATAGCTGCATCCCCTTGCCCCCTTAGCCTTCCGGCTGAACTTGCTCTTTTCTCAACCAAGTCGGACCACGGAACCAGGTGCGTTCCGGGGTTACCTTTTTCTCGGCTGGCTGGACTATAGAGATGCTTCAAGAGGCGATTTCCCCAGTTCCTTTCATTTCCTTTCCTTGCAGCATTTATCACTCAACGAACGACATGGACCCTTTGGTTCGGATAATACCCATTTTCTTGGTCGTGGAATAAATACCCAGTTTTCGAACGGCCTACTCGGGAATTCTTCCTCCCCGATGGGAGGATTGTCCGGGGCAGCAGGGCTTCCCCCGTCTTGTACGATTCACAAATGGCGGTTCTGATAGAACCGGGAACCGAGGGAATAATAGGCAGGAAGAGGAGAAAACGAAAATGGGGAAGGGGAAGGGAAAATACTAATCACGTCGGTGTTTCGGTTGCGTTGCTCCACGATTGGGGCCTTGAAATCTCGCCGGATGAGGGGAGGGTAGCCTTCGACCCATATCCAGGTGATACTAATATCATGGGATTCTGCTCCGACAGTTACCGACCGAGTCACTCCGTTTGGATGGCTCAATTTGTTGAGTTAATGATGGACACATGTCGGGAGAGCCTATCATAGTTACAATCGAAGTTTGTATCTGAACCCTGCCTGCTCCCTCCCATCCTAGAGTGCATTTGTGATTTGACAACGCCCGGGAGGTTCTAGCTTTTGAAGGCCCTCTCTTCCTTCCGTGACGTGTCGTGTCTTCCCTTCTATTTTTTTAAGCCACGATCAAAGCAGACCCGCTCAGGGGAATCTGGTGAAAACATAGGCAAAGGGCGCTGACAATACCATTACCCGAGGCTGCCTCTAAAATAAAGACCCCGTATCGCTTCTCCACCTGCATGATCCCATCCATCAAGCGGTCACGCATATTCAGTCGTCTCCACCTCCGCCGTCCTCCTTCTCCGGCCCGGCATCGTCTGCGTAATCCTCCACCTTCATATCCGTCAGGCCGAGCTCCTCCTCCTCCTCTGCCGTCCGGTTGTACTCCTCTATGGTGATCTGGGAATCCGGCTGGGTCGGGTCGTCCGCCAGGCTCTGCACGTAGCTGCTCGCCAGCGGGTCCACCAGGACCACGGTGAACTCGCGCTCGCCCTTGATCGCGGCGTCCAGCCCGTCAAAGAAGGCCGTCCACCGGTCGCGCTCCTCCTTCTGGAGCGAGTCCCCGCCTTGGGCAGCAACTGCCGGGACGGCGCCGCCTGCACCCCAATCCGCCTCGAAGATCTGGCTGCGCAGGTCGTTGCGCACTTGGGTCAGGAGCCCTTCGACTGTCGTGAAGCGTCCGCCGAGGGTGCCGGGGTTGACCGAGAGCTTGAGCTCGGGACACTCTAGAGCGCAGCTCTCGCTCTTGAGAATGTCTCTGCTAAGGTCCCGTTGCGAGGTGACACGTAGCGACACCTTCCTGCCCTTGTCCGGAATCTCGCCGCCTGTCTTGACATCGTTGGACTTGTAGCCACAGTCCTCGCATGTGGTGCTCATGAGCACCACCTGCCTGAAGTGTGGGATGTCGACCATCTTCATGTTGGTGTTGCAGGGATGCATGCAGCCCGGGCAGGAGGCGGGAAACTGGTAGATTTGATCCGGGACGATATTTCCATCCTTGTCCAGACCTGTGGTGACGGTGTTGGAAAGACCGAGTTCTTCATTCTGCTCGGGGCTGCGCAAGTACTCGCGCTTCTCCCATTTGCCCACCCCGTCCCTAACGTCGGGCGTTATGAATGAGTTTCCAGTCGGGTCGTCGACCGACATCCGGAAAGGGAATGCTTGGCCAGCCAGCATGGCCCGGCCCTTGGTAATGACCTCCTCGAGCTTGGCGTAGACCTCGGGCGTTTGCTTCTTGCGTTCCTCTTGACTAGCCTCCAAGTCGTCGATAATGTGGGAGAGGAGTCCTTCGATATTTGTAAACTGGCCGCGCCCAGCAGGGACTTCCACATCTAGCTCGATGAACTTTACTGTCGCAGCATCGGACTTGACTACCTGGCGCTCGAAGTCGGCCATGTCGGTGAGTCGGAGTTCATAGTGGGAGCCTTTAAGTTGCACAGTCCCTGCAGGCTGGATCTCGTTGTTGTGGAAGCCGCACTTGTCGCATGAGAAGGACATTAGGATGATCTCTCGGAAATAGGGTATCTTGGTGAGGAGGAGTCGAGTCATGCCCTATCAGGTATTGTTAGCCTTCGAGTGTCGAGCGTTGGGTCGTCGCACAAGTAGGGCACTTACATTTTCATGACAGTTCATGCAGAGAGATTCGATCTCTTCAACGATCTTCTGATTCTCCTCCTCGCCCGCTTCAACGCCGTCAGCTCCGTTAGGAGCCGACACAGACGTAAGCGTCTCTGCCTTCTGGCCGATAGTGTCGAACAGCCCAGACATCTTTTCAGGTCGTTTTGCGTGTCGTCACAGGCTTGGGGTTCAATGTGCAGGCCAAAAGAAAATTTGGAGGGGCAACTTGCAGGAAGAGAAGGACGGGGAGGTACCTAGGTGGGGGAGAAGGAGGTACCTGGGGCTTGGTAGAAGGCGTTGGGATGGAGGGGCAGGTGGGGCTGGCCACCACTGACTTGAGCTTATGTCATTGTCCGGAACTTTCAAGAATAGCGGGGATGCTTCGAGAAAGGTTTGGTCCCCTGCCAAGACCGCGACTGCTCAAGAGACTGAGAAGCCGGCCTGACTCAGTTCTTCATGAAATCTGCAAGGCTCAGACCAAGTGCAGGCTTCGCCAAGTTCCTATTAGCTTGGCTCTGCTCAATCAGAGCCTGGAGTCCAGCCTTGCGGTTCTTGGCCCTCCTCTTGCTGCTTGCGTTGGCAGCTTGTTTCTGCGACTCGGCACCTCGAGAAACCGATATAGGGGCGGTAGAGTGGACATAGGTCTTCTTCCTCGTAATTGGACCTGGCGGCGGTATTGCGATCTTGGTGTATCTTCCGCAGTGCCCGCAGGAAAGCACCTTGGAAGGCCCTGATCTGTTTTCCACATCTTTTGCGTGCTGTGGCTTCTTCTCGGCCCTGTTATGATGGCGCTTCTGTCTATGCAATGCCCGATCACTCTCGATCCTCAGCGCGCTACCATGGCCAGGTATCATGATGTGGCCGCAGGCGCCGCAGATATGCTGCTTCTGGACATCGGAATGCTGAAGCTCGTTGGCGAACATTAGCCCGGTCCTACAGCTCATCATGTAGGCTGAGGTCTCTGGCGCGGCTTCCGCCAGCAGATGTGCAGCATCGGCCAAGTAATTGAGATCGGTGGCGAGGTTAGAAGTCGACATGATGGAGGAGTTGCTCTACGTGACGGTTGGAAGAAGACTGGGAATTGAGCGGCCCATAATTGAGATTCCAGAAATTCGGAGTTGCATTTAACAGTTTAACAGTACCTCCCTTGATAGGCAAGGGTTAGGGTTGGATGTTACTACGACATAAGAATCTCCACGCACCCCTTTATGCTCGTCTGATTTCCCATTTGATGTCCTTGATGCTGACCTCCTCACCTGCTTTCTCGTCGTAGTCAAACCATTCACCGTCCTGCAGCTCGATTTCTGTAAACTTGCTATTGGAGTCAATGCCTTCAGCGAGCCACACGCCCTATTGCCAGAGTGTTAGCATCATCCCTCCCAACCTGCTTCAAAACAGACAAACCTCTGGAATGAATTCAGTAAACTCGAGGCCTCGGCAGTCAAATTCAAGGATATCCCGCCTCTTCGCGGGCTCGCTCTGCTCGTAAGGCGTCGGGGCAGCTTTGATGGTTGCAGACGACTCCCTCTACGGTATCCAAAAGCTCATGTCAGCTCCTGTCCTGGCCTTGGAGGCGCTAGTGAAGCCTTAAACCTTGCAGTTCTTGCACTTCCAAACGAAGTTGGCCTCCCCACGACTCCCACTCATTTCGTTGGTATCCTAGTAAAACCGTGTCAGAAGATGTATGTGGGGGAGTTGCTGGAGTACCAGGAACTCACAAATCGGCTAACAGCCACCTCCTTGGCATGTGTTTCTCTGCAGGAAGTGCATTGGACTTTGAAGGTATACCAAAAGGGAGTCTCCTCCGTGTCTTTGGGTCGGAGGTTGGTAACGCTGAAAGAGAGAGCGTCATCAACACGATGCCAATTCCGGAGATGGGAGGATGCCCGGTGTCTCCAACATACCCTACCAACTCGGCAGTCAATGCCAAAGCGTACATCTCTCCAGTATGGAACTGAGATTATGGAGTTTAAATCCGCGGGACAGGCGTAGACAGGAGATATATCGCATAAAACCTACTCTATGAGTGTCGAAATGGGATGGAACGGTCTTCTATCACAAGTTCACAACGTGGGGCAATCTCCAACCCCACCTTGAAACCTCGATAAATTTAGGTTAGGTATTCCGTAGGTCGCTGTGCTAACTTCGCACCACTTCAGCCTCTATCGAACCCGTTTTGTAAACTGTCAAACCTCACTGGATAACTACGCAGTAGGTGGTTTAAGTGCAAATCAGTTCGCATTCAACAGTCTTCAGCAATAATATTGTCTAGGTACCTAGGTAGTCGAGGATCTAGGTATTTACGGCAATTTAAGTTTGGCTATTTTTGCTGTAGAATTTACATACCCCGGGGGTGCAATTAGAGAGGTCGGGTGCGACGGGACGGATTTTCCTACCTGCCATTGAGCTGCTGCCCGGGCCCAGGCCCAACCGGTCAATTAGCCAATAAGTCGAGGTCAGCATCAAACAATCTTCCGACCCTCATACGATAACCTTGTGAGGCCCAGCTCGTCCAACCTCCAGTCGACATGCATCAAACATGCATGCAATCTGGTCAAGAGCCTCCCAGGCAAATGGCTCTCACTGTCGGACATGCCTCCAGGCAACCAACGTCCTAATTCGGCGAGCGGGATCTGCCCCGAGTCGTCGCAAGGTCCGCATGAGCGATGCCTTCACGGCCTTCTACACCACCATTATGGCCACCGCCGCGGTCCTGGATGCAAAATACAAGGACCAGCGCAGGAAGGAGCTGGATCGGAAAATTAGCGAGGCAAAGGATGGCTTAGCGGAGCTCATGGAGGCGCCAGCGGCTCACGAGCTGGCCCAAGCAGCAGACGCCCGTTTCACAGCCCCGTATCCTGCTGCTGCACGACAACAACTTGACACACTCGAGGTATTGAACTCGATCTGCCTTAAGCCAGAGGTTTTGCTTCAAGAAAGGGTAAAGGCAGACCACCGCCGATATAGGCGGGAGTTTCTGGAGAGGGGTCTGGGTCTCCCCAAGGAGAAAATCTGGTGGACGACACCTCCGCGGATGATGGAGGTCGAAGAGTTCCTAGCAATTGAAGAATCACGACCCGAAATCCCGCAGCGGGAACCTTCCAGCTCCGTTCAGATCGAGAGAATGACCGAGATGATCGACGATTTGGTGGACCGGCTCCTGGTCGAGGCATACCGGGACGAGCGCGATGAGGTCTCCCAAGCTCCAATTAGCTTGGACTCCGGTTGGAACGCTATCCGGATGCTCCGATCCGACGGTTATCCTCGTTATGGCGATCCTTCGATAAATTTCGAGTTCAGCACAGAATCAAGACACGGATTAAACGCCGTCAACAGGAAGATCATGGCGGATTGGGACGCCCTGCGCAAGGCTAAACCGATGGCTGAAAGGGAATACAAGGCTCGCAGGGAGCATTTTATCGCCAAGATTTGTTACAACGTCCTCATTTCCCCTGTTCCGCCAGGCATTCATAACTATAATGCCCTGATTTCAGGGTTCTCGCGGATCGGGGAGTCTTGTCTAGCACAGGCTGTCGTGGACTCGTTCCTTTTCAAGAGCCACCTGAGGCCGACGCAGATGACATTAGTGTCTCTACTTCACCACTACCGGCTGAAGAAGGACATTGTTGGCTTTTATAGCATTGTTCGCCGGCTGACTGGCCACGACCCCCGAGGAATCGGCCTTCGTCGCAGAACGCAAGAAGACGTCGAATCGTATCACGTCTTGTGGAAGTGGGCGCAAGAATCAGATGTGGCCGTCGTTGATGGCTTCGTCATCGAGCGAGCAACTTTGGATCGGCAGCTCTTGGAGGCTCTGCTGGACGGTCTTATTGACTTCAACCAAACCCGGCAGGCGGCACAGGTACTCGTTGCCTGTATGCGAGACGGTTGGACGATTGGCTCCCGGTACCTCTTCCGGGTCGTCTGGATGTGTGTCTCCCATCTAGACCGACGTGCCGCAAAGACATTGGTACGGGGCTTCGTTCACAGCATCGACGAAGTTCTCTCGTTTATCCTCGACGATAGCCTGGAGAGACACCAAAGCCTACCGTACAAGATGATGGAGCTTCTCGATCTCGCTGAAGTCGGTCCTAAGTCGAAAAGGGCCCCTTGGGGTGTCTCTGGCACCGACCATGACTACTCCGGTCGATTAAACCGTCTCAAACGTGCGCTCTGGGCAAGAATCACGCTTTACGAGCTTGAGGATGTAGCACTATGCACAAGACTGGTGCAGCCGATGCTTGATTCGCGAAGAGGTCAAATTGACGTCGACGGCAGTTTGAGGATGATGACCGCCGGAACAGGGTTCCGCAGTCGACGAAACAGGAGCAGGAGGAGATTTAAAATGCTGGTGAACCTTGACTGGCTCAATGAGGAATATGAGAAACATACGAATCGTGCACGATGGGTCCTGTTCCAGGCCCTTCCACCCGAGGAGCGGCGAGAGTTACGAAGCGGCGGTCCCGATCTAGACAGCATTTCCGGCATATCCATCAACAAACTCTTTACACAATGGTCACAATACCTGTCGACCCATGCAGAAGGGGAGCCGACAGTGGCCTCGGCAACGGAGGCAACTGCTCAGGAGAGAGCGCAGCTTGGTCCATCCTCCGACATCACACACACTTCTGGGGCTCCAGAATCTCCGCCGGCTTTCGCTGGGTTCGCGGAGAAGTTATCCAGATCACATTCGCAGATAGTAGCATCTGCTTGAGCACTTGACTGGAGAGAGGCCCGAAAGCTGTGTTCTGATCCAACGCTTCGGACACATGGCTTGGGGCCTGACCCCGGTATATTCTCTGTACAAGTACAAGTACATACATAGGTACTTTTGGTCATGGAACCTGGATGCGTCATGATCCATCATTCTCCATGCTGCATCCTATCAGCACATACACGGCAGAATATGTACGAACTCTGGACGTACAAGTACTGTACACATTTTTAGACAGGCGCAAGAGGAGGGTCATCGATATGTCAGAATACGATTTGCTCAGTACTTTTACCCGGGGCTCCCCACGTTCATGCAGGCTGGCAGCGTGACCTGTCAGAAAGTTGCGCCCCTGAAAAGCACGTATCACTTGACAGTTGACACAGCATCGTCGCTGGAATATAGACTAGTGGCGTTCCTGGCAAGAGATCACGAGGCGTGCCTTTTGTCTAGCGGTGAGTTTCGGTGATACTGAAAAACATGGGGCAGACCAGGAACCAGGGCTTGTCGGCATTCGGTCTCGGTTCCATGACGGGAGTATGTGGCAAGAAGGAGGTACCTACTTCTACAACGGAGTGGAGACCTCTCAAATAGCGATGGGAGGCGGTGGACTTGGGTGGAGAGCATAGGGTGGGGCCGAGATTCAATGACACAGAACTGGCCAGTAATGTTGAGTTGATCGATCCACGGATGCCGCTATGAACCCTTATAGGCTCCTCCCTTGTCTTTCTTGAGAGCTGGACATCGCTGAGTCTTGAAAGTTGCAACACCTTGTCTCCTGGTTGGGAACACGCCCTGTTAGCTGGAGCAAGGAGCCAGGAGATAGCAGCAGATGTACAGGTGAGCTTGCCAAAGCAAACTCGGACTTTGCAACCCCACGAATTATAAACCCCGCCGTTCCTTGTTTCTCTCCCCATCGTCAAGCTCTGCAAAGTGCAGACCACACCCACCAATCCTGACCTCGACCGAACCACCACTCGAGCAAACATGGCGTCCCCGTGGGGGTCTAGAATGCTCGTCGACATATCCGGCTGTGCCTGATTTCGTCCTTAACAGCTAGCTGATGACAACAGCTATCTCAGCCTTCCTTCTCTCTCTCTCTTTTCCTTGCAGCTCTTCACGGCCAAGACTGGGCTCCTTCGACATAGTTCACCGAGGCTCGCGATTTCTTTGTTTGGAGGGCCACCTCGACTCATGCATGGTCAACACTGAAACCCCGAGAAATATTGCCTCGTGCTGACCTATCTATCCTATTGTCATTGCACCGTTCCTACCCCCCCACCCTCCTTCTCGACACACCCGCACTGCCCTCGAGACATGAAGTTCGGAAGAAAGTATGGGCTCTCCAGTCATTATCAAGCCCCGGCCAATCGAGCTCACATGAGATGCAGTCTCCCCCGTAACCAGGTCCCCGAGTGGGCAGCCTCCTACATCGACTACAAGGGCCTGAAGAAGCTGGTGAAGGCTGCTGCATTGGCAGCTCAGAATGGACAGGAGGCAGTGGACCTTGCAGGTGGGAATTCTTCTGGGTTGAGCTCCGGTCAGGGCCCGTTTCCAACCTAACCAACACAAAACAGAGTTCTTCTTCGCTCTGGACCGGAATCTGGAGGATGTTGACTCTTTCTACAACAAAAAGTTTGCCGACGCTTGCCGCCGGCTCAAGCTTCTGCAAGACCGATATGGCAGTAGTCCGGATGTCGTCCCCAATTTGGACCAGGACGAGGTCGAAGAGCTGATGGGTGCTCTCCTGGAGCTCCGTAGCCAGTTGAGGAATCTCCAATGGTTCGGCGAGATCAACCGCCGGGGCTTCGTAAAGATCACGAAAAAGCTGGACAAGAAAGTCCCAAACACGACGACGCAGCACCGGTACATCTCGACCAAGGTCGATCCGCGGCCGTTCGCCAAGGACACAACTATTGTTCGCCTGCTCTCCGAAATCAACAGATGGCTCTCCGTCCTCGGAGATGCTCAGAACTTTGATGATGCCATGTCGGATCGGTCTAGCAGGTCCCTTGGGAGAGCCTCGGCGAAGGCTATGCTGAGAATTGCTCCGGCGCTGCTGGAGAAGCTGGAGCAAGCAATCCGAACTGATGACGTTCCCTCTTTGAAAGCGGGCTTCGCGGAGGGAAATCTTGTCCTCCCTGAACCGTCGTCTCAAAGCATGCTTCTGAATCTCCTGCAACGATCCATATCCACAAAGTCCCGAGCCGCCCTCGATTATCTTCTTGGCAATATCGAGACCCTGGATGAGCCGGGCGATATCCACCAGCGGAACTGCATTCATAGGCTGGTCATCCATATCGGCCGGACCAAGGCCGCGTCCGCCAACAAGGATGAAGGGGAGCCTAGCCCGTATCCATTTCCCGGGGGCGTCCAGTATGCCCAGCATTATCTGACAGCAGCTACATCTCCTCTGTGCGGGCCCCGGAAGACGGGCATCAAGGAACCCAACCTCCTCACTAAAGACGACAAAGTGGTTCAGATACTCGTTTATTTGCTGGACAAGCTCCGGCCTGGCCAGAGAATCGCACTCAGTGCGCGAGACTCGTTCGGTCGACTCCCACTGCACTATGCTGCCCAGTTCGGCTGCGTCGTCGTATGCCAGATAATAATGGAAAAGATGCAACACTGGGGCCAGTTCAACGCAGAAAATGGCATCGACGCCCCGGAATGGCAGGATAAGGAGGGCTGTGCACCACTCCACCTTAGTGTGATCGGTGGCCACCCTCTGACTACCAAGGCCCTCCTCCAGGGGGAGAATTGGCAAGGCGTTAGTGAGACCAAGGCCGAAATGAGGAGGGCGGTATCGAAATCGAGTGCTGTCTTGGCGCTAGCCACGAGGTCCAACTTCAAGCGCATCGTCGAGATGCTCGTAGATGCTGGCGTCGATATCAACTGGCAGGACAAGACAGGCGAGACGGCCCTACACGTCGCTGCCAGGTTCGGACATGACGAGTGCGCGAGAGTGTTGCTGCAGGGCACGGACGAGCAGAAAGCCGACCTCGAGCTGGTGGAGAAGTCATTTGCCTGGTCCCCACTGCACATCGCGGCTGTGGATGGGCATCTGTCAGTAGCCCAGCTGCTGGTTGATGCCGGGGCAGAAGTAGACAAGCCGGACTCGTCGGGCTGGACAGCGAGGGAACACGCAGCCCTCCGTGGGCATCTGCCGATTGCCCGCTTGCTTGCTGCCCACTCCCTCCCGTCTGACGACGCCACTACTACCAGTGCAAGTTCTGACGACGAGAAGTCGATGACTAGCACCTCGCCACCTGCAGAATACTCCTCTCTCGGAGACCGACGCTCTAACGGCTCAACACGGCTTGCAGACCCCGTCAAGTCATTCGGTCACAGGTACCTCAAGAATGAGAGCTTGGTGCTTGTCAGTCTCGGGTCCATGGACATGAGGAAGACCACCGAGGCTGTCAAGCTGGATAGGGTGCCCCTCACCGAGGCTCATGCGACCCAGCTAGACACGGCGCTGTCCGTGGTCGTCTCGGCAAACGGCGCTCGTGGGGAGCCCACAATCATCGATCTCCCGGTCCACGAAAACATCTCCACGGAGCCTATAGTTTTCACGACAAACGACGCGACACAGGTCAAACTACTCTTCGATATTGTTCCGACGTACTCGGGCAACGAGAAGAACAAGATCGGTCGTGGGGTGGCCTTGCTGTCGAGTGTACGGCCTAACATTGGCGCGAAGCGGATGAACCTGCAGGGCGATGTCTGCGTGCCTATCATGGGGGCAAACTTGGAGGTCATTGGCACGGTCAACTTCAACTTCCTAGTGATCACGCCCTTCTCCCACCCAAACATGGAGGTCACGTCCAGGCAGACCTACTGGAAGAAGCTGACTTCGACCATGGTCATCGGCCATCGCGGGCTGGGAAAGAATCTGGCCTCGAACAAGTCCCTGCAGCTGGGCGAGAACACGGTTCCGTCATTCATTGCAGCAGCCAATCTTGGCGCGCAGTATGTGGAATTCGACGTGCAGCTGACCAAAGACCACGTCCCCGTCATATACCATGACTTCCTCGTCAGCGAGACGGGATTCGATGCTCCTGTCCACATGCTCACGATGGAGCAGTTCCTGCATATCAACCCCGACTCATCGCGGCCCGAGGCCGCGCACCAGGCGGTTAACAAGCAGGTCCAGCTAACCCGGAGCAACAGCCCTGGACCTCGGCAGCGCTCCATGTCTATGGGCTATTCGGAGACGGACAGGCAGAGACTGGACGAACGTATGAAGCACACGCGAGACTTTAAGGCCAAGGGATTCAAAGCCAACTCGAGGGGCAACTTCATCCAGGCACCCTTCGCGACGCTTGAGGACCTGTTCCGCAAGCTACCACCCTCGGTGGGCTTCAACATCGAGATGAAGTATCCGATGCTGCACGAGAGCGAGCAGCACGAGATGGACACATATGCCGTCGAGCTGAACTCGTTCTGCGATACGGTACTGAGCAAGGTGTATGACCTAGCGGGCGACCGGAACATCATCTTCAGCTCGTTCAACCCGGACATTTGCCTGTGTCTCAGTTTCAAGCAACCGAGCATCCCGATCATGTTCCTGACTGATGCGGGCAGTTGTGCTGTGGGTGACATCCGAGCCTCCAGCCTGCAGGAGGCTATCAGGTTCGCGAGTAGGTGGAATTTGCTGGGCATTGTGAGCTATGCAGAGCCCTTTGTCAACAGTCCCCGGCTGGTGAAGGTGGTGAAGCAGAGCGGGCTGGTATGTGTCAGTTATGGGACGCAGAACAACGACCCGATCATGGTCCAGGTCAGTCCCACTGCGAGTCAGTTGTAACGGGGGGATCTTGCTCAAGCTAACATATCCACGTGCAGCGCCAAGTTAAAGAGGGAATCGATGCAGTTATCGTTGACAGTGTTCTGGCGATCCGGAAAGGGTTGACCCAAGACCCGGAAAAGGCCGAAACGGCGGCCTCACCTGCGGTTGTGCCAGTGGCAGGACCAATGCAGGATGCAAAGGAGCCTACTATAGAAGAGGGAGTCGAGCTTGCTTAGGGCATCGAATGCGTAATAGACCATCAACTGGTTTGATATGGGGCATGGTGCGATTTACGATGTTTGGTTAGGTACAGCACCCGTTGGGTATAACAGCACCAACGTTGGAAGCGTCCGTCATGACGATACGAACAGCATATTAGACGAGGGAAGGGATGCGAAGCAGGAGAGGGGGCAGGCAGTCTTCAACACGACACAGAGAGACTCGCTGTACAGACATTGTATTCATTGAAAAAAAAAAAAGTAGTTTTGGGCATTTTCGAGGGCCTTAGCCGGTGCCTTGACTTTCGCAACTCACCTCATGGCCGAGTATCCGTACACGTATATTGATGTATATAATATAAAACAGTGGTCTTTGCAACCTTCCTCAATGGCCTTGAGGGCTGTCTGGTGCAATTGACATGGCAATGATGGCGTGCTCCTTGACAGTGCCCAACATGCCCCTCTACAGGAACTCTTCCCCCACCAAACAGCTGGCCAGAGGCGGCCTCACATTCTGGTTTAATATGGCCTAGCAGCCTTTCAGCAGACAGCTTGAGGCTGTGTATAGTCTTTCGCCTTTCTCAGCCTCTATTGGCAAAAAATGGCCGGAATTCGCCTAGCGTTGAGTTTTTTTTCTCGTCCTTTTTTTTCTCACCCCTCCCCTCTCTCCAGTGTTCCTTTCTTCACAGGCAGAGGCAACCCATTACATAAAACCCTCCCGCCTTGTCATGGTCCCATAGCTCTCCGCCCCTTCAACCACCTCGGACTCACGACCGACCATCTCGTTGCCTTCCTCCCATCTTCCCCCCAAGGCTCGCTCCCCTTCCCTCGGAACAATGGCAGGCCCAGCTTCGCCAGGCAACGACGGCCCCACCTTCGCCCCGCCCAACCTGCCCGCCGGCTGGATTGCGCAATGGGACGGCGCCAGCAAGAAGTACTACTACGTCCAGCTGTCGACGGGCGCCTCGCAGTGGGATACGCCGACCAAGGACGCCCCCGTCGGCCAGGGCTCGGTCAGCCACGCAGCCGAGCAGCCCTACGGCGGCCCGGGCCAGCCCCAGCTCATAACCCACCCGGACGGCACCCAGACCGTCCAGCACCCCGACGGGACCATGGAGCCCGTCATGCCGCCCGGCGCGAGCGGCACCCGGGGCGGCGTTGATGGGCCGACGGGCGATAGGGGCTTGGGGGTAAGCGCTTGATCCTCTTCTTTTCTTTTCTTTTCTTGTCTTGTCTTGCTTTTATCTCGGTTGTCCGTGCTATTTGCTTTTTACTGAATGATTTGCTGACTGGTTACGCCACCTCTCTCCAGAGTGTATTGGGCAATGCTCTGATGAGCAACCTCGGCGGTGGGAATTCCGGGAACTCGCACGGGGGCGGACAGGGCATCGCCGGCCAGCTCCTCGGCGGGCTGACGCATTCCGGGGGTCAGGGCCACTCGTCAGGCGGCAGCAGTGGCTTGGGCGGCAAGCTGGTCGGGCAGCTGGCATCGAGCCTCTTCTCCTCGGGCAACAAGCCCTCCCAGCCCCAGAATTACCATAGCAGCCAGTCGGAGTCGTCCCACCAGTCCGGCGGAGGGCTTGCTGGGTCCGTGATGGGGGGTGTTGCCAGCATGTTTGGGGGCAAACAGCATGGCCAATCGGTATGTTGCAATGGAAGCTTCGTTGGGATCAAATGGCCCAGGGGCGCTCGTATGGGCTAACTTTTTGAATGGCAGGGCCAAAACTACGGGTACTCAAATACCGGACAGACTGGGGGTTACAGCGGCCAAGAGCCGCCAACGTCATATAAACCGCCCCAGGGTCCATCGTCCTCCAGTACGCCGTCCTTCCCGCCTCCGCCAGGCCAATCTCAGCAGCATTCCTCCTACGGGCAACATACATCTGGGAACACGAACACGTCCCATACTCCCTCTTACCCGCCACCGCCCGGCCAACCGCAGCAATACGGTCAGCAGACACACATTCCTCCCCCTCCCTCTGGCCGTCCACCGGCAAACCAATACGGCGGGTCGTCCGGCCCGGGGTATGGGCAGCAACAATACTCAACCCCGGGTTCGTATAACCCACAATATGGCGGTGGCCAGGCGGTTCACTCGTCATATCCCTCCCAGCCATCATATGGTGGTGGTGGTGGTCAGCACCATGGCCAGGGCCACGGTCAAGGGCATGGCCAAGGGCATGGGTCCCAATATTAGGGACCCTGCTTGTGGGGTCTTTTTGTGGCGTAGAAAGGAGGGCTTATGGGCTAGAATTGGAAATTTGCGAACCGTTGTGCGATTACTGTATTGCCGAGAGCGCATGTGATGCACCAGGAAAGAGAGTCGGGACTGTCGAGAACAACTTTGCTTCGGTCCTCGTGTGGAGACGATTTGTTCAGCTGCCTCGGTGGGTTGCGGGTACATGAATGATGCTTGAATGATGACGCGTTCCTGGGGAGGATCAGTACTGTAGGCTTATATCTCAGGGTTGTTCCCTGGGAGGCCCCTCGGGCCCGCCGCACGGAGACTACGTACATTACATATCACTGCCGCTTTTTCTCCTCGGCGGTGATATCGCTCGAAATGATGCTCTGTATCCACGAGACGGCCAACCTTGCGACAAAAAAAGAGGCGATCGCGACGACGGGGATGAATATCGCTGTCGGGACCAGAGACCGAGGGAAGACGTTGAAGATAAAGGGGTCAAGGATGATGTCCACGCTGACGGGAGGGACGTTGTCCATCAGAGTCGCATTGGTGGTGAAGTAGTCTGCAGAAGCAAGGACTTGGAGAAAGAGCACCGAGGCTTCTCTTTCCCCTACCCCCCTGCCCTTCTCGGGCCGGTGGGAGGCCCGCGTCTGCTCGGCATCCGAACTGGCTTGCGGCTGCCGAGTCGAGGAGTACTCGGCCAGAGAGCCGATCAGTTCGGGAGTGTCCCATACTGTCGGTAATTCGTACGTATTCAGGGTGAACGCAGTGGGTTGCTGGTAAATTGTCAGAGCTACAGGGAAGAACAATTTAGAAGGCAATTGCACTTGGAGTCCTTACCGTTGCAGCCCAGCAAATCCGAACTTCGTAGCGCTGGTTTTCTTGGAGACTGTCCAACAAGAACCATGATGCCTTCCCCTTGCTTAATTTGTCCTTGGGAAACTCTGCCTCGATCTCGGTTCTCAGTGTCGAGTCTTTCAGAGTGAGCACGTCGATTCGTAGGTCTTCAAGGGTTGGATGTTGAAGCGGCACATTGACGGTACTAGGCCCTAAGAAGATTGTCTTTTCTACATTTGCAACACATGCCTGTATGCAAAAGAGCCATGTAGCTAGGCATTTGAACGTCATCCTTCCGGGTTTCGGCTTGTGAGTGAGGACAAGAATGGAGGATGAAGCCAAGCTAGAGAGACATGGGATGATGGTCTAGGTAGCTTGAGCCACAGCCCACCAGCCACACCTTTCCCCAGAATCCAGAATCACATGCTTTAAGCCACGAACCCTGTCTGCGCCAGCTAAAGATGCCGTGACGCAACGCCGAGGAACGCCGCTGCCCACTGGCTGCTAACCGTCCGGACCTGACATCACAGAGACCATCGATCCCCTGCAGTCGCTCATTGCAACAACAATGCCGCCATGCGGCTTCCAGTGTCGATTTCCTCCTATACATACGCACAATTCCTATTCCGCATACTCGAATAGTTTCAATTAAGGCAAATTGCCCCGATGCTGCTGGCCTTTTGCTGAGCGCATACAATTTCCATCCGCCATCCCTTCGGGGATAATCCCAGGGCGATATATACCTGCCTCTACCTAGAGAGCGATACTCCGGCCGATAATCACTCCCAACTCCCCTACGACATCGCAGTTTCGGCTGCTCGACCTCAGTCGCCGCCATGGCGCCATCACACTCGAAGCTCCTCCCGCCAGCCCTCCGCGAGCGCACGATCCGGAGCATAGTCTCGCAGCTCACGCAAATGTACTTGTCCAACAGGACCCGGATCTCGCGAGCCGTGTACCTCGCCCTCTTCGTGGCCCTGATAAACCGCGTGCGCCACGCCATCGCGGAGCAGAAGGCCGCCTCGGCGCGGGACGCGGCGCGGCGCGCGGAGCAGGTCGGGACGACGTCGACGTCGGCGGCGGCGGGCGAGGAGGCGGCGGGCAAGAGGAAGAGGGTCGAGCTGAACCGCGAGTTCTTCCGGTCGCTGCTGCGGCTGCTGCGCATCGTCGTGCCTGGGTGGCGGAGCAAGGAGACCAGGCTGCTGATCAGCCATAGCTTCTTCCTCGTCGTCCGGACGCTCATCAGTCTGAAGGTCGCTGCCATGGACGGTGCGATCGTGAAGAGCCTGGTTAAGGGTAATGGGAGGGAATTTCTGACAAGCATCGTATGGTGGATGCTGATCGCGGTGCCGGCAACGTTCACCAACTCAATGGTAGGTCTGGCTGTGGGATGGATCTCTGGCCCCCTGGAAGGCAGATGGTCGTTGGATATCAATTGGCTAATCATCTTGTCTCTAGTTGTCATACCACCAAGCAGAGCTCTCATTGAAGTACCGAACACGCCTGACACAGCATATTCACGACAAGTACCTTTCGGAGCTGACCTTCTACGGACTGTCGGCTCTTGACGACAGGATAAAGAACCCAGACCAGCTGATTACTGTCGACGTTGCGAAGTTCTCCAATAGCTTGGCGGAACTATACAGCAATCTAGCCAAGCCAATCCTGGATATGGTGAGGGCCCTCGTTTGAGGTCTACTATTTTGGCTCAACTGACATTTCCGCCAGACCATCTATACCTATTCCTTATCCAAGAGCGTGGGTGGCGAAGGGGTCGTGTTCATGTCTCTCCTTGTCCAACTATCGGCGCATGTGCTGCGAGCATTGACGCCGCCATTCGGCAAATATGTTGCAGATGAAGCCCGCCTGGAGGGCGAATTCCGGTTCCAGCATTCCCGCCTGATAGACCACAGCGAGGAAGTAGCCTTATATGCAGGCCACGAGGCGGAAAAGGACACGTTGGACAAGGGCTACTTTACGCTGATCAAGCACGTCAACTACATCCTGCGCCGCCGCTTCTATCACGGCTTCATGGAGGACTTTGTCATCAAGTACTTCTGGGGCGCCTTGGGCCTGCTTCTTTGCAGCGTCCCGGTCTTCATCAAGCTCCCCGGCCAGATTGCCATGAACATGGGCGACCGGACCGAGAGTTTTGTTACCAATCGCCGGATGCTTCTTTCGGCATCTGATGCATTTGGCCGAGTCATGTTTTCGTACCGAGAAATCATGGAGCTCGCCGGGTATACCTCGCGCGTGGCGACGCTGTTAGATGTCATGGACGATATCAAGGCCGGGCATTTCGAGAAGAAGCTCGTGTCAAGCTCGGGAACCGAGGATAACGAGGCTGTGCTCAAGGGCAGGGGTAAGGTCGTGGAGAGCGAGAATATCGAATTCGTCGACGTGTAAGTGATAAGATACCCCTGGGAGTCGCTTGCGTCTTTATACTGACAGAGCCCTAGCCCCATCGTCTCCCCCAACGGCGATGTGCTTGTCAAGGCACTCTCCTTCTCGCTTAAGCCAGGCGACCACCTCCTCGTGGTTGGCCCTAATGGCTGCGGCAAATCCTCCCTCTTCCGCATCCTCGGGGGTCTCTGGCCGGTTTACGGAGGCACCGTCTACAAGCCGCCCTTCAGCGACATCTTCTACATCCCGCAACGTCCCTACCTGTCTCGTGGCTCCCTCCGGCAACAGATCATCTACCCCGACGGTCTGCGGACAATGCGGGCTAAGGGGGTGACAGATGCAGACCTCTTGGGCATCCTGGGCATCCTTAACCTTGAGAATCTCAATGAGCTGTATCCCGAAGGACTGGACGCCGAGGCCGAGTGGCGCGACGTGCTGTCGGGAGGCTTGCAGCAGCGCGTGGCCATGGCGAGGCTGTTCTACCACCGGCCGCGATACGCGATCCTCGACGAGTGCACGAGCAGCGTGACCCTTGAGGCGGAGAAGACCATGTACGAGAACGCCAAGAGCCTCGGCATCACGCTGATGACGGTGAGCCACCGGCGCAGCCTGTGGAAATACCACAGCCGCATCCTACAGTTTGACGGCCAGGGCAACTACGTGTTCACCCGGCTGGACGCCGAGAAGCGGCTGAAGCTGGAGGACGAGAAGGAGGACCTCGACGTGTTGCTGCGGCAGGTGCCGGATATCGAGCGGCGGATTGATGAGTTGAAGATTGCATGATTGCGGCCGTGTGGTCTCGTATTGTACAGTACACGATGTCATATGTGGCGTGGAAATCCATTGTTGTATGCATAGATGGAGAGACGATGACGCGGTTGAATCAACCTTAACTTCTGCCAAGTCTCGATGATCTCCCTCAGCAACCGAACCGCCTGCTAGGGGGGATTAGATATCAAACTGACGATCCCATCGCTAAAACCGGGCAACTCTGATCCTGGTCGGAACACACGCCAAGATAATGGTTTTCAAGGGGAATGACTGTCACAAATAACCAGAATGGCGATAATGGCGATCACAGTAACGAAGATGGGCTGTTTCATTCTGCACCCATACTCAGCCTCTTCCCCCCTTTTTCCTTAGCAGGAGATGAGGGTATGTATGAAGAGGAAGGTGACCCACGAACACCACAGACGCTAGCCGCTGCTGGAAAATACAGTAAATAATCTGCTTTTCTGCACAGTGCACTACCCGACTAGCGTGGCCAGGACTTGGGGAATTTGAGTCTTGGCAGCGGGACTAAAGGTAATGAGGCAGGTTAGCACGCGACAAGCAATGGTTGCGATTGAATGATGACGGCGGGACGTCATGCAAGTTCCTGGTTGTTGGCCTCGTGTTGCGAACCTTGTTGAAATCTCAGCCCCGGAACTCGGCACAGCGCTTTATCAGCGACAAAGGTGCCAGCAACCGTATCTCCCAGATTGCGGATTGCGTGAACTGGAAGTGCAGACTAGATGAGCCAGGAACCAGCATTTTCGGCTTCAGGCCCTGTGAATAGTCTGGCAAACTGCTTTTGAATATCGCCAAGCATAGGTTTATTTGATTCAGGGGCAGATAAGGAGGATGGGATGAAGATCGAGAGGGCTTGCGGCTGAACCAAGTTGAGGCCGTCATTAATTAATTACCTACCTAACTCCAAGCCATGATGCAGCCTACCGCCTTATCACCATCCGAGGCCGAGTCGACCGGACTCTTGACCCTCGAGAGAGGTGACACGTATCTAACTTTTTGTCTGAGAAAATCCAGGGACTTTCAACCCTTGAAGAGTTTTCTTGAAGAGTTTAACGGCGTTGAGACCATGGGTCTCATGTTCTTTTATTATTTGCGCAATGGAAGGCCCTGACTGGGTGGCTTGCGGGGGAACGGTTTCCAAAAAAAAAATGGCGGGGTCCCACTTTCACGGTGCTTTGGTTTAATTAGGGGTGAGGACGAAGGCCAACTCGGTGTTCCTGATTGCCTAAGGAACCCAAGATGTCGATGATGCGACGACACCGAAGAGGAATAGCTTCTGAAAACTGAGATCCATCGAAAAGGGGGTAGCGCGTAGGGCAGGGTTGGCTGTATGAATATAGCCTTCGTAATGACCTTGCAAGGATCTTCGCGCAGTTCCGCACTGTGGCACACGACACTCATGCGTGCAATTGGGTGGTCGGCCATAGCCTCAGTCTCCAGTCCCAGTGATCTTGGGGTCTGCCCGTCTTACGTATGCGCCGTCTCACCAACCCTGGCTCTGCCCCTCTGTACGAAAACCCAGTGGTCCCCGTTCATTCCGCCACTTCGCAGAGTAGTATTAGTGGTCGGCGCAGGTCAGGGATATATGCCCTCGGAATCCTTCTAGGGTCTACCAAGAATAGGAAGCCTCCTCCTGTCGTCTGCCTCCTCGATGTCCTTCATTCTCTCCTTTTGAGTCCCATATCCTCTTCTTTCGGCCGAGGCGCCTATATTTTCCTTCCTCCATCGGCGCCTGTATACCCTCCTTAAACAACCTCCATCCCTCAGCCGACACTCGACCTCTTCTCTATCCCGGTTCGACCTCGCCTGGCTGCGGTTGCCGATCCTGTCGTGTTTTGCGAACGTGAGTTCCAAGTCCAATACCTTTGACCGCATCACGCGACACTCTCGAGATCCTCAGACGTGCTTATAATTTGACTTAGGATTTAACATAACGGTTTCGCACCTACCTGTCGACGGTTTCCGGCAAACTACGGTCCCCGACTTCACTCGCATGCTACCGGAGCACACTGGTTGATAATATAAACACATCTACGGCCGAACTTGTCCTATACTTCACGACCATGAAGCTCCTTCGCGCACTACCGCTTCAAACCCTCCTTCTCCTCTCTAGCCTGATAATCCCTTCAGTCCTATCCGCCCCAGCGGTCGGGGGAGAACCCATGCTGGCACGGTCTCTAAGAGCAAGGTCGGAGAAAAAGCCGTCCGATAACAAGTACTTCCACGAACCGGGCGGCTCCGAGGAGCTGGGCCACTATGACAAGCGGTATTTCAAAGGCGCGGTGCCGTACGAGGAGCATAGGCCTGCACTAAGGCATCTCACCCGCTCCTACTTGACGACCCTGCGCTCGCTCGGGGTTGAGACATGGTTGGCCCACGGAACCTTGCTGGGGTGGTGGTGGAACGGTAAAATCATGCCGTGGGACTATGATGTCGACGTACAGGTATCAAGTGCGACCCTATACTACCTGGGCAAGAACCACAACAACACCTTGCACGAGTATCGCTTTCTCGATGAGCGGACAGGAGAGCAGAGGAAGAAGACTTACCTCCTGGATATCAACCCCCACCACGTCGAACGGACCCGGGGCGATGGCATGAACGTCATTGATGCGAGATGGATCGACGTCAGCAACGGCATGTTTATCGACATCACCGGTCTGGCCGAGAGAGACCCCACGAGCCACCCGGGCATCTGGAGTTGCAAGAACTACCACCGCTACCGCACTAGGGATCTTTACCCGATGCGCGAGACCGACTTCGAAGGCGTGCCCGCCAAAGTGCCCTACAGCTTCGACCGGATATTGACCGACGAGTACGGAATGAAGAGTCTGGTCTCTACTGAGTGGAAGGGGTGAGTCTCTTTTTCTCCACGTCTCGGGAACCTGATTGTTGTTACGCCGTACTGACGTTGAGTTTCTTAGACACCGATGGACACCCGAAATCAAAGAATGGGTCAAGGTCCAAGAGAAGAAATCGTAGCGACACCACGCATTACAGCACCAAAGGGCCGCCCCCAGATCACCTGCATTGGAATAGAACCGGCGTTTTTCCCTCATTTCTTTTTTCTTTTTCATTGTTTATATTTTTGAACGAGAGACCACTAAGCTGGCGTATGCGTTTGATATGATGGTATACGCGATACATTGGGAGAATCGATGCGCTTTGTGTATGCATATCGGAGGCGCCACGCTCTCTAATTCGGATGAGCCAGGCATATAAGCATGGTCCAGGAGGGGGGCCAAGGGCGGTGTGAGACGGAAGAGGTCCTGGCCGGCTCATTTTGTGTTATTCACAATACTTGTTGTACCTACATTATTCGGTCTTGCTGCAGCGAGCTTACAAGCCCTCAGATATCCCGTAATATACCTAGCCCTTCGGGCTGTCTTTTGTTATTACATTGACATGGAAGTCACTTCCGGTCGGAATTATAACCTCCTTTCCGCGGCTTAGATCCTGAGCAGTGAAGAGGGTATTTCTAACTCGTGTGTGATATAAGTACAAGCTATCATGCCATGATGTACCAGAATTACGCCGTATCCAAATCATATATCACAATAGACAGACTTCTATCATGACTGGCTTCCCTCATGTGTCTCACCACTGCCTCCCCCTTCGTCTGACCGATTGGCCTTCTCCAGATTCCTGATCCTCTCCTCCGCCGCCCGAGCCAGTATCTCCCTGCGGCTCAACGGCTCGGCCCCGCCGTTACTCCTACCACCACCACTACCGCTGCTGCTGCTGCCGCCGCCGCCGCCGAGGACGAACTCCCCGCCAGCCCACCCCCCATGGTCCATAACCTCGTCCTCCTCGACGCCCCTCTCGGGCGCAAACTCGTCCTGGCCGACGGTGTGGCCGCCGCTCGTCCAGTCGGCCGCATCGACCTCGCGCTCGATCTGGTGGCACAGGTCCCAGAAGGCCCTGTCGTGGGGCCCGTGGACGTTGTGCGCGAGCTCGTGGCACAGGGTGCGGCGGATGGTGCGGTAGTCGCGGTAGCCGTCGTAGGCGTCGGTGCGCAGGCGCAGCTCGACCACCTCGCCGCGGTTCCGGTTCAGGCCCAGCGTGCGCGACGTGCCCTCGTGGCTCGACGACGTGTGCGCCGCCGGGTCCATCTCCGTCAAGAGGCCCACGCTGAACTGGTGCTTGCGCATCGCCGCCCGGATCCCCGGGTCCGCCTTGAGCCGCTCCAGGAACGCACGGCTGCGCTCCGGGCGCGGCAGGTACGGGAGCGGCCGCACCGTGTGGAAGGTGTACTGCGCGTCGTCCCGCGCCCGCTGCTGGTCGCGCCGGGTGGTGCTGGTGCTGTTGCTGCTGCGGGCGGCGCGGGCGCGGGCCCGCTGCAGGACGGCGGCACGCCTCGCCTGCTGGGCCGTGGCCGCGGCCGAGGCGGCGTGGAGGGCCTGGATCTCGGCGCGCTTCTGCGCCAGCAGCTTAAGCGTGTTGCCGTCGAGCAGCGAAAGCTCGAGGTCGCCGTCGTCGTGGGCCTTGAGGAGCGCCTTCACGCCCGGCCGCCGGGCCCGCGTCTCTACCATCAGCTTGCACTGGCTCCAGTCAAACTCGGGCCAGAGGTCGTCGCACCTGACGACCAGCTCGTCTAGGGTGGCGTCGTCGGGGAAGGCCCAGGTCCCGGAGAAGCCCGCCGGGCCAAACTTGACAGTGACCTTGATCGGTTCGTCCTCGTGGTTTTCGGGTGCGGCTGCTGTAAGTTCGTCGGACTGCCTGTCTCCGCTTGGCGGCGACGAGGCCAGCTCCAAGTCGACGCCCGCCATGGGTGGTTCTTGCAGGCTTAATATGTGGCTTGGATGTGGTATGGCCAGTTCGGCTTTGAAACAGCCTTTTCAATATCAAACCTCTTCAAAGCGATCCAAGCCTACTACAACCTCGGGCTACTATCCTTGTTGATAGACTCGGATAGCGTAGTAGTGATATATCTAAGGTAATATAGCTAGCAGAGAGCTGAAGGCGATTTAAATGCTTGAAACTGACTTTGGGGCAAATACGTAGGTAGGGGCAGAGATGCTCAAGATGCGCTTGGCTATTGTGTTAATAATATACATATACTGCAAGGACTTTGATGGTGGTCGCCATCAATGCTTGCTTTGTCAGGCATGGCTTTGTCACACCTGTGGCCACTGGCCACCGCAGCTCACTTGCCCACCGCCACTCCACTGAGCATGGCTAGGACGACTTACTTTCTTGGAGGGGAAATAGCCTCACCTACATCGGCAGGTATGCAGGGGCCTCGGCAGGTTGGCTTTCACACTGAATGCCATTTAGTTATCACCAAGGGGAAGGTACCTCCCATTACCACGGGTATGTCCTGTGCGATACGATGTGATGCGATGCGCAGATTGGACTACTCCTGTCTTGATCTATTACTAGGTATTTAGACTTTACCGGTTTTGGTCTAATTTCACCTGATGGCAAGGGGCAAATTTGAGACTTGCGGTACGGATCGTATTAATAACAAACCATGCCAGAAAGTTCAGGAACCAGTTCGTATGTCACTTCAGACTTCTGTCATTGATTGGACGCAAACCAACACTCCTGCCCGGTGTCAATTCAACTTGGCGGTTCTGTATCAGGGGCTGCTTGGCTTGGAGGCGCATGTTCTCGGCGTTATTTATCTCGTTGCTTGGTTGTGTCTTGGTGCCTCACTTGGGCATAGTGCTGTACCCCGCCTGTATCTTGGGGAACCTTGGTAAATTAGCAGTACGAGGTAGCTGTCGCCAACTAACGCGCCTCCCTTCATACCACCTTCCAACCTTTCTTTTCTCCATGGAGTGCGCGGGATTCTTTCCCTTCCTTTAAATTTCAAATTTCCTTTCACTTTGTGAACCCGAGGGGTACCTTGAGATCCCCATTCGTTTCAATCTTTCTCGTCATTCATTGGAAGCCCACTTATCCTCGCAGCTCGTTTTTCTCTTTATCTCCAAACCGCAACTCTCATTGAAACGAAACCACGGAGAGCTCCGAGACAACGACATTGAACTCCGGGACTCGTCATATTTTGCATCATGCTTGTGAGTTTGCCCACGCCCACCCTCGGCCTTCTGCCTGTCTGTTTGTTGCCCTGTTTGTGCCCGGCGCCGTCGTCGACATCATCGGACCGTCACGCTGGAAACGCTGGACCCTGAGAATATCCCCCCCACTGTTTCTCCTGGAATCCCACTGACCTGGTAATCCCGCTCGCAGCTCCACTCGTTCCTCGTTGCGCTTAGCGCTACACTTGCCACCGCCGTCAAACCACTCGTGGCCAAGGACAACTACTTTGTTGACCCCGATAGCGGCAACCGCTTCCAGATTGTGGGCGTCGCATACCAACCTGGTGGCTCTGCAGGCTACAATCCGGACCTGAAGAAGGATCCCCTTAGCGACAAGGACCACTGCCTGCGAGATGCCGCCCTCATGCAGGTTCTCGGCGTCAATACCATACGGGTGTACAATCTCGACCCCAACCTGAACCACGATGAGTGCGCAAGCATCTTCAATGCGGCTGGTATGTACATGCTGCTGGACGTCAACTCTCCACTCGTAGGGGAGAGCCTCACCAGCTTTGCTCCATGGGAATCATACTACGACACCTACCTGAACCGCACCTTTGCCATTGTCGAGGCCTTCAAGAACTACCCCAACACCCTCGCCTTCTTCTCGGGCAACGAAGTCATCAGTGATATCGCGACGGGCTCGACGGTGCCGCCGTACGTCCGTGCCGTCACCCGCGACTTGAAGAATTATATCGCCAAGCACTGCGACCGACCTATCCCGGTCGGCTATTCCGCTGCTGATGTGCGCAAGGTGCTCTTCGACTCGTGGAATTACTTCCAGTGCGCTATAGATGGCAGTGAAAATGACATCAGCAAGGCCGACATCTTTGCCTTGAACAGCTACAGCTGGTGTGGTGATGCAACTTTCACGTCCTCTGGCTATGATACCCTTGTGGAGGGCTTCCAGGAGAGCGCTGTCCCCATCTTCTACTCCGAGTACGGCTGCAATACACCTTCCCCCCGTCTCTTCACCGAGGTACCCGCCATCTATGGTTCGGAAATGACCGCCGTCTTCAGCGGCGGTGTTGTCTACGAGTACTCCCAAGAAGAAAACAACTACGGCTTGGTCACGATCCACAGTAATGGCAGCGCCACTCTCCTCAATGACTTCTACACACTGCGTGACCAGTACTATTCTCTGAACTTCACCACCATCCAGGGAATCAAGCCCCCAACCAAGAAGGCACCGGTGGCACCCGTGTGCTCCGCCAAGTTGATCACCAACAAAGGTTTCAGTACCAATTTCACTTTGCCCGTTCTTCCGCCAGGTGTTAAGCAGATCATCGCGAACGGCGTGAAGCCTACCCCGAGTGGCCGACTTGTGGACATCTCCGACTGGAAGGTCAAGTACACCGTCACTAATCCCGACGGCACCACCTTGTCCGAACTTGCCGTGAAGCCACTGGCCAACGATGCTGTGAACGGTACGTCCTCCTTCCCCCGTCCCCCCTCCCGCCTAACCCCTTGGGGGGGCTTGATATGAATAGTGTTACTGACCTGACAATACAGAACCCGGCACCAACACCGTTGCTGGGTCCCCAACCGGCACTGGCGCGGCCAAGCCCAAGCCCAGTAAGGATGCCGCTGGCGACATGGTAGCGCCCCGAGCCATCGGCATCGCCGCCCTGGCCGCTGCGGTCGCTTTCCTCGGGGCTGGCCTCTAGATGCGAAGTAAATGGCGCCGGCGACCGTTCCGGTGAAACGGGAAAGGCTAGCCAGACCGGCCGCTGATGAACTGTTTGAGGCGCTCTCGTCGTTTTGATACCACTTGGCCATTTTCGTTTGGTTGTTGAAATTTCTGGGATGGAAGCAGGGGACGGTGGTCGAGGGTTTGGTTGCAGACGGTGGCGGGATGATTCACCAGATCTTTTTGCAGGAAACTAAGGTTCAGGTCTTAAGAGACATGGATATCCAAGTCAGTTTCCCGACAGTATTTTGGCTGGATGGTCTGTCGCCAACCTACCTAGGTACCTATCCATTGTCCATACATACGATGGGGGATTACCTGTGATTGCTTCAAGGGTGTTAGGCCCCCTCCAACAACCAGTACATAAACAGGAGTGTTATTATAATAATAGAGGATAAAGCATTCATTCAATCACCATGGCAGCAGAATGGATGTATCGTATAGAGCGGCTATTGCCCGATTATTTTGACCTCTACCAATTGAATGCTGCATTCAACGTACATGCGTATAACTAAGACAAGGTGTATGTAGGCAGGCAACGCGAGACAATAATCCCTGACCAGTGCCTACATCAACGGCAGTTCTAAAGCAAAACCATTGGAATTCTTTGCCACACAAACATGCGTCTAATACCGATCTGCTCAATCAACCACTGAACTCCTCAGCCTTGCTCTCCTCCCACTTGCCCGGGACCAGGGCCAGCGGCACGATGCCGCTGACGTGCATCTCGGGACCGAAAATCTTGGCATTGAGTCCCAGCTCCTGGGTGGCGGCCTTCATGTTCTTGAGGCCCTCCTGGTAGTTGGGGCCGGCACGGCGGACCCAGATCTGGACGTTGTGCTCGTTGAGGGGCTTGGCATACTCCCTCAGCGCCTTGATCACACCCTTGAAGGTGCTGGCCACGTTGGTGAAGTTGGCGATACCGCCGCCGATGAACAGGACCTTGCCCTTGGGGTCCAAGGGCGCCCGGAGCATCAGGTCCAGGACAGTGCGGGCGTAGTGGTATGTCTGCGATTCTGTCGGCGCACCAGAGTACTCGCCGTAGTTGGCCAACTCGTCGGCAAAGCCGGCTGATGCGATGGCATCCGCATAGACGACCGAGGCACCACCACCGGCAACCAGTGTCCAGATACGGCCGCTGCCGTTGAGGACGGTGAGCTTGAGCGAGGCTCCAGTCTTCGCGTCCAGCTCGGCGATGTAGGCCTCCTCCTTGGTCAGCTCACGGCCGAAGGGGGCGGGGAACTCCATGGGCGGGCCGGCATCGATGTTCACGGCGCCATTGGCAGTTGTTGGCGCGGTGATGCCGAGCGCCGCCGGCGACCGCGCAATTGCCCACTTGACACCGCACTCGAAGTCGGCAGTCTGATCCAGCTTGGCTGCCAGATCGAGGAAATGGACAGAAGCAGAGGTGGCATCGGCATTCGGGATGACAACCAGAGGGTTGATCTCTAGGTAGGTGAACTGGCAGTCCACGTAGACGGCATACAGACGGGTAATGAAGTCAACCAGGACGTTGTGAAGGCCCTTGGGGATCTTCTTGAGCAGAGAGCTTGCGATCTCATCGTTGGATGGGTATTGCGAGAGGTCAACTGGGATCAACAGCTTCTCTGCCTTCTCGTCGACATCACCGACATCGACACCACCTTCGTGGGTGAAAAGGATCCAATCGCCCTATGCAAGAACAGCCATGTTAGTATGTCGAGGTATGATCGAAGTGGGTTAAGTGTGAAAGACTGCATATCGATTCCACTCCACAACCCCAAACCCCGTTTTGGGTCTTCCGTTCGTCCGTCGGCTGGGGTTTCCCGACCGGCACAAAGCGCGTTTCCACCACCGCCCACAATATAACTCAGAACGTGCTGCTCATAGCAACACCTGCACTTGTTCTCCACCTTGTTCTCAAGCATCTCCTCTGATTATTTTTGCTCTTTCTTCTTCAACTCCTCGCTTTCTCATGTCCCCCAAGGAGGGCACCATTTCGCACCCGCTCTCGTGGGAAATCCTTTGATAAAACAGCGCAAAAGAGAATCAATACTCACATCACGAACGGAGTTGATGTTGATGAAGTACTCGGTGTTGGCGGGATGCGGCACAAAAGGCTCAACAAGGAACTGTCTCAAGACACCCTCAGTGTGCTCGACCTTCTGTGCCTTGCCAGCGCGCTCAGCAACCCAGGCCTTCGCCTCGGGCCATGTCTTGTTCAGCGCCAGCAGACCGCTCTTGCCTCGTCGCTTGATGAGCTGGTCAGGCTTCGCAACGAGCTTGATACCCGGTGCCAAGAGCCAGGGATACGTGACCTCGGCCTGGTTGAGCACATCGATGGGCTCTGCGTCCTCGGGGAAGTAGAGCGATGCTAGTCTGGAAGGAGGGTTGTGCTTGGTCGGAGGAGGGAGAGGGCTGGGCTTGATGGTGGCAGCCCGAGTGAGGTGGTAGTTGAGGATGGCCTTGCCGTCGGCCTCGAGAATTGCCTTGGCGGACATGTTGGTCTTTCAAGATTGTGTGAGTGAGAGAATTTCTGTTTGTCTTGCAGTTCGCTATTTCCAATCTATCTTCATACGTCAGCCATTGTTGCGATGGATTTCGGGATACCCTCCAAAGTTGGACGGTGGTCAGCTTCGGGGCGCCGCAGTGCCCCCAAGGTGGGAAGCACAGGATTACTGCTTACTTGCGAATCGTGGAGCAAATGAGACGAGTGGGAAGGTGTTGATCTTCCAGCAGTGGTCAGAAGTCTGACGGTCAATGGAGTGCGAAAATAATAATGATGCACTTCGTCAGAAAATTGCAGAATGAGAGGAAAGCTCAAAAAAGCGGTCTTCGCAAAGGAGCCCGGTCAACCAATGCTGCTGTGTCGAAGGTCCAAGCATGGACCCGCCAAAAGTTTTTGGGGTTGGGGGAATGGCTCAATTTGACCCTGGCTAAATTTGACGGCACTACGAAGTACTGATACTTCCACCCTCCTGTTGGGGCAACTCCTTCTCGACAAAGCTGAAATCAAGTGAGGAAGCACGCTCGGCCTAATACAAGGAATCCCTTGTTTCCATCTCTTCTCTGGGACTAAATATACAGAAATCACTCTTGTCCCACATTGGCAGAGTTAGCTCAATTGCCAATTGGTACTGTTGCTGAAATCAGACGGAGAATGGTTGGGGATCATCCGTTACCGGAGATCGGGCAACAGTGAGCAGCCCCTTTGCTGGACTTCGCTTTCAGCTTCGCAACGATTACTATCATGAGACAAGTCATGATTGAGGCCCAACTACATATCCTGTGTAGTTGTTTTTATTTTGTCCCTCCTTTCAATTTTCTTCCCTTCCGCCCCTTTTCCTTCGCACTTTAAGAGGAATGAAGGGATAGATTGAAGGGCCAAAAAATAAATAAAAAGGAAAGTCACCGATATCTTCGACGCTTGTCTGGTTCCAGTGAGAGTGGGGAATACCAAGGGACTTACACCAAGTATCGGTACCTTCAGTGGAAAGTGGGGTCAGATGGGCAAGCGATTTAGAGTGGCCGCCCAGGAACGCAACAGTCCGACAGCCATTTCGGACAAGGATTACGCGTAAAAAAGTTGGGGAACTTTTCAATCTTGTTGACTGTTGAATGGTGAAAGAGAGAGAGAGAGAGGGTGTGAGGCGCACTGATCCACCCATCGGCCCTTGCCCGCTGTGCCTCCGGAGCTCCCTCCCTGTTGCACCTGCTGCTTCTTTTACAGCGTCACTGAACTCTTCCTACTCCAGAAAAGAAAAAAAGTCTCGTCGGCCGAAAAAAAATTCCCGCCCACCCCTCGAATCCCAACTCGCTCTTTCAATCTCCCCATCCCATCAATTGCTCAATCCTTTATTCTCGAGAGAATCGACACCAAAATACCATCAACCATGACTGCGGCAGCCACCACAAATGGTGCGAATGGCACCAAGCCTACTGGCGGTCTGTCAGCAAACGACAACATCCGCCGCTTCGCTGCACCAAGCCGACCTCTGAGCCCTCTCCCAGCTCATGCTCTGTTCAACAACAAGACAAGATGCTTCGTCTACGGTCTCCAGCCGCGTGCTGTCCAAGGCATGCTCGATTTCGACTTCATCTGCAAGCGGACAACGCCCTCTGTCGCCGGCATCATCTACACATTTGGCGGTCAATTCGTCAGCAAGATGTACTGGGGAACCAGTGAGACGCTGCTCCCTGTCTACCAGGAGGTTCCCAAGGCCATTGCCAAGCACCCAGATGTCGATGTGGTTGTGAACTTTGCTTCTTCGCGAAGTGTCTACACCTCCACGATGGAGTTGATGGAGTATCCTCAGATCAAGACTATCGCCATTATTGCCGAGGGCGTCCCGGAGAGGGTAAGAACTGCCTTTCTAGCTCAATTCGTAATATTTGTCTCAGAAACTGACCTGACGATTCCAGCGAGCCCGTGAAATCGCCCACGTTGCCCAGCAGAAGGGCGTCACCATCATCGGCCCTGCCACTGTCGGTGGCATCAAGCCCGGCTGCTTCAAGATTGGTAACACTGGTGGCATGATGGATAACATCGTTGCCTCGAAGCTGTACCGCAAGGGATCCGTTGGCTATGTGTCCAAGTCTGGTGGCATGTCCAACGAGCTGAACAACATCATCTCCCAGAACACCGATGGCGTGTACGAGGGTGTGGCCATTGGAGGAGACAGATACCCCGGCACAACCTTTGTTGACCATTTGCTGAGGTATCAGGCCGATCCGGACTGCAAGATCCTCGTGTTGCTGGGCGAGGTTGGTGGCGTGGAGGAGTACAAGGTCATCGACGCCGTGAAGCAAGGCATTATCACCAAGCCAATCGTCGCATGGGCCATTGGCACCTGCGCGAGCATGTTCAAGACCGAGGTTCAGTTTGGCCATGCCGGCGCCTTTGCCAACTCGCAGCTGGAGACGGCCAAGATGAAGAACCAGATGATGAAGGAGGCTGGCTTCTACGTCCCCAACACCTTCGAGGACATGCCAGCTATGGTCAAGTCGGTGTATGAGAAGCTCGTCAAGAACGGCACCATCACCCCTCAGCCAGAGCCTGTTGTGCCCAAGATCCCCATTGACTATTCATGGGCTCAGGAGCTTGGTCTGATCCGCAAGCCGGCGGCCTTCATCTCCACTATTTCCGATGACCGTGGCCAGGAGCTCTTGTACGCGGGCATGCCTATTTCCGACGTCTTCCGGGAGGAGATCGGTATCGGTGGTGTCATGTCTCTGCTGTGGTTCCGCCGCCGCCTGCCCGACTATGCTTCCAAGTTCCTGGAGATGGTTCTTATGTTGACCGCCGACCATGGTCCCGCTGTCTCTGGCGCCATGAACACCATCATCACCACCCGAGCCGGCAAGGATCTGATCAGTGCCTTGGTCTCTGGCCTGCTTACTATTGGTTCTCGGTTCGGTGGCGCGCTGGACGGCGCCGCTGAGGAGTTCACCAAAGCGTTCGACAAGGGCCTTAGCCCCCGCGAGTTCGTCGACAACATGAGGAAGCAGAACAAGCTCATCCCTGGTATCGGCCATCGTGTCAAGTCCAGGAACAACCCTGATCTGCGAGTCGAGCTGGTCAAGGAGTACGTCAAGGCGAAGTTCCCCAGCCACAAGCTTCTGGATTACGCTCTCGCTGTCGAGACCGTGACCACTTCCAAGAAGGACAACTTGATCCTGAACGTCGACGGCTGCGTGGCCGTATGCTTCGTAGATCTTCTCCGCAACTGCGGTGCCTTCAGCCCTGAGGAGGCTGAGGACTACCTCGCCATGGGTGTCCTGAACGGTCTGTTCGTCCTTGGCCGCAGCATCGGTCTCATTGCGCATTACCTCGACCAGAAGCGGCTGCGCACCGGTCTCTACCGTCACCCTTGGGACGACATCACGTACCTTCTGCCCAGCCTGGGACAAACCGGACCCCCGGGCAGCGAGGGTCGTGTGGAGGTGCAGATCTAGGGTCTGTCTCGTTGTCTTCTTTTGTGTTAGCAGGTAATCCAAGGGTTGGATTGGGGCATTCTAAATCCCTCTTAAAGGTGGTTCTCGATATCTCGCTGCGCAGGCAGGAGTAGATGGGGTCAAATCGTACCAGTCGGGTCTGTAAGACAATGATAAATCATACCTAATTCAGTATCACTTTCAAACCATAAGCAGTCTGGCTATTGTGACTGAGCCTTGTCCTCGCAATGCATATTAACCTAGTAGGCCAATGCTCTCCGCCTTCCATTTCGTTTGCTTCGTTTTTTTTTGCGTAGGATGAGTGAGACTACAGCTTGCTAGCCTCGAACCTCCTTATTAAGTGATTTCATTTCATTTACTAGCTACGTCGTCCTTCGAAAGTTTTGGGCTTGATTAGGGGGCTTACATAGGCCATATGCCCGAATATTCCACCTGTGTCAATGTCGGTGAGCCGTGCCCCACCTTACGCTCACCTTGGCTGACCGCCGTGTATCCACTAGCACCTCCCGGCAAGATCCGGCATGAAACATTTTGAACGTCACCGCAAAGCTGCATTCTGCTAGGGCACCCAACGCGAACTCCACCGTTAATCATTATTCAAGCTCGCACAGCCAAACAGAGGCGAGTGCTTTTGGTAAGCTTAAGGGGTGCTTTCCCAAGCTTGCCCTACTCGAGCTAATGCCCACCAGTGCAATTCCCCAGCAACGTCTTGAAGCCATTCAAGCCGCCGCGAATTCAAGTCTTCGACTCGTCAGCCTCTCCCACTCGCCGCTCGCACGCGGCATCCGATCGGTCCCTCTACCCAGACACAGCGCGCGCCCAGATACCTAGCCCGATCGCGGCAACTCTGGTGTTCGGCCCGTCGCGAAACATTACCTACCACCCCGCCGGCACGTCAACCGTTTTCTTTCTAAATCGGCGGCCAAAAGAAGAAGAAGAAGAGAAGAGAAGCCATGTCATTCTTCCGCATAACCCTCCACCGGAGCGCCATCGGCCTCCCCGAGCGGACGCGCGGCGTCCTGGCGGCGCTGGGCCTCCGCCGGCGGTCGCAGACCGTCTTCCACCCGGTGCACCCGCAGTTCGCCGGCATGATCATGAAGGTCAAGGAGCTCGTTCGGGTTGAGGAGGTGGACCGCGCGCTGAGCAAGTCGGAACTCAAGGACGAGCGGAGGCCCGAGCCGGGATTCTACATTGAGAGGGCGGCGAGGAGGGTGGGAGATGGGTCCGGGGAGACACGGATATGATGGCCGGGGGAAGGGGGGATTGTGAAGTGGGTGTTGGGTCTTGGGAGTCGTCTCCACGTTGTGTTTGATTGAACTGCCCACGCACGGCGGAATCTTTTTGCCGGGAAAAGAGTACAGGCCGTGGGCCGGAGCGTGATGGCAATGAACCATGGAGGGTCTTGGATCTTGGACCTGGAATTTTAAGGATGGCCTCGTTGCGTCACCTGTAACACTAGACGGTGGGCGTCTGTAAGAGCAGCTAGGTATATACTTGCCTAAGGTAGAGCAAGGGAAACTGTATGACTTTAAACCTATCCATCCACGGCTCGATTATAATTCTTGTGCTCCCAGATCTCGATGTCCATGGCTTTCTCGGTTCTCTCCTATCAATGTGTGTGCTTTCCTCAATATCCTTACGATCCGAAAACTCTCAGTAAACCAAACTGCATTCTGCATGAATTGTCTTCCCAACTTCATCAGTTGGTCTAAAGGAATACCGGGTACGAGCTGGAAGCTACAGGTTGTTGGCAAACCGAGAAGGGAACGTTATGGCCAGGCTCTTCTTCCTTCCAAGACAGGAAGACGAAGACATCCCTCCACTCACAGTGGGTTTGTGCTCTATCAACACCTCACATGGGGCATTACTAGTTACTTGGCCCCCCAGGTTGCAGCTTTGAGGAAATGCATGAAACCCAACACTGCTGCTCTCAAGCATGACCCCTATCCTGACTTAATCAAGACCAGTGACGTCTCTGATAGAGCTGGTTTGAAGTAGCTGAGAGGGTCTTCTGGCTGATATTGCAGGTGCTTGTGGTTAAGAACAAGGGCCTGTTGAGATTCAGGGGCTAACAACCGGGCACAACACCCCCTCAAAACAATACGGCAGTATGGGAAGCATCCCAGAGAGAGGCAAAGTCTGCTCCTGAGGTGCTCCCGCCTGCCAATGGGACATTGGATACTGCACCGGGTGCCACTGCGAATCCCTTGGCGGACGCAGCTTTGGCTTCTTTCCAGATTCAGGGGTGATGCCATCCATCCCCTGGCATCTCTGGCTTGGCGGCTTCCAGAATTCGCGCAAATGCTACATAGTACAAGTGCTCACTCATTAAACCCAATTAGCCTCTTCTCAACAGAGCCTTGCCGTCGGTGTGGAGTTGACCAGCCGGGCCGGGGCGGCATACGACCATGCCCAGTCAATACCAACAACAATTTCGGGGTCCTGTTTGTTATTGACAATCAGCCGGTAGGATAGGAGCACCCGTACAGTCCCCCGGCAACTTACGCAGCCAGCGTACGTACGCATGTATAAGCATTAGCCATGGCCCGGCCGGCCTCTCCCCCCACCTTTTCAATGGATGCTGGGTCGTGAAGTTCATCCGACTTGCATGGCGAAGAAATGGGGCCCGGGTCCAATTGGCGGCCCGGACCGGACACTCTCAGCATCTGCAACGCAAACTCTGGAGTTGGCTGCAGGTTACGTGCATGTTGGTCTTACCAGCGAATCCCGATCGTCCCGTAAGGCGATGCGCCTTTGCCTAAGGGTCTCGGCAGTGAGGGGTTAGGCCAAAAACAGGTACCTTGCATGTTCTCGCCTACAGTGCCTGCAGCACCCTCCTTGGCCAGGAGCCCCACAGCCCACTGCCACCAACCACGGCTCGGCCGATGCCCGATGTAAAATGTTGGGGTTCCATCAAGTCAAGCTTGTTTCAACAAAGACTTCGAAAAGACGGCCCTCCCTCCCGAGTTCTTCGACTCTTTCCGGTGGCGTTTCTGACATGGCACAGACGGTATTCTCTCCGCATACCCACATATCTTTATATCTTGTTCGTTTCCGAGAATGCAGAGATGGCCCGTCGGGGCGGCATTCTCGAAGGCAGGGGACACTAGTGTATTGCTGTGCAACGGCGACGCGACGCATATCCAAGCTTTGAGCCCTCAAGGCTCATGCTTGTAATATAACACTGACAGTCCAATCAACGAGAAACGGAATTCGTCTTGTGGATGGGTCACTAGTTAGAAGACTTCTGTGGCAGCGCCCATCATGCAACATGCTGAGTGGAGTAGCATGTGATTGTCGATGCGGCTGAAGAATCCGGGCGAAAGGTGCCAAAGGGTATTGATCTGGCTCCTCGTCGGTTCATCGGTCGGCTGCTCATCAGTTAGGTCCTCCACATGGACCTTATCTATTAGGTACGTAGGTACATCACATGGCAAGTCGCGAAAGCACCCGACCTCGGCCACTACCTCTTGACGCTTCCGGAGACTACCAATCAAGGCGGGAACGTCAAGAGTCAACGAGACGAAAGGTCAAGTTATTTCAACCCAAATCTCGCCATTCCCACGAACGGTATCTTCAACTTCAAATCCAACTTGACCGGATGATCAGCTGAAACCATCTGATATCTATAAGTAGATAGTTTGAAGTTAAAATGACTCCATCGTCGCCTTGATAGATGTCTTCATCGAATAATAAAAATGGGTCAACCAATCATGATAACGAGATAAGCAAGGCGGGCTTGCCAATCACGGTGGCGGGATAAGAAAATCAGGCTTTGCCAATCACCATGGTGAGATAAGCTCGCGGATTTTTTGTGGCTGTGTGGCCGGACCCGACACAGGAGCCTGACTGCCGTGGGCCCTTCACGATTCCGGAACGACATTTAGCAGGATAGACTGCGTTGGAAATACGGTGTGGGGGATTGGCGCGAAGGTCAGCAGCTCAAACCTGGAGAGGTGTACCTATTTTTGAATCTTCGTGGAGGCTGTTGGGCTGCTTCGCCGTTCCGTGACTCGCTTAATAGAGGGTGACTTCTAGTTCTAGGTTCTCGGAGACGCCACAGCCACAAAATCCCTCCCCCACCCTACACCCTACATCCCCCACCACATCCCATAAAAGCCTCAAAGTCCCCGCCTCCCTTATCTTGCCGGTGGCAACTACTCTTATTCTTCGTCCTCCTCCTCACAAACCCCTGAGATCGATCTATTTCCTAGCATCACTTCGACCGCAATCCCTCCAACCGATCCATCCGTCTATACTTCGAGTCTATCGCAAATCTACCCGCAAATATGGTCAGCACTCGTCCTGCCCTTTCATACGGCGCCCCACACCTCTCATTGGAAACCCGGAAACCCGGGACGCCACGAAGACACGCGAAAGCTGACCGCGATGCTCATCTAGGCGACCAAGGATTCTCAACCCTCAAACGCGGGGAATATGCAGCGTTTCAGAGAACTCGACCAGAAGGGACAGAGTACGCAATCCCAATAACCAATTTCCTTTGCCTTCGGCCGCACTCGGGAGTTGTCGGACCCCCGGCCCCGGAGCCGGCCCTTGAACTCCCGCACTTCCCCCCCGAACCTCAATCTAGCCAGCCAACACTTACTGACTCACGATGATTGCGAACAGTTATGGCTGAGGTATACAACCCAGACAAATTATGACTTACACATGGTTAACTCGAATCAGTACATCTGGATCGATTCCGAAGGTATGATGTCATTGATTCTCCTGAGGTGGTTGCAAGGATTTGGCTAACTTGTTCCAAGGTGGTAACCGATCCAAGTCTCGAGTACGTCCTTGATCTCCTCTGAAACGAATACCTCCCTTGTCCCACCAGACCGCGTTGCGAACGACCCATCCCTGTCCCTTCTCCCTCTGTGAGAGTCTCGACGGCTTGGTCTTTTTTTCTGGCACAACGACTTGCCCGCTTCGACCTAGCCAATGCCAGCCACTTGCCAGTGCAGTGGAACTCTTACACCACCCGTCAACACTTGATCAATCCTGGTCTTGGTTTTCCTTTCAACGTCGGAAGACTAATGGGCTGGCTTTAGACTCTGCAAGCCAAGGCAGGCGGCTACAAGCCGGATGACCTCCCCACATGGAAGTGAGTGCACCCTTGGCAGACCAACAAGGCAATCGTCTATCATCTGTCCTATTGGTGCCATCTTCGGTTCCGATCTTGTCTAACCCATCCACCAGCTTCGACGGAAGCTCCACAGGACAAGCCCCAGGCGACAACAGGTATTTGCTCCCAGATGCTCTCTTCGTTGAGTAAATACTGACCTCAAGGGTTGAAGTGATGTCTACCTGAAGCCTGGTAAGATTGATGCATGGTCGCTATTCGCGCGTCATTTACTTACAATCGTGAAGTGGCTGTATTCCCGGATCCGTTTCGCCCTGGAGGAGACAGTAAGTGGTTTTGACACTACTCCTTCTTTGACGAGACCCATCTCGAGAACCAAGCTCTCGAGATACCCTCCCGTCTCAATTTCGCTGACCATGAGCCACATAGACATCCTTGTCCTCTCGGAATGCTTGAACGCGGATGGGGCACCTAGTTTGTAGTCCCGATTTCTACCTACCTCATACAACAACTTGCTCACCATGACAGACAAATACAACCACAGGCACGAATGTGCCAAGCTAATGGAGCAGCACGCTGACCATGGTAAGCAATCTTTGGACGGAGTCATCTCTTTGAATGTGAACAGTGCTGACTCGCTCGACAGTTCCTTGGTACGCATTATATCTATTCCCCTTTCGGATTTTGTGTCTCGATAGTTGGGCCTCCAATAATAAATATTTGCTGACTGGGCAAAAGGTTCGGTCTGGAACAAGAGTACACCCTCCTCGATATGAATGGCTGGCCATACGGGTACGTGATTATCCTGACTTTACTCCCGAGTCTCCTTAATTGGCAATTACTGACTGCAAAATGATGATTTAGATGTATGTTTATTCCATCTCATCATGTTGAATGTTTACGAACCCTGTATCACTAGGGCCCGCCAACGGTTTCCCTGCTCCCCAGGGACCGTATTACTGCGGTGTTGGTGCTGGCAAGGTCGTCCAGCGCGACATCGGTACGTCTTCCTAGACTCTACTTCTTTCCTCTCCGTTGCTGACTCTTGTGTTCCAGTTGAGGCACATTATGTAAGGTCCACTGTCACCCATCCAAGGAGACAGATTACTGATTGTTGGTAATGAAGAAATGCTGCCTCTATGCTGGGTATGTATACTGCGCCTCCGTCATGGGATCTGTTCACTAAAAGGGAATAGCATCAAAATCAGCGGGACCAACGCCGAGGTCATGCCTGGTAAATGCCGTTCTGTGGTTATATCTACACACTGATTGCTAATGAGACATCTAGCCCAATGGGAATTCCAAGTAAGTGCATTGCTCCCCCGTCCTTCAAGGCTGGAAAATAGCTGGCGTATTATATCCCAGTCCTGGTGCTGACTCTTAAACCTCACTAGGTTGGTCCTTGTGAAGGAATCGAAAGTGCGTAGATGACTATCCTGACCGAGAGTGGCGCTAACAATTCGACAAGTGGGGGATCATCTCTGGGTTGTGAGTTTGCCTTGCGAGAGATGAACTACTAGGAACCCCAGGTCTCTAACATTTTCAGGCTCGTTTCCTCCTCTACCGCGTCGCAGAAGAATTTGGCGCGAAGGTCAGCTTCGACCCTAAGCCGATACCGGGCGAATGGAATGGTTAGTCTCTGCCGCAACTTCTCTGACGTGGGCTCGTACCCTTTCTGACCACCATTTAGGCGCCGGCCTGCACAGCAACTTCAGCACGAAAGAAATGCGCCTCGAGGGTGGCATGAAGCACATCGAGGCTGCTATCAAGAAGCTCGAGGGCCGTCACAAGTAAGAGAGCTCCAGGCAGACAAGCGAGGATGCAGGTTACTGACTCGACTGGTTTACAGGGAACACATTGCAGGTGCGTCACTTCGAAACGCCCCCAACCCCTATTCGGGAGTCCAGCCAAGCGCTTGCTCCCGCGCAAAGCCGCATTTACTCTGGAGACTCTGTTAGACGATTACTGACTGTGATGTTGAAGTGTACGGTGAGGGTAACGAGAAGCGCCTGACGGTACGTACTCCCTGGCTTGTTTTGGAGAGAGAGACATGGCTTGTGGACGGAGGAGAGAGGACGTCCTCGAAGTCGTGTCTTGACGCTCTTCGGGGTCTTCACACGGGGCAATTGCTGATTTTTGAATGTCAATAGGGTCGTCATGAAACCGGTGCCATTGATCAGGTAAGATTATTCATAACCCCCGAGGAATGTGATCTAAAGCTAACATGGGCCAGTTCTCCTATGGTGTCGCCAACCGCGTACGTAACATCCAAAGCTTGTGTTTGTCCCTTTTTTGTCATTCTCCACTGGGTTGGAGAGGGGTCTACCTCGAGACATGACCTGGATACTCTCGAGATGTCCCAATTTTACTCCCGAGTACTCCTTGTTTGATAATCACTAACTTTGACCGTTGCAGGGCGCGTCCATCCGCATACCGAGGGTGCGTTTCTTCCCAAGTCCGACATGGTTCCTTGTGGCCAGACTTCTACTTCACTCCCTCCCCCAAAATATGATATTTTCCCAAGGTATTTGCTAACTTTAGATGAAGGAGTGCGCGACCAAGGGGTACGTATTTATTCCATTCTGTACACACAAAGCAGCGGCTAACTTTTGTCGACAGATACGGATATTTCGAGGACCGACGGTATTACTCATCCCCCCATCCCCATCATCCCCTTTGACTGACAGCTTACTGACGAATTGCAGACCCGCTTCAAGTACGTACCTTTTGAGAAGCTTGCCCCCCCTTTGTCCCAGTGTTTAGACATGGCTCAAGAGCTGGTGTCTGCGCTATACTTTGCTCCTAAAATACGACTCGAGGCTGTATTGGTTTGCGAACGTGACAGTTGCTAACAGTTTTTGAAGATGCCGATCCATATCAAATTACGGGTACGTCCACGCTAACCATTGCTGGCATTAACATACTAATGAGAATAGGCATCATCATGGAGACTTGTCTAGGCTCGGTCGAGAAATGAGCGAGGTGTTCAGTGAGGTTGGGATTGTGACGGTCGTGAGTGATCCTATTTCAGAATCCATTTGCCTTGACACTCGGCTGACATTGTCTTATCAGGTTTTGTTTTCATCACCTTCATCATCATGGAGACATGCTTTGACATGGTTCCGGAGTAGAATAGTTTGTGCGATGGTATTTGTTTGTGCGGTTATGGGATTCCCTGTCAAATAGAGCTAGCTACGACGGATTGCTCGTTGCTGAAATAAGATACGCAAGTCACGGGTGTCTTTCTTTACTACCCCGTGTTCCCTTCACAAGATACTCAAAAATGTCCCAGCTCCTGTTGTGATAATACGTGGATTTGGTTGGACACCTACGATCGGCGCCATCCAGCAGCAACCTACCCACGAGTGACATGCTTCTGCCATGGATTCTCTTGCATGGTCAGAAAGGGGTGGGCTTGATTGATATACCTAAGCTATCACAGCCCTTTGCCGCTCCCCCCCTCTTTCTATGTGCCGGGTTTAATCTTCGTGGGATGACTGGAGGTCACATTTGCTTGTGTCTATTTTCCGTGACTCTTTTTATTGTTCTTGAACAGAGCGGAATTTCAGAGAATTCTCGATTGGTTAACGTAGTGATTACACCATATACCCAGCTTTGTTTCTTGATCTGCTGTTGTGAGTGGAAGCTGATGAGATATATGCCTGGAATTCAATACCTAGACTAAACAGCCTTGGTATTAGTACCATCTTATGCCAAGTCGATTATTTTATCTAAATTGGTCACATTCCTTCAAGGTCTTCTTTCTATAAGTTTTCTTGCCAGCATCCGTAACATAATTACTGAGGTCGCTCGCTACCACTGACGAGGACGTCTACTTGAATCATTAGATCCCAGCAACGGTATATCGATCGCTGAAGACGTCGTGGTCTATATCAACGTGGGAATACCACCTCGGAATATCACGACAGCTTGTGGTTTTCTCTGTTGCGCAACGACCAGGCGAGGAGAGAGCTACTCACACATCATTAGCTGTGTCGGAGGTCTCATTTTGACCAATGGTGCGGATACGCCATTTGGAATCACCAGGGTTCATGAGCACCATTCTGTGGCATGCTCAACTTGCTAGTCGAATTAAGGGAGCCTCGGCTCCTGGAGATTCTACTACTGTCAATAATTACTGCGGATGACCTTGAAGCAGAAGAAGTTGAGATGATAGTGATGACGAAGAAGAATGCGATGTGGACAACGACGGATCCGCAAGTGAACAGGACACTGCCCCAACGCTCCCAAGATGCCTTCCGGGACCCACTACAAGTGTCTCGATGGGCAAACGTCAGTTCAGGCCGGTCGATTAGTTACCCCGGGGTCTTCCTAGATGGAAGTACGTACTCATGGAATCCAACACTATCAAGTCGAGAGCTCTCGTCCTGTCGCTATCTCAGAGAGAGACCACGGCAAAAGCACTTAGGGCCTTGCAGGGGCATAGTGCCGAGGTTCGTCTTTTATTCCACATATACTCTATGTGCTTAGAAGCCGAGCCTACTGGGCTGTCATGGCATTAACATATGAAGGTCGTCTTCTAGCTTCGGTCCCTGTCCTTTTCCCCTTCCATTTAAGATAGTTAGGATACTTACCTTGTCATAACCCACTAGCCAGTGGCTTTATAAAACTCAGCGGCAGGCCTATACATATTCGGGCTGTTTACTACCACCCAGCCTTATTAGGTTAACAGCTTGTTTGTAGATAAATGATGACCTGGAAAGCCTGTTTGTAGCCTTCCCAAGAAGGGTACTTATGAAAACAAACAACGTCTTAAGATAGAAGCACTTATTTGACCTATCGCAATTGTGGTAGGTGTTGAGTTGAACCCAAATCAGTGGGGTTTTGACACGGATGAACGGGACAAAAACTCGAGCCAACACCGACGCACCCATGCCTGAGGAAGAGGCACAGGCAATCGTCGCCTTGTGCCAATTTCATGTTGCAAAAGACTGAGTTTGGTCTACAGGATAAATAAAACGAGGGAGAGCAGTAGAGGTCTTCATCTTCCGTATCGTTGTAGCCCCGAGGTCCTAGTAGGCTCGAGGCAACATGTCGGATCACTTTGCCGAAGAGCTTGGCCGCAGAACCCCTGTTCCACTCTGTCGCATCCGTGATGTCAAGTAGAAGGGAAAGTGATGCGAGAGTACGGAAGTAGCAATGGAGTCAAAAGACTATCAAGAGTGGGTCCTGACAGTACCTAGCTCAGCCTAGGTGCCTCCCCACGTTTCGGCAAGGAGCAAACCGTCGGCGCATTTGCTGGGGTCTGCATATAATTCCAGAGGCTTGGAGCTGCTTCTCTTCCAGGAAGGACGGCATTAAACTCGCCTAAATTTTTGAGGAAGTGGTTTAAAGGGGAACTACCTTATAAGCAAAGATGTACTTCTGTATTATCTTTGCATTGCCTACAACATCTTCTAGTAGTTGTAAATGTGTACGTCTCTGCCCACCGTGGTTTTCCAGTTCAACAACCAATCAAAAATTAGCTGAGATTGAGACGGAATACGGACAGCATCCAAAGCCGCAGACTCAATGCAGAGCTGCGGAAAACAAAACCACCATGGTGCGCAGTATGACACGGACGCTGTATAATATGTGTAAGAACACAGCGCGCGAATCCACTGGACCACAATGAACCAAAAGATTCCGCAGTTTCGGCACTATATGCCGAAACCTTCGCGCTCCGGGCCTTATAAGACCTGCCGCCACAGCGCTCCACAACGCCGGCGTCGCAGGGTTCTTACAATATGATATAACAGTAGAAATGGTTGATTATCGAGGTGATCCGGGCATGGGAGTATGTGCTAACGTATGTAAGGCATTCCCAACTCCAAAGCTTTCGTGTGGACTAGCTGATACAGAGGCTCTTACAAAAGGTAGCTGTGCCTTGTGCTATAGAATCTACCAGCAGCTTGCTAGATGCTAATGCCAGTGCTATCTTTTGAGGAGTAGCGACTAATGGAATTAAAAGCCTAGAAACTCTTAAGAACAGAGATTGTTATATTATTACGCAAAGCAAGTAGCTAGACATATTAAAGTTATACTATTTAAAGTAGTTATAAACTTATAATAATCTGCAAGGCTTTATATAAGGCTGGTTATACAATTAAACTAAAGGCTAAGGGTTGTAAATCCTTATAAGGTTAAAAAAACGTAAGCCTAATGATTACTAAAGAAATGCAAGGGGTGTTTTAGCTACTTAAATAGTGTCACTTTTCCCTAGTTAGCTTCACACGTAAGCGAAAGCCAAGCTGCCGTCAACAATGGCCAAGAGGTATGTAAAGTACGTTTTATATCTATTTTAGCATAATGGAGCGCGTTGGAAGCTGTTGGTTGACGCGTCCTGATGTACGCGAACATGAGCTGGACACTGACGACGACCACTAGAGCGCCGACTGGGAATCTCCGCGACGACGCGGCCCCGCGACCTCCTTCCGACCCTTTGCACCCACCCTTAAGCAATGGCAATCGATCGATGACCATCCGCGGTCTCCAGGAGAACCTGGCCTTGGAGGCCCCTGAGCCTCCAAGGAAGAGGTTACGACTGTCTGGCCACACGTGGAAATCGGCCGATGACATTCCCCCATGGGTGAACTCCATCCTGGAGACCTGTCTTGTCGACCAGGTGTTCCCCCACATCGACGCCGAAATATCAAAGTTGCCTTGCGACACGGTTGACGGGCACAAGCTGGCAACAGAGGTGAGGATATCCAATAGCCGCCCAGGCCTCTCGTCAACATGCTGACCCGAGATATGGCAGGTTATTGGCGCGATCACCGGGGACGACTTCACTGCGGAGTTCAAACGGTGTGACGGGCGGATATCCACTGAATTCGAGAGAAACCTCGCGGAGCGCGTGCGGAGACTGGTTTTGAACTGGTCGAGGCTTCCGGTACGCGCCCTATGGCTTTGACGCAACTTCAATGACAGGCGTGTGGTCGCTGATGGCTGTTTACTAGGGCTTCCAACATAGGCCGCCTGCGCCTCCACCCCCTTCTCGAAGGGCAGAAACGGATCGAAGACCTTCTGAGACTCGCGTCCCACTACCAAAGCTCTCGCAAAAAGGTCATGTCGAGACAAGACAAGCCACCCGACCAGCTTCGAGCCATCCGGCTTCCCAGCCGACGGCAAATGGGCGGGTCACGCCAAACCGCCTATCTCCAATCCTCATCTCGTCACCCACAACACCCACACCTATCCTGATCTCGTCGTCCACACCTAGTCCAGAACCGCCAAACGGCGATGCTCATACTGCGACACGTCGAGCTATAATTTCCAGAGACACCGGCCCAAAGCCGCACGCGGTTGCGGGGCTGTACGTTGAGCTTCAGCCAGATACCGCTTCAGAAGATGAGAGTGGAGACTCAGAAGATGAGAGCGGATCCGTTGAAGGACCACGGTCCGCGCCATCTATGTCACCACGAACACCGCCCCCGACCATGCGAAGCCGGAAGCCACGGCCCCAGCACAGCGCAACTTCCCCCAAGAACTTCCGGTCAAGGGCGCATGCTCTGGCATGGCGGGAGGACGTACATGGCGGAAACAAAAGCTTGGAGAGGGATACACGAACGTCTGACCGACCTCGATGGTTCTCTCTGGATCGGCGGCCTTACCTTCGGGGGTCTGATAGAAGGGATATATGTCAGGGGGCTCGCCAGTTCGTCAGACTCGATCCGTCTGCCCTTCGCGAGCCACTCGTCTTCCACGTTGATTTCACAGCTGAAGAAAAGCAGTGCATACACCAGGCTGCCCGGAAATTGCTGGGCCTTCCACCTCAAGGGAGCAGGAGAGATACAGAAAGGGAGTTGCTCAGGCTTATGAAACGGAACGGCCCTGCAGCTCTACCTAAACTTTTTGCTGAACTTAGTCGGGGAACCTCGGTCAAAGGCAGGGCTAGAGCCGATGTCGAGGCTTTCCTTTCTGACCTAAGGGACCGAGATACTTCGAGGAACTTGGGCATTCTCTCCCTGGAGCGGGATGACTACGACCGGCAGGGCTCGCTTGCCCGCCAGAGTCGCGTGCATTCCCTACTCTTGGCGAGGGAGGTGGCAGGCCACCGTAGCTATGGCTCTATGAGACGCCTAGAGCATTTCACTAACGAGTTCAAGATTTGCAGAGAGGATGGCCTGGAACTACGTGCTGAATGGACCAATTGTGCTGGAGATATTGCCACGATCACCTGGGTCTCCAACGATGGCTTCCTCTGCGGCACGACAGAGCACTCGGACTCGCATAACCAGCAGTACAACAAGCCCGGTAACCTTGTTTTAGGCTCGTGCAGTCGAGGGACATTGCGAGCATATCCCGATCACCGGATTGTGCGGCCCGTGGTGCGGAAGGGTGAGAATTCGACGGACGCAATGAGACAGAGCCAGGATCATTGGCTGTACGCGTCGGTGGTTTCGTCGGATTACGACCCGGTGCATGACCGAGCCTTTACTTCCGGCTTTGATCGCACCGTGAAGATCTGGAGGGCTGAGAAGTCTGGCGTCTCGATGGCTCTGCTTGGGACGTGGTTGCATGAGGGCAACGTCAACTTCGTGGTCACTTCTAAGCACGCGACCGGCATGGTTGCTACGGCTGCTGATGTTCCTGCGGCCGCTGTTCGTATATATCACGTAAACGAAGGCGACATTTCGAACAGCATATTCCGCTCATACTCCTGCTCCCGGGTTGTTGACCTTGACGGAAACGTCGTTCCCACAGATAAGTGGGCATATTTCCCAGCCACCATTCAGTGGGGCCACTCCCCGGAAGTCAGGCACTTGCTCTTGGTTGGCTATTCCCCGAGAAGCCTTACCTCGGATGATAATGACATCCCGGAGGATAGACGCGATTCTGGAGAGATTTGCCTGTGGGACGGCCTGACCGGAGAACGATGGAGAATAATGACAGTAACAACACAGAACGTCTTCGAGGTGCTGTGGCATCCGTCCCAGCCCAGCTTCATAGCCGCGACCTCGCCACAGGGGCTGGAGCTCGAGGACCGCGTCCGCACCCAAATCAGGGTCTTCCGCATATCTAACAACTCCGAATTCGGTGGCAAGGCGTTTACCGCCGTCCAGACCCTCGACTGTACCGCCGTTGACATTAATGAACTCACTATCAGGCAAGTTGACTCGGCCCGTAAGCCGTGTCGAGTCTTATTAACATGTTAGCAGGCCAAACAGCTTTACGTACTGCTATATCACGGCAGGGTGCACTGACGGCAAGACATACCTGTGGGATACCGCACGGGGAGACAAACCAATCCATATCCTCAGCCACGGTGATCCTGTGGAAGAGTTCAGCGGCGACAGAGAGAAAGAAGACTCGGGCGTCAAGTTCACCGCCTGGGGAAATACCCCAGACCGGTTCTACACTGGCTCATCCGACGGTGTGGTCAAGGTCTGGAATGTGAGGTCGGGCCGCAAGCCACTCGTTCGCGATATACTCGAGGTCCCGGCACCAGTCTCATATGGCCAGTTCTCCCCGGATCGCTCCAAGCTGGTCATAGGGGACGCAAGTGGACGGGTCTTCCTCCTGTCGATTGATGAAGAGGACCAGAAGCCAGCGGCAATTACGAATGTGCAACTGCCCGGCACGCAGATATCAAAGAACGCACGACGGCCAAAACTCATCATTCCCCATCCGGAGCCCGAGCCACCGGCAGTGGATGCAGAAGGGAATCCACTTGATTCCACGACCGGTCGGGGCAGGGCCCGGGCCTATCTGGCGAAGGGACAGCTTGTGCTCCATCGCAACCCAACCGTGGGTGCAATCCAGGGCCCTAACTACGCCGAAACAGGCTTGTTCCGCAGGGAAGCGCATAATAACGATGAGCCTACCAGGCCTCTCCTGGCGCGTATCGATATACAGCAGCAGGAATCGGTCAAGATGTACCCACAGCGGCGGAGGGACATGTTCATTCCCATGCGGGGGCTAAAGGACCCTGCCCAAGCGGAGGGCTTGCATATCAAGAATCTCAGCTCCGACCTAGACATCGCTAGTCTTCCGGAAGAGACTAGGCTTGAGCTGCAGATGGCGCGAGTAGATCTTGATGACATCGGAGTGCTGTATGACTTTGGCTGGGAGGATACGGTAGCAGAGTCGGAGACATGATATGACGCGTCTTGTGTACTTTTAATACTACATGTGGGGAAATGTTTATACCTAACACTCTGATGATGCCTCTGCCATCTGATTTCAGGTGATTATCGTAGCTGATGCATGTTTATACCCAAGCAGGTCTCTTCAAGATACACATGCGTCCATGCGTCATTCTTCCTCATCCCCCCTCCCAAGCAAGCAGAAACCGCTCGCGTCTTTCCCCCCTATATCCGTTTCCTTCCCCTTATCCAAATCCAGGGATTTCCTCCGGAACATTTTCGTGTAGGCAACCCAGTGGCAACGAGCGTAGAACACCGAGCTGTCCGCGGCCAAAAAGAACCAAAAAAAAACCGAGGTAACTACAGTCCCGGATGGACTCCCGGGACCGCCGCGTCCATGCCGAATGCCCGGCCTGCCTGCTGGGCGTTTCGCCACCGGCGTCTCCGCCATGTCGCCGCCACACTGTGTGTTGTGGCGCTTGCCCGGGAAGGACGAAGGCCCCGCCCCACCTTGCGAGTTGGTGGAGTCGCCCCCTTTTTCCTTGTTCCTCGGACCCATCCTAGCCCGCCTCGCCACGTTCTGACTCGGGCATTGCCGTGGCTTCCCCGAAGGTATACAGTCCGTATCAGAGGCGGTGTTGGTGGAAGGGGACCGAGACGATTCAAGTGTCGTCAACGGGGGTGGTGGTTGCTACGCTTGGTAGCAGCTACTGACTTCTGGATACTCCTGCGAATGACTTCGTGGGACTTGTTCAAATATCAGGGGTCGGTTCATAAACTTATCAAACGAAGGAAATCGGGCCAAACGCAGCAAGGCTGCAAACTAAAAAGATGGTAATGCCAAGTTCCTTCTCGTCTCCATTTCATATGCTTGACTCTCTGTAGTAGAGCACTCCCCAAAGGCTATCAGCAAAGTTATACAATGGGGTTATCCTATGCCGCCTCCAACGCCGATATCAGAAAGCCTCCAACGCCAGTACCGTGGCCTGGAATGCAACCATGTACCCACTACGGATCAGGAGTTCGAACCAGGCGCTGGAAACGCGAAGCCGGGTGGGAAGTTGATCCCGTTGGGCCCCATGGTGATACCTGGTGGAAAGCCGAGTACAACCGGCTCCTCGTTTGCCGCGACCTTGTCAGTTCGCTCCTCACGCCTAGTATCCCGGTTGTCGCGGTTGTCGCGGTGGCGCTGCCGCCAACGACCGCCACCGGCACCGACAGCTCCGCCAACACCTCCACTTCCGCCAACTGCGCCTTGCCCGCCGTGTGGGCCGTGTGGGCCGTGTCCGCCGTGCCCGCCCTGTCCGACCTCGTCCTCGCGCCTGCTTGACTTCGGTCCGTGGTTACCACCTTTGTCGGTCTGCATACGCCGACTAATTGCCTTAGATGAGACACCAGCCCCGATTTCAATATCAGGCTCTTCCACACACATTCCGGTTACGATGGGCCTGCCCCCACTGCCCCCGTACGGCGCAGTGAGCATCCATTTCCTGTCGGCATCGGTGAGTTTGTGAATGGGGATCACACTGATGCCAGTGGCATAGTCACTGCAGTCACGGGGTCCGAAACCGACTCCCCATCGTGTCTGGGTAGAAAAAGACGTTAGCGAGAAGAAGATGCCTTCGGAATTAAACCGACGTAAACTTACCCTCAGGGGCAGCTCTTGATTTCGAGCGTCCTCCATGGCTTCCTTCGCAACGACGGCGTCCTTCCGGAGATACATCTTCACGAAGGCGTGTCGTTTGTCCTTGTTCACGATGCAGGTCTGGACCTCGCCGTGCCTGCTGAATATTTGCCGTAGCTCGTTCTCGGAGCATCTGTTGTCGGGAGTTAGCAAGCTTCACAAGAGGGGACGACGAGATGCTCACGTTACGCCGCCCACAAACAGTGTCCGGCTCAGAACTTTGATATGGCCGCTCGGCATTGAAGGGTCAAATTCGATCCATCTCTCGTGAGACCCCTCCCGATCCTCGGAACTCTGACCCCGGCGGGCTGGAGACCGCTGGCGGTAGTCGGACCCGCGGTCCTCCCCAGTGGTCCTCCCGCGACTTGGGGGAGAATTACGGCCCAAGTTGAAGCCACGATCTTTTCCACGTCCACGAGGCGAGTCACGAGAGTCCCAATGACGGGGAGGCGACCGTGATCGGCCCCGTTGACGGTTCGGAGACCTCACAGGTTCATGATAAGCATTTCGGTCACGTGACTCCTCCTGTCGAGGCGGCTGCCAGTGACCCACAGAGGGTGCGGCATAACTACTTTGAGTAGGCTGAGGCATCTGAGTGGTAGGTGGCGCCGCCACAGGGCCAGCATTATTGCCCATCACCTGCGCGATTATGCTCGTGATCTTGTCAATCGGGATGCCTTGGGCGGCAAGGGTCTGGATCAGTACGAGCTGTTGCTGTATTTTAGGATCGATAGCCACATTGGCCGGGGGGGGCGGTGGAGGGTGGTTAGGAAAGCTGCTTGCTTGGCTACCTGCGCCATTCAGGGCACCCAGAAGAGCGGCATGACTGGGCTGCACTTGCGTTGGAAACGCGAAGGGGAGCGCCGGTACGTTTACGGGTTGGGCAGCCGGCTGAGAGGTCGGCAAGAATGGCATGTTCGACTGAGGCTGGACCGCGACTGGTGCCGCACCGCTACCGAGCGCATTGGGGATAGCACCAAAGGCAGAGAAAGCAGGCGAGGGAGCTGCCAAACTGGGATTACCCTGGGGCACCGTGGTGCTCTGTCGGGCGATATTGGCCAAGGCTTCCATGATGTTCGACGGCACAACAGGAGGTGTAGCTGACTTGTTACCAGTCCCGATGGAGGCAAGGAAGTTGGGGGGGGGAGGGCTGCCCGTGGGCGTCGTTGAAGCTGCGGTTGAGAGACATGGTTAGACAGGACTGGTCTCCACGAAGGGGTTGTGGGGAAAAGGTTCATGTCGATCGATCGATGAGATAAGTTGACCTACTTGGCTGGGGAGGAGCATTGAGTTTCTCCTTGAAGGATGCAAGCAGAGGTGGAGGGAAGGTCTGGCCCTTTTCCCAAATATCGACTAGTTTTCTAATCTTTTCCTACACGTCGTGGTCTCGGTGAGTGTCTGTCCACAACGTACGGTAAACATGCAAAGGTAGGAGGGGCGGCAATTCTCTAAGTCATCAAGGGAAGTAAACGAGGGAGGGGTATCGCCAGCACTGCTCGTAAGTCGAGATGGCAACGTCTGGCATGATGCACTCCATGTTTATATATGTGTTGTTTGCGTACCTTCTGGTCTTCCGGTGCCGACGAGATGATGTCGTTCATCAGCACGGGCAGTAGTTCAGTTACTCTATGCACACCGGCGGCAAAGGTGCCATCCTGGGCAGCACTAGTTATGGGTTGTCCTTGAGCCTTGGCCTGGTCCATCCACTTGCGGGTTACAGAGTCTACGACGTAGAGAACTCCTAGTTTGTGTGTTCCGGGGGCTTTCTTGAAATGCGTGTAGATCTTCTGGATGAGCACAGATTCGGACTAGATCCAAGAGAGTCAGTGGCCGCGGGGTTGGCAGATGCTGATACTGGCTGCATCCTTACCTGCACATTGGCAACACAGAGAGTGGTGATGGCTGTGATTCGAGAGCCAGAGACACCCGGAGGCTTCAAGCCGAGCATGGCCTGGAGGCCAGCCTCTAGTTCTGCTACGGCAGACGACATGGTGGTGGACTAGATGACGGGTGACGATAAGATCAACCAGCAGAGAGAGGTTCAGCTTCTCCAATACGATACGCGATAGGTGCGTGGCGAGGTTTTCATGCCATCTACCCTAGATCACGGAAGAAGTTTGTAGGACCTTGCTGAGCCCTACTCGGCGAATCTTCGCTTCTAGAGCCACCATAAACAGGTTACGAAGTTGCGATGTGGGCACGCGAGCACAACTGCACTTGATGGCAGGCGCGCCGAGTATGAAAATCTTGCAAACGTTGCCACAAATGGTCAGGTCGTGCGCGATATACGTTGCGCAAGTAGCCCCTGCTGAATGCCGGATGGCTGTGTAAACTTCTGGTGGTTGTCTCGCCGGACGTTAAGAAGGATCTGAGAAGTGGAAGAAGATACCCAGGCTACTGAAATGTCGATATTCGATGGTGGTGATGAGAATGAAAGTGAGGTTGATGAAAGGAAGGCGCGTGTTCTGCGAAAGTTTGAGGTTGGGAAAGAGAAGTGGAAGGTGGGGCGCTTGGTTGAGGCTGGGCTTTTTGTATGGGCAACTTCCAGGTTCCATCCAGCCTAATAAAGCCGCCAGGCCGCTAGTCAATTATTGCCTCAGGCACTTGGCCCAAATTTCCACCTTGAGCTATTGAGCTCCTAGGTGCCGACATTCCTTTAGTTTCACCCCACCCGCGCCGTTGAATTTGAAGTTAGTGTACACCCTCGTTGATACGGCACCTCCTTTCACATCAGTCTGGGCATGATTGAAGCCTGCCGACTGCGCATATGTCCCCGGAGACTTGCCCCGATTGCCACCAGGTTACCGATACCATGGACGGGTTCGGCTGCCTCAGCGCTCCAGCAGGTCCTCCTCCAAATGCGAAGGTTAATTTTCGATGGAGTGGCACTGACGTCAACAAGAGGGAAGGTAAGTAAGTACCTACCATCTCGGGCAAGTAATCGGGCACTTGGGTGTTGTACCGAGAAGAGGACATCCGTTGGTTGGCAGCCCAACGGCCCTACAAAATGTACAAGATCGCTATATGAAGACACGAATGGGCTAGGGCCGTATTGGTCAGAATAGTAGGGGCTCTCAAGAGCCCTTCTGCTCTGTGTCAAGGTAGCCTAATATCTTGGAAGTTCTGCAGGTCTGGTCATCGGTACATGCAGGAGTTGCGATGGACATCGGCTTGTTGACCCCGGTCCCGGAATGGGTCGCCCACACGGTCACACCCGACCCTTGTATCCGTACACACCTCGGGCTTTTTATTTTTTTCTCTCATCACTCGGCCATTTTCCCTTTTTTCCGTCCTAAGCTCTCAACCTCCCTCTGCCAAATATCTCTCATTGTCTCTCGAGCCTAGTTTCCATATCGTCCATATTCACACAAGTCTACAATGGCTACTGCACTGCGCCTATCTTCGTCCTTGAGGGGAGTTTCTCTCAAGGCACCGTCATTTGCGACAAGGAGTGCTGCCTTCACAGCTGCGCGCTACTATTCCTCGAAGACACAGGTACCTCGATTCTCAATTGGTGTATGCAGCTTGACATCATCATCCACTGACCGTCTTCTCCGTCATAGACATTGAAGGAACGCTTCGCGGAGCTTTTGCCAGAGAACATTGAGAAGATCAAGGCTCTGCGGAAGTACGTCTACACCCCAATTCAGGTTGCCCTGGTCTCTAGCTAATCAAGGCGCATTAAATAGAGAGAACGGGTCCAAGGTTGTCGACAAGGTCACGCTTGACCAGGTATATGGCGGCGCGCGTGGCATCAAGTGCCTAGTCTGGGAGGGCTCTGTTCTGGACGCCGAGGAGGGCATCCGCTTCCGCGGCAAGACCATCCCCGAATGCCAGGAGCTCCTCCCCAAGGCTCCAGGCGGCAAGGAGCCGCTGCCAGAAGGTTCGTGTCTATTTGCCCCATATGGAAGCTTGTGGGCTAATGGTTAGGCCTCTTCTGGCTCCTCCTTACCGGCGAGGTTCCGACTGAACAGCAGGTTCGCGACCTCTCCGCCGAGTGGGCTGCGCGGTCCGATATCCCCAAGTTCGTCGAGGACCTCATCGACCATTGCCCGTCCGACCTGCACCCAATGGCCCAGTTCTCTATCGCTATCAACGCTCTCGAGCACACATCCTCCTTTGCCAAGGCATATGCCAAGGGTCTGAACAAGAAGGAGTACTGGACGTACACTTTCGAGGACTCGATGGACCTGATTGCTAAGCTCCCGACCATTGCTGCTCGCATCTACCAGAATGTCTTCAAGGGCGGCAAGGTCGCCCCTGTGCAGAAGGATAAGGACTACAGCTTCAACTTTGCCAACCAGCTCGGCTTCGGGAACAACGCCGACTTCGTCGAGCTGATGCGACTTTACCTCACCATCCACACAGACCACGAGGGCGGCAACGTCAGCGCTCACACTACCCACCTTGTTGGCAGCGCTCTGAGCTCCCCCTTCTTGTCTGTCGCTGCCGGCATGAACGGTCTCGCTGGCCCTCTGCACGGCCTGGCCAACCAGGAGGTCCTGAACTGGCTTACCGAGATGAAGAAGTCGGTCGGTGATGATCTCAGCGACGAGGCCATCACCAAGTACCTCTGGTCGACACTCAATGCCGGCCGGGTCGTTCCGGGTTACGGCCACGCAGTCCTGCGCAAGACCGACCCTCGCTACATGGCACAGCGCAAGTTCGCCCAGGAGAAGATGGCCGAGGACCCCATGTTCAAGCTGGTCAGCCAGGTTTATAAGATTGCTCCCCAGGTCCTCACCGAGCACGGCAAGACCAAGAACCCTTACCCCAACGTCGATGCCCACTCCGGTGTCCTCCTTCAGTACTACGGCCTGACTGAGGCAAGCTACTACACTGTCCTCTTTGGTGTGTCGAGGGCCATTGGTGTCCTCCCACAGCTGATCATCGACCGTGCCGTCGGTGCCCCCATCGAGAGGTAAGCTTCTTCCTTTGCCAACCTAGGCAGCGTGTCACATCTAACTTGCAAATCTACAGGCCCAAGTCTTTCTCGACCGACAAGTGGATCGAGATCTGCAAGAAGCTGTAAGATGAGCTAAACGAGCTATTCTGAGGAACCAGTGGTGGTTGGGATGGGAATATTAGACTAGACTTTGGGACGGATACCTACCTACCGACCCGCTACGTGTGTACAATACAGATTCCATTTACATGGCGGGAATACTAGGCATTATAATGTTGGAATACTCGACTTGGAAAATCCGTGACGTGTACCTTGCCAATGGCACGAAGAACCCTTTGATCAGGATTGGACCCTCCATATTAGGTATAAAACATATCCAGATAGGTATTTACTGTATCTACCTACAGTATGTAGGCATCATTGCATTGGATTGTGACCGATTGTGCCAAACAGTGATATTACGAGTGTACCGACTGTCGGGCGAGATCGGTGTGCCACGTCGATTTTACCCCAAAATGGGTCCGTGAAATTCCCCAAAGAATTTCCAATTTACGTTGAGCTTGTTGAGCCAAGGGTGGTGTAGGACCCACCTCAGCTTTGGGTGGTTGAGCTCAGCCCGAGGATGGTGTCTCAGGGTGTGTGTAGCCTCAGCAGGGGAAGAACTCATTGATTGGCGGCCGCGTAATCTGTCCGTTCTGCTGCGCAACAGCCAAATCTCACCCGGCTAACGATCTGCCTCACCGTCTTCACTTGTCCTAGAATCCTACAAGAATAAAACCACTCAAAGCCTATCTCGAGACTACCCGGAGACTGCACCTTTGTGTACGACGCTGCCGGCTATCTCTCTAAACTGTAAGTACTAGCAGCCTCCGATCAAGGAGCCATCAACCCGAGAACCCTGGAAAAGTTGACAGCTCGGTAACACGTGCATGCATCTGTTCCGAAAAGAAAACTTTCCAAACCCCCTTTGTTCAATTGACTTCCACTCCTACCACTGCCATCACCGCTGCTGTTTGTCACCTTGACTGAACAGGATATATAGCTTGGATTGCGATAGCACGTGAAAAGCCGCCACATCTCTCTCCGTCTCTCTCCCTCTCGCCGCGAAGAAGCACCCTCTTCCCTTGGTCAGGGCCCCTCTCACGATAGCTACGCCAAGTCATGTCCGCCGCCGTCGCCACGCCCGTCCCGGCTCCCTCGCTGGAGAAGAAGCCGATCAAGTTCTCTAACTTGCTTCTCGGAGCCGGCCTCAACATGTTCGAGGTCACCACTCTTGGGCAACCCCTCGAGGTTGTCAAGACCACCATGGCCGCCCACCGTGGCGACGGTTTCAGCTCCGCCCTCGGCCGCATCTGGAACCGAGGCGGCGTTCTCGGCTGTAAGTGACCCCTTCCACGCCGACCCGACAAGGATTGGAGCTGACCCGCACTTTCCCCCCTTCAGTCTACCAGGGCCTCATCCCGTGGGCCTGGATCGAAGCCTCGACAAAGGGCGCTGTCCTACTCTTTGTCGCCTCCGAGGCCGAGTACTACGCGCGGAATGCCGGCGCCAACGAGTTTGGCGGAGGCATCATTGGCGGCATCACGGGCGGCGTGGCGCAGGCGTACGCTACCATGGGCTTCTGCACCTGCATGAAGACGGTCGAGATCACCAAACACAAGGTGGCCGCGACGGGCGTCAAGCCGCCCGGAACCTGGGCCACTTTCATGGACATCTGGCGCCGCGAGGGCATCCGGGGCATCAACAAGGGCGTCAACGCCGTGGCCATCCGCCAGATGACCAACTGGGGTTCCCGTTTCGGTCTCTCACGACTGGCCGAGCAGGGGATCCGCAGGGCAACGGGCAAGGAGCACGGCGAGAAGCTGAGCGCCGTTGAGAAGATCAGCGCTTCCGCGGTTGGTGGTGGCTTGTCTGCGTGGAACCAGCCGATCGAGGTTATTCGTGTCGAGATGCAGAGCAAGAAGGAGGACCCGAACCGCCCCAAGAAGATGACGGTCGGGAACACGTTCAGGTACATCTACCAGACAAACGGCCTGAAGGGCCTGTACCGTGGTGTCGCCCCCCGCATCGGCCTGGGTATCTGGCAGACGGTGTGCATGGTTGCCATGGGTGATATGTGAGTCCCATTTCTCCTTGGATCCCGCCTCGGTACGATATGGCTATGTAGTACTACGGCTTGCTAACTGCTTATATGTAGGGCTAAAACCTACGTTGAGAAGTTGACCGGCGAGGCTGTCACTGTAAAGCATTAGGCGACGGCGTTAAAGGGCATTGGTTGCTTTTCCCACACGTATCCGTGACAGTTTTCGGAACGGAACCTGGAATTGGTTTTCTTTTTGGTGGAGACCTGACTCCGAAATGTTGTTACATGGAATGCCTCGATTGCGTATCGACTGGCGGGGACTGATCAGATAGATCTGTGCAGGAACAGACATATTTAATGCGAGGCTGAGCTCATCTTCAAATGATTTTGTAGTATTTCTAGCTCGGATCCTCTCCATGGTGCGACAGCAGACGAGGGTATCTAGGATGACTTCTCCATGACTTACATATATACATATGGTCTGATGGTGGCTTGCCTTGGACGTTATTATTTGCTTTAGACCCCCAAACCTACCTACCCATCAAGTGAAGGTACCACTTCCTTGAAAGGTCAAATTACATGGAAATGTCTGGTGAACTATGCATCATCACATGGGAACGCAACTCTTCAGAAGTTGCAGTTGATTATGATATCACATATACAGTATTTAGGACTGCATGTTTCGATCAATGCCGGCGCTTGGACAGAGCCAAGACGGCAGTGTTCCGATTGTTTCGAAGATCCTTTTTGGTGTCGCCACCAGTCATGACAATGTAGAGACATTGCGTTTCATGCAAGGCTGACAATGCGAAGCTCTTTCTTGTTGTTAGAGCCATATATTAGGCGGGAGTCGTAGCTTAGAGCTACCAGGCAAACTAATAAACATTGAGTGGACAAATCTGGGGTTGCTGGCAGCATGTTGGCTACAGACATCACCTTATCATGGTTGTTACGGCACTTGTGGTGAGGGTCTCATCAATGTGCCTAATAAACAGAAGACACAACGTTTTGATTACGAGGGACAAACCCGTCATTGCTCGGAAAAGATAAGTCTATTTTGATAAGAACAGCAGCTAGCCTTACCAGCTATGTCTCAACTAGACATGATGCTCCCTGCTTTCCACAATGAAGAGCCATCGTTTCCGGTCACAAGGGCGTGTTTGTTTCAGATACATGGTAATCAGGCTAAGGAATGATGCCTTTCAGGTTGGCAGCAAGCCTTCCATCGTATTCCTCGGGGCACGGGCCCATCACATCCCGAGCCATCCGCGAATGTAAACAAAACGCGGTTCCCGGATGGACAAATAGAGATACAAGTACATAGGCACGGTCCCTGCAGGAAAATTGAAATTTCCGCTCGCACCAAATCGAAAAGGGAAGGACCGGCACTGGGGAGCGGTAACGGTCGCAAATCGGGTTAAGGTACACTATGAGGTACATATGGCACAGTATCAGTACAGTATGCGCCAAGGGTCGATCACGGCTGGCACTCTTCAGGTACTACCTCGCAATGTACACCGACACGGCTCTCCAAACAGTAGGGGGGCTTTCGAGCCCGTGACTCAATCCCGTTGCAAGGTCGAGCCTTGAACCTAGACCGAGGCGGGCTCGAAAGGTGCGACTCTGGGGAGCGAAATCCCTCGTTTTCCTTCTAGTGCAGGTCGGGTCCGGGATTTTCCTCATTTAACGCGGCTCCACAATCGTGTGGGATGTGGGGCCCGTGGGGCTCGCCTCGCTCTTCGCCTTGTTCAACACTTCGCGCGGACGACCGAGACGCCGTTTTCAAACGCTGATGGGTATTGAGCGAGTAATGAGCGAGTAAGTGTACAGAACAGACGCCGCCGACGCCGCCGACGCCGGCCGATTGCCGAGTTGTAGTAGCTTTGAAGAGTTCAATACACGGCATCTCCCGACCATATGCACCCCACGGGCCGCGACTCATGAAGGGTCATGGCATCTCCGAGCCGGCCGACCTTCAGTTTGTGCAGCGCTGATCCAGGTGAGAATGCGCCAAGGCGCGATTTTTCCTGGGTGAAGATGGCATTGGCAGACGCAGATCGATCACGACAGTTTGCTTTCCAATAAGACTCGAAGTGGCATGCGCGACAAGACAAATTCTAGCGGTCTAGAAGTTCCAAGAGTCTTGGGCATGTTTTACCCCGCCGGAAGTTGAACAAAGTGCGCAGTAGGACCACGGGTCTCCGGTGTTTTTTCCTTTTAAGGGTTTTCCAAGCCCTAATCTTCTTCTTCGTCTTCCATGGCACGCATGGCATCGACAACGGCCCGACACCTTATCGCCACATTGGCGTTTTTGAGTCGCCCTGTTATCGCGCCCGCGGAAGTGAGAAATCCAAAATCTAGGCACCGGCGGGGAGGCCGATAAGCTTGCGGCTGCTCAGGATTCAGGTACATACACATGAGCGGAGAAGGTGGATGGGGTCCGAAAATTTTCTGACAGGGTGCCGGCTCAACCGGCCTGGGACTAGGCAATTTTTGTTCTGCGTGTAAAAGCAGAGCCGGCATTGGACAATTCGAACGAATGACGTAGTGGCACTCAGGCTATGGCCAATTGCGATTCCCGTCGAATTGATTCCTCACGACTCTGCGCAAGCACAGACTTTGATGGCGAGAGGCAATTGCTGAGGCAGGACTTGTCGCCTTCTATGCGCAGAGAGAGGAGATATGATTTCGACCGCTATGAAGAAAGTTGCATGCACAATTGGCACAATTGCACAATTGCCGTGTTGACTTTACGCGCGACCGAGAAACAAATGGCTCGTACCAGGTAGGTTGAAGAAACGGCACAGTAAATGCACAGATAGCGCACGTTGGCTGTATGTTGTACCTCCCGTCTGCATGTATGTGCACTAACCATCCAAATAATGGGCAAGGGTGAGCTGCCTATGAGTGATTTCTCCCCAAGTTCCTCTAATAGTTCAATGGCCAAAGTTTCGCCCAACAACGAGCATTGCCTTCCTCGTCAACCTTGCCGACCAAATGCTCCTCCCAGGCTCCCCCTGTGTACGCATGATCCATCTGATTCTCCAATTTTAACTATACGGATCCGTAGATTTGATAGGAATGTCAAAAGAACCGTGCTAATCCCGTTGATCCTTGTCGGTCCGGACTGGGATTGAGCTTTGGCCGCCTATGAAAACAGCGGTTTGCACGGGTGGGTATTTTGCAAGTCTCCACTGGCTGACCAGTCAAAGCTCTTGCGCACATGGATACCCCAGCTGAGCACATGACGAAAAGGCAAATAGCAAAGCTTGATCAGGCCTGCAAAAGCACAGAGCTTCTTTTGCATATTCGTGGCGTTGGGGTAACGGCTTAGCAGATGGGGAGATGAAGATTTCCACGGTCCCCGAGCCCAGGACATTCCTCGGCGCGTTTGCCTCTTCACTATCGCTTGAGTTTGTTCGCGTTCCGAGCGGCATTTAGAGCCATTTGCATAGAGTCTTCGGGAATAACGTGGCGCAAGTTTCGACTTTTCTCTGTTGACTTTCTCTACGCAGTACCTACCTCAGCCTTCACAACCTTCAGTTGTCGTCATTTGAGAAAATCCCGCAGGCTCGATCGTCGCGAGCCCCCCCCAGCCGGTATACATATGTGGAACCTGAGGGCAAGGTACCTCCGACTAGAGAGAATGTGGCTCCTGGCAGGTCTGGGGTGTCGTGTGAGTGGAGCAAGGGTACTTGTTTGTATTCCGAGGTTGATGTAGCTCCATTGCGACGTGCCCCAAGGCAGCTTCCCATTGGAGACCAACTTTTTTTTATTTTTTTTTTCACCTTCACTCTCAGATTCCCCCCTCCTACCAGACCAGGATGTTTTGGACAGTACAGTGCCAATTGGAAATTTCCGACTAATGTCCCGGCGGCCGAGACACTCAAATAAGACTGGCTTGATCGGCTATCTAGCCCCATCCATGAAACATTTAGCACTGTGTAGTAGCGAGTCGTTGTCCCGAGCTTTCTCATACCTACCTACTCGCAAAGTAACTTCCAGGTGCAGGCGAGTTATCACTCGCCGCCTGGTCACCGCCCACAAATAGCTTTAAAAGTGGTAGCTTCCGCCGGTCTGAGCCATTTCTTCTCTTCTTCCCTTCCTCTTCCCCCACCCACGAAGGCCCTTTAAAGATCCCTTCGATTTCGTGAGGTGTCGAAGCCGTCCTCCCCCTCTCCACTCTGTCTCCCCCAAGCTTCCTTTGTGTTGTGGACGACGCGTCGGATCTGCCCCCCTTCAGCACCTAATCCCTAGGTACCATCAGATATTCGCTCGCCGCGTCAATTCGGTTCCTGAGCTGCTCTTTTACCTCTCTAAGCGACCCAGCTTTTTAGGCCAGTGAGCAGAGTTATCTGCCCCCACGCCAGCACTCACCATGGCGGAATCCAATTCGGCCGCCACTCCCGGCCACCTCGATACCAACATTGAGTCGGGTAAATTCGACGAGAAGGAAGCTTCCCTTTCCACACCGGCCGCCGCCAAGCCCAAGGCCGAGGATGAAGAGGAAGATGAGGACATGGACGCGCTGATCGAGGATCTGGAGAGTCAGGATGGTCATGGCGAGGATGAAGAAGAAGAGACAACTGTCGTGGGCGGTAAGCATTGATCAACCCGGCCCGAGGCAGTGTCGCTTGTGGTCGCCGAGCGCATCCTGTAGACTCGGCGTCAAGGAGAGTTTGTGGCCACGGCGACTCTGGTCCTCGGGCTTCAATTTTCGCCTGCCTGCTACGGACATCTAATTGAGAATAGGTGCTCGCCCTATCCCGGAGGACATGCTCCAGACTGACACGCGAGTTGGTAAGTGACATTTAAGACGCGTCGCGCGCGGAAATCGCGCCGACCATCCCTATCGCATGTACATGACTGACAAATTTGCTAGGTCTGACCGAGAACGAGGTCACGGCTCGGAGAAAGAAGTATGGTCTCAATCAGATGAAGGAAGAGAAAGAGAGTACGTACTCGACTTGTTCCCTCCCAGCGTCGCATTGGCGCCCACGGCGATATTGCCATGCTAACGGTGGATTCAAACAGACATGATTCTCAAGTTCCTCTCGTACTTCGTCGGCCCTATCCAGTTCGTTATGGAGGTGAGCATTTCCCACACCGAGTTCGATAGTTCCGCGCCAATAGCATCTCGCTGGGTCAATTTGGAAAATGGTTGGACAACGCCCTGGTCTAGTGGACAAGATCCACGCCAAAGGCTCGGCCCAGACCAAGCGGCCCAGCGAGGCCTAAAATGGCGAATTGCTCCATTTAACTGAATTTGTCGGGCGCTAATTCTTGACTTTAGGCTGCCGCCGTCCTGGCTGCTGGTCTCGAGGACTGGGTTGATTTCGGTGTCATCTGCGGTTTGCTTCTGCTTAACGCCTGTGTTGGTTTCATCCAGGAGTTCCAGGCTGGTTCTATTGTCGACGAATTGAAGAAGACACTTGCCCTCAAGGCCGTTGTCCTCCGTGACGGCACCCTCAAGGAAATCGAGGCCCCCGAGGTCGTCCCCGGCGATATTCTGCAGGTCGAGGAAGGTACCATTATTCCGGCTGATGGGCGCATCGTCACCGAGGATGCTTTCCTCCAGGTCGATCAGTCCGCCATCACCGGTGAATCCCTTGCTGTTGACAAGCACAAGGGCGACCAATGTTACGCCTCATCTGCTGTCAAGCGTGGCGAGGCCTTCATCGTCGTTACCGCCACCGGTGATAACACGTTCGTCGGTCGCGCCGCCGCCCTGGTGAACGCCGCCTCTGCCGGAACTGGCCATTTCACCGAGGTGCTCAATGGCATCGGCACTATCCTCCTCATCTTGGTTATCTTCACCAACTTGGTCGTCTGGATCAGCTCCTTCTACCGCTCAAACCCGATCGTCCACATTCTCGAGTTCACCCTTGCCATTACCATCATCGGCGTCCCTGTCGGTCTTCCCGCTGTCGTCACCACCACCATGGCTGTCGGCGCTGCTTACCTTGCCCGGAAGAAGGCCATCGTCCAGAAGCTCTCCGCCATCGAGTCCTTGGCCGGTGTCGAGATTCTCTGCTCTGACAAGACCGGTACCCTGACCAAGAACAAGCTCTCTCTTGCCGACCCCTACACCGTGGCTGGCGTCGATCCCGAGGACCTCATGTTGACCGCCTGTCTCGCTGCCTCGCGCAAGAAGAAGGGTATGGATGCCATCGACAAGGCCTTCCTGAAGTCTCTCCGTTACTACCCCAGAGCCAAGGGTGTCCTGTCCAAGTACAAGGTCATTGACTTCCATCCGTTCGACCCTGTCAGCAAGAAGGTCGTTGCCCTCGTCGAATCTCCCCAGGGTGAGCGCATTACCTGCGTTAAGGGTGCGCCGCTGTTCGTCCTCAAGACCGTCGAGGAGGACCACCCTATCCCCGATGAGGTCGATCAGGCGTACAAGAACAAGGTCGCTGAGTTCGCTACTCGTGGTTTCCGCTCGCTCGGTGTCGCCCGCAAGCGTGGTGAGGGCTCTTGGGAAATCCTCGGCATCATGCCCTGCTCCGACCCGCCCCGTCACGACACTGCCCGCACTATCAACGAAGCCAAGTCCCTGGGTCTCTCCATCAAGATGCTTACTGGTGATGCCGTCGGTATCGCAAGGGAGACCTCCCGTCAACTCGGCCTCGGTACCAATGTCTACAATGCTGAGCGCCTCGGTCTCGGTGGCGGTGGTGACATGCCCGGCTCTGAGGTATACGACTTCGTCGAGGCCGCTGATGGTTTCGCCGAAGTGTTCCCCCAGCACAAGGTAAGTTGCTCGCGCAGCTGGTTTCCTGAGTTGTGGAAGAAGAAGGTGGTGGTTGGCTGGGGCGGAATGGAATGCTTCTGAAACATTCCGCCGAAACACCCTGACAACCCCGCGCTGATTCCTATGCTCGTGCGTTATACCTTCTGAGTACCTAGTCACTGACTTTGATCGTTACAACAGTATAATGTCGTCGAAATTCTGCAGCAGCGTGGCTACCTCGTTGCCATGACTGGTGATGGTGTCAACGATGCTCCCTCGCTTAAGAAGGCTGACACAGGTATTGCCGTCGAGGGTGCCTCCGATGCTGCCCGATCCGCTGCCGATATTGTCTTCCTTGCCCCCGGCTTGGGCGCCATCATCGACGCGTTGAAGACCTCTCGCCAGATTTTCCACCGCATGTATGCTTACGTGGTCTATCGTATCGCTCTCTCTATCCATCTCGAGATCTTCCTTGGTCTCTGGATTGCCATCCTCAACCGCAGTCTTAACATCGAGCTCGTCGTCTTCATCGCCATCTTTGCCGATGTCGCCACCCTTGCCATCGCTTATGACAACGCGCCATACAGCAAGACCCCCGTCAAGTGGAACCTGCCGTAAGTACTCCCAGTTTGTTGTTGTCCCGGTTCGGCGTCGTGATCAGCATTGCTAACTAGCAATTTAGTAAACTCTGGGGAATGAGTGTTCTTCTCGGAGTCGTCCTCGCTATCGGCACCTGGATTGCCACCACGACCATGTATGTCGGCTCCGAGAACGGCGGTATCGTCCAGAACTTCGGTCAGATGGATGAGGTCATCTTCCTCGAAGTCAGCTTGACTGAGAACTGGCTCATCTTCATCACCCGTGCAAATGGTCCCTTCTGGTCGTCCATTCCCTCGTGGCAGCTTGCTGGTGCCATTCTCGTGGTCGACATCATCGCGACCTGCTTCACCATCTGGGGTTGGTTCCTCCACGGCCAGCAGACCTCGATTGTTGCCGTTGTCCGTATCTGGATCTTCAGCTTCGGCGTCTTCTGCATCATGGGTGGAGTGTACTACATCCTCCAGGGCAGCGTTGGCTTCGACAACCTCATGCACGGAAAGTCCCCCAAGGGCAACCAAAAACAGCGATCGCTGGAAGACTTTGGTAAGTTTTTTACGTCTGTGATTCTAAATCTACGCAGGCCAAACACTAATGCCAATTACAGTTGTCTCGCTCCAGCGCGTGTCTACCCAGCACGAGAAGTCGCAATAGACGAGAGATTCCTCGTGACCATGGCGAAGAATTTTAGCGACATGGTGGATTGGTCAAATCGACCCCTTTTTTCTATGTGTAAATTTGTAACTATGCTTGAGGGGAGATAAAAGTTTCATACCCCCACAACAGTTCCTTAGACGAAACTAATCCTAAAGCATAAATTTTACAATCTCGTTCCATCCGCTACAAGTGAAATAAATGTTCAATCTTTTTGGCTAGGTCGGCGGCTGCTCAACTTGATGTGTCGTGGCGCGACAACTTGAGCCGTAGGCATCGTATCTGCCGACGGCCTCACCTTCCTTGGAACTTTGAGAGAAGTGGGGGAGGCTCAGGCAGCATCACCGTCTTCGGTTCAACTGGCGTCTTAAACAACCGGCCAACGATGGAAAGGCACCGCAAAGACACGGCTCTGTACCCTTCCTCCATTGGCAACGGTCAAGCATACTGACAGACGGGGCATGCATAAGTCTGTTCTAGACGTCAGTGTGGTTCCTGCAGCCTACCCGTTCTCGATATGTTGCACTCTGCAACTGCCGTAGAAGTAACTTTCAAGTTCCTGGCAGAGTTTCTCTGGTGATATCGCTGTTGATAGGTCCCTTGAGATTCGAAGGTTACAAGTTCTTCCATATAGGTCACGTTCTCATTCATGACAGCGAAGCACGTGACTTGCTAGCCCTTTGTGATATCAAAGTAAATTCACTCCTGTGATAATCCTATGATGTCCCTGTGGATGATTAAAAAATGTCGGTAGTTTGTTTCCGAGAGATGCGACTCTGCGTCTTGAAGACTTGTGCCAACTACCTATGAGATAAACCCCGTGCCTTGCGAAATCATGTCCGCGAACCGCGAGATCCCGGGATACTATTTTGGTAAGGGCCACTGCATGTCCCCATCTAAGCCGGCCCCAAGGTTGACCAGGGCCAGATCCCGAGAAGAAGAGGTACTTCAAGATAGAAAACAGCAAGACCGCTCCTTCGGAGGCACCATGGTCGGCAGAAAACGTCAAGCGCCGGAAGATAGCCGACCGCGAGGCCGCACGTGCTCGCGAGCGGTTGGAGCGGTCCAAGTGCCGGGTCAAGCAATCAAGGGTCCTTGCCGAGCCTCTGATGGGAGGGTTCCTCCGCCGGGAGACTGGACGACTCTCGCCCGAGGTGCCCGTGGCCAGCTTTGCCAGGGGACTGCGCGAAAAGGGCAGCGTGCCCCTGTTTCCGCCTGAGATGCCGTCTCCCGTCAATATTGCCCACCTTTACGTCGGAAATCATGACTGCAACCTCGGATTTGGTGTTGTTTATGGAAGTAAGTCTATTAGCCAGCAGGTCGTTGTCGTTAAGCGGTCTGCATAGGGTACGAGGAGAAAAATGATCTAATAGCCGAAACAGCACTGGATGAGGAGAGCCTTGTTGGGTGCTACATCCCGAGAGATAACAACGACAGGTATTTTATTGCACCTGGGCCCTGCTTCGGCTGGTGGATTATGGGAACATCAGCGACTGACGAAAATTCGGCCAGAATCGACGAGGATATTGTCAACAAGTATCGGCTTGACAGCCGCATGCCCCGAGAAGAAATAATCATGTGTCCTCAGATGTCCTCCTTGAAGTACCATGAACCGTCTCACAGGATACTGCTCACATCTCGCAAACCCGGACCCAGAGTAGGGGTGTCATTCTTCTCACCCCAGGTGTCGTACGGCAGGGATACCGAGCCGGAATGGTTGATAGGGGGTGGTAAGCACCCTCTCCTCTCCTTTTGCGGATTGAGACGCGACCCCTGACCCAGCATACATATATATAGCCGACCACTACGAAAACTTCTCCCGTTTCTCCCCTAGCCCAGATTGCGTTGCCAACACGTGCACCCCAGCACCCGCGTCCTCGGACCTGATCTGCCTGATAGGGACCAGCGACGGGATCCTCCAATTCCGGCGGGAGGGCCCCCTGACCTGGCTCACCCCCGGCGGCGGCGCGGCCCCGCCGTCCCACGCCACCGGTGCCGCTGCGGCGGGGCCGCGCGACGTCTTCAGCATAGACTTCCTGGCCGGCAACCCCAACGTCGTGTTCGCGGGGGGCCGCTCGAGCCGCCTGTCGATGGCGGACCTGCGCACGGCGCCGCGGTCGTGGGAGGAGCTGGCGATCCGCCACGCCAGCTCCGTCGCGCACGTGCGGTCCCTCAACGAGCACCAGGTCCTCGCCGCGGGGCCGAGGTCGGCAATGTGCGTCTACGACATCCGGTTCCGCAAGGAGGCGGCCGCCGCCGCGCGGCCCAACGACGGCGGCGGCGGCAGAAGACGCGCGGGGAGAGGAGGAGGCGCGGGGAAAGGTGCACACCGTCCCCTGCTGACGTTCCCCGGATTCCGGAACGGGGCCCATATCCACTTTGGCCTCGACGTCGAGCCCGCCATGGGTGTCGTCGCGGCCGCACACGACAACGGAGGTGTCGGCGTCTACTCGCTGCGGAGCGGCAGGAGGCTCGCGTGCCCGCCCGTGGACAAGGTCGCCATCCGGGGTGGCGTCGTCAAGGGCGTCATGTTCCAGACCCTTCCGAGGGATAGATTGCCGAGCCTCTTTCTCGGGGAAGGAGCCAACGTGTGCAAGTACTCGTTCGGCGTCCTTGACGGGGCGGATGAGATACTCGAGGAGTAGACGAGAGATGGAGAACCCCTCGAGGGAGAAGGGAACCTCGTGGCAGGGGAGATGATCGAATGTCGTCGTGCGGCTTGTTGTCCTACTACGTCTTAGAAAGGTACTCCTATAAAATACAATGATACCCCCGGTACCCCAACCCAACCCCCCAAAAGCATCGACGCCCATAAAAGCACCTTCAAAACCCAGAAGCAGCTCGCCAGTCCCTTTTTTGAGTTATGCCGTTTTAAAACCTTGAGCCAGAACCCCTAAGCCCGTGATCTCTTTTCCGAACCACGCCCATGACCCCAAAGCACCATGACCTCTCAAATTGCTTCTGAAAAAAAAGCAAGGGGAAATGACCCAGCACCGGTAGAACCTATACCGATACTAGATTCCGAGCTGCGCCAAACCATGATGCTCCCATAGAATCCCAAGAAGATCATTAAGTATCTTTAAAGAACAGCAAGGGAAAAGATGCGATAAATACTGAGAACATCCCCCACGGACAACAGTCTACATGGGCAGATATTGCCGTCACGGGCAAAAACGTTGCTCAAAATGCACCGACAAGCCAGATAAGATCGGACGGTATCGAGGAACCGGTTTCGCTCATCTCGCCAACCGGATGGCATTGTTCGCGCTCTCGCTCTTCAGGTTGAACGTGCCGGCCAGCTGGGGGAACGCCTTGGCGAAGGCGTCGCCCAGGGTCCAGTTGTCGAGGCGGCGGAGGTGCCGCTCGAAGACGGGGTTGATCATGAGCTCGCTTGTGTCGGGGCTCTGCAGCAGGGTGTCGATGTCCTCGTACGGCCAGTTGAGGCTCAGCGTGGTGGTGAAGGGGATGAAGAAGTTCTCAAACGGGAACTCGTTGGGCTGGTAGGTCCGGGCCAGCCGCTCGCGCATCCGCGGGAAGGGCAGGTGGTCGAACCACGCCGGGTGCGGCGTGTCTAGCTGTGCCGGCTGCGGCGCCATCCACGCCGGCAGGCGCTCGTAGTTCTCCCGGGTCGGGCTGATCTGCCACCGCATGAGCAGGAACATGATGTACAGAGTCGCCACGCGCTCCGGCAGCGAGGAAAGGTCCGGGAACGTCTGTAAGATGTCGGTGAACACCTTCGAAAGCGGGTGGGAGTACTGGCTGTTGGAAGGGTTCAGTAATGAGGATACCGACGGGTACCGGGGGCCGATTATCTCTTGCGTTGGAAGGCCCTCGGCTGCTCTCTGCCGCCGCTCGGACAGCAAATCTAGCAGGAGACTATCTAGCGGGCACGTCGGCAAGCAGTTCTTGATCTGCAGCGAGGCATACCCGGGTTCGACGCCAGTGCCGGCGGCAAGATCCATACCGACGCCATATTCCAACTGACTTGCGTCTGGGTTCTGGTCGAGGAGCGACCCCTGGGAGGGTGTGACGCCCGTCCAGTCGTGCTTCATGGGCACGTGGCGGAACTGCGGAGTGTCTTGCGCTCCATCGGCACCACTCTGTATTCGGTTGACACGCTGCGCCGAGTCGAGCAGGAAGTCGAGCCCCAACCTCTCCCCGGTGCCCATGTCTAGGCCGTGGACGTACTCAAGGCGCTGCTGGTTTAGCAGCTTGGATTGCGGCAGGGGAACGTTCGGTGGCGGGGGTTTTTGAGGAAGGAGATCCCCGGGCCATTGACCTTGGCCATGGGCCACGGAGACAGAAGCTGGGGATGCAGCGCTTGTCGGAGTCGAGACATTGTGGAGCGAGGACGGTGCAGGAGGATGTTGGACGGTAAGGTAGGCTTGAGCAGGAGAGGCGTAGTTGGAGTGGTGAACTGCCGAGAGAAGCTCCTGTCAGACCCCATAAGAGCAGCACAGATAAAGATTTGACGAACCTGGACTTGTCACGATGGGCTGTATCATGGACATAATGGAGATCAGGCGCCTCTTGATGTCGACATTTTCGGCCTCGACGGCCTCCTTGGCGCGTAGGACGGCCTGCAGGTCCTGGTACGGCTGCTGCGACTCCAAGGCGGCTATTTTCGCACGCAGTTCTTCGACAAGGGCCTTGTTCCGTTCGCGAATGTTTCGTTGGGCCTCGCGGTCTGCGGTTCGCGAAAGAGAGCGTTGCTTGGTCAGCCCAGATTGGGACCGACCCAATTGGCAGGAAGCGAACGGAAGCACACTCACCATTCGCCCGCTTCTTCTCCAGCTGCTCCGGGGTCAGATTGGCGACACCTCTCGAGCCGGGCCCGATCTTCCGCTTCTTGCTTGCACCAACACCCGGCTGGTGCAGCTGCTGGGACAAGGGGCTGGATCCATCTGTGTCGTCATTGGAGCCTCGTCCATAACGCCTGGTCAGGCTGGCATCGTCGGTAGGCGAAGTGGAAGTGTCGTTCTCTGTGCCACCACCCCCAAGCGACGACAGCTGGTCGGCCGTCGACGAGGCCATATGGGGCCGCCGCTGGATAAAATGTAACAATAAGATACACACTGGGCCCTCCAACCGTCCGATCTGACACGGACCCCAGACTGCTCTGCAAGTCCCGGTCTGCAAGGGTGTGGATGTACAGTACATACGTGGGTGGGACGAGCGGGAGGGAGGGGAACCTATTGGTGACGACGATTCAGTCCTGGCTCTCGTCCCGACCATCAACGAGTCATGCCGGCCGGCAGCCACCCCACCAATGCGGCTAATCCTAAGTAAGGTACTGTAATCCGTACAGCAAACAAAACATTTGTTTGGGGGTGGTTTTAGCCCACTAGGCAAACGGATGACCACCCCTTCTGAGCGCATACCTACCTCAGCACGCATCCTTTGGAATGCTAATTATAATCGCATGTACGGAATAATCCAAGGAGAGCGACTCACCTCCGTCCGTCCACCAGTAATAAGTGTCAAAACCGGGCTCTATAACATTATTGGGTCTATCTGTCAATATGCAAGTATCCCGTGCACCATATGTGCCAGCCCGGCCTCCCTGTCAAACTCTCGCGTAACCCCTTTTTCCCCTTCCCGGCCGTCATGACCAACAGCCACGGCCCCAAATCATCGTCGCGCCCTAGTCTAGTCCGCCGAGGCTCTAGCAAGTGCCTCGTGTAGGTGGGGTGGGAACCGATATCTCAGCTGGCTCGTGTATGTCGTCAGGTCAACGCTCATCTGCTTCAACTCGTCTACCAGCATGCGAGCGGTCGACTCGTTGCCGCTGAATTGGCCATTCATGAGCCGCTCCCGCTGCTTAGAGCAGCAGATGATTGTCCACATCAGGAGGTTTGGCACGTTGATGGCAACCGGCTGAGACAGGCTTGGGAATTTGGACGCATAGCTGCGGATGATGCTCGGGTCGCCCTTGGCGCTGAGTGGAAGGATCTCGAGGGCTCGGATTCTCTGCCGTCGAGTCAGCACATCTGTCCAGGTAACAAAAGAAGAAGAGACGGGAAGACGAAAAAAAATTACTCACATCCAGGCATTGAGGCCACCTGCCCGCCTCGACAAGGCCCTTGATCTCGCTCATCTGTAACAATACGCTGCACGCGACGCGATTGGGCTCCCGGATCTTCTGCCAGAACATGTAATCCCTTTCATACATGGTCATCATCGTCTTTGCCAACTCGACCGGATCCTCGATTGCTGCCAGGCTCAGGCTGCCCACCTGCTGCGATTCCGCTTGCTTGCCCTCCACACGCGGCTTTACCGGCATGAGGCGTATAGGATCCTCTCCAATCTCCAGGGATACGGCTTCGCTGAGGGCGCGGCTGACGATGGACACCACGGTGTCGTAATCCCCGGCGAGGTGGTAGAGGAGAACCGCATCCGTAGTCCGTCCGTTGTCATCGGCGAAGCTGGCCGCCTGCAATGTGATGGTCTTGATGAACTCCTGCTCTTCCCCGAGGGCAATCAAGGAGCTACGCTCCTCGATAATGCCCTTGATCCGGTGCCCGTCGGGCTTGATGTCGCCAACCAGCTTGCTGAATTCCCTGCTCTCGAGGACTAGCTCCCGCAACGCCTCGTGGCAGAGCGCTGCGTGTTGATGGCCCGTATTGTCATCGGCATTCAGGCAGATAAGGATCAGATAGTCCACCGCGGCCCCGACATCGGCAGCCCTGAAGTCTCGGGTGTAGTAGCCCAGCATCCGGCCAAAGTTGATCTGTGGCAGGCCCCGCGTGTTGTGGCTAAGAAGGTCGTTTCCAGACGTGACCGCGTCCGCAGGCCGAAGCAACCCGTAGTATTCTAGGGCAATCGCGAAATGGACGGCATCCACGTATGAAAACGGATACATATATGCAATAGCCTGCTCAAACATGCCCGACAATATCTGGAGGTAGAAGAACATCCCAAAGCTGCCGCTGCTGTCTTCCGCTGTGGTGGTCTTGGGGAAGTGCTTCAGGCCGATTTCCCTGATGCTCGCCTGTAACTCGTTGAGGCCATACATCTCGCTGGCAAGTTCGGACGACTTGTCTCCTTCTCGGGCCAGATTGAATTGCAGCCAGATCCAATCATTGACATCCGTGTGTAGCCCTTCCAGGCTGCGGTTGTTGACTTCGCAGCGACCTATGATCTTGTAACAGGCCATGCGGAAAGGATCCATCGAGTTGTCTGGCGCGTTACGAACACGCTGTGCGTATTCGTTGTTGCACCGTTCCTGCATCTGCCTCTTGAGCCGACGCTCCTCGGTTGAGGCATAGCTGTTAATGTAGCCGGGGAAAGTCCGATCGATGCTCCGGAAGTGGTTCTGTATGTTGTTGACATATTGTGCCGCCTCGTTAACGTGGCCGGACCTCAGAAGGTAGAACACGATGGCCCAAACGTATTCTTCATTCACCATCTGCAGTCCCTCCGTGTTGTCCGGGACAAGCGTCTTTCGGGCTATGCGAAGGCGGACGTAAGCCTTGATCTTGCTGACCACGTCAGGACGACCGCCAAGGTTGGCATCTTGGGGGTACTTGGCGATGAGCGAGTCGATCTCCTTGAAGAACTGCCTCTCCAAGAACCGGTTCGCGCCACTCAGGATCTGCTTCCGCATGTTTATAGCATTGGCGGACTGCGCACTGGGATCCAAGTACATCTTGGCATACTGTCGCTCTCGCGGCACCTCGTCTTTCTCCGGGTTCTCCCCTACAATCTCCATCATCGCACGATAGGCATCGACAACATGAGGCGCATGTGGGTCTCCGGACTTGTCTGCGAGGTCTGCAAGGTCGCGGAAGAGATATGTTGGCTGCGACGACTGCCGGGCGTCGTTGAGGGCATGGATCTTCTCAGCCAATCTTCCCTGCTTCTCACGCACAAAACGATCGTCCATGGATCCAGCACCACTGATAGACCCGGCAGGGCCTGTCCCGCCCTCGACATCGGAGAACTCGGGAGCATGCTGCCCAATCCTACTAGGGGTTCCAATGACAGATTTGTGCATGGATGATCTTCCAAACGTGCTGGCCTTCTGCGTAGATCGAGCGCCAGATGTTGGCTGGGTAGATTTACGACGCGAGCGTCCAAACCCTCCCTGGGACTCTCTTCCGGGAGTGCTACCCGAAGGCACGCCAGATGTCTCCTCCCTTGGCTTGATTCCGAAATGTTGGTAGACACGCTTCCGCTGAGCCTCCCACTCCATGGTGACATTGTCTTCTAAGAACGCGTCGAAGTCCCGCACGGATCTTTCGAGACCATCGGCGATCATACTCAATGTCGTCTTGGTCTGAAGGTTCGAGAGATATGTCTCAATGTCAAGCTCCGAGGTCCCCAATCCTTGCGAGGGGCGCTCTGTCCGTCCATGTATCCCGAGCGAGCCTAGATCCTTCACGGCTGCTCCGGGGTCAACGCCGGAAGCGGCGAGTAGGTAGTGGGCCTTGCCATCGAGCGGGCGATCATGGCCGCGAGGACCAAGCTTCTTGAGCCTCTGGCGAAGATCCCCGAGGCCCAGTTGTAGGCCGGGAAGCTCCCCCAGTGGCGACTCCCCCTCGGCTTGTTTCCTGCTCTTAGCTAAGAGGCTGTCGAAGTAGGCGCCGCTCGGTTGGGCTTGGCCCTGCGCCTGGCTCTGAGCCAGGGGCTGATTCAAGCCAAGGGTGGTGGGCTGGAAGGTGCCGAAGACACTGCCTCCAGCAGGTGCAGGGGTCGATGTGGATGCGGCCATGTTCGTTTGAGGTTGCGAGGCCGTCGGCTGAAAAGGTCGAGGGTTTGTGGCTCCAAACAGGCTGCCGGCAGCAGGTGCTTGGCCGGTATTCAAGCTGCCCCCGAACAGAGACGGCTTGGGCTGCTGGGCAAGTGAGCCGCCGAAAAGAGAGCCGGTCGCTTGGGGCTGGTTCGTCGTGCTTCCGGCCGTCTGCTGGTTGCCAGTAGAGCCAAAGATGCCGCCGCCCGACGGCTGTTGACCCAAGGTCGGCTGTGCTGTCGTGTTTTGAGATCCAAAGGCACCGCTTCCGCCCAAAGTAGGGGTGGCTCCCTGTGTGCCAGTCGAAGCACCAAATAGGCTCCCGCCGCCTAATGGTTTGCCAAAGACAGACATCCTGTTCTTGAGGATCGGGGAGTATAGTTGCTAAGGCCCCGAAGTTGGTTTTAAGATAAAGCGACGAAAACGCGTCGAGGGGCGCGTCGGCGCAGGCAATCGAGCAGGATATTTGCGGTTGCTTAGGCAAGGCTGAAAGCTTTTGGAGGTACGGTGTACCTGCAGCTAATGGCAGCCGGGCAGAGAGAACCACAGCAACGAGCCTTAGTGAGTGGATACCAAGCAGGTGCAACTGCAGCCAATCACAGAGATGACTCTAGGTACAGGAGACTGTCACAATTCACATCAATAATGGAAGTTACAGTATTTCCAGTTTACCAATTTCTATCCCATATTGCGCATCCCTACTATTGTTCGATTATATAGGTAGCGAGGTATTCCATCCTTGGTACCCATTGATTAGATAATTAAGCTGTAGTTCGTGTCTAAACGGTCATTCCAAAATCTAATTTTGCGCCCCGGCTCCATCCAGCCCATCGACCCAAGAGAACTCCTTGATAGCCGCATCAACCTTGTTTCTGTACTCCCGCTGGGTTCGACACTGGTCCAAGAAGACCTCGTACTTCGTGTCGAGTAACTTCTTCTCTCCAGGAGTAGCGCTTGATCTGACAACCCTGCCTGGCTTGCTCATGCGGTCCATGATGTCCCACAGCGGCTCCGTCGAGCCATCCTCGCGCGCGCTGGCTGCCTTTGCGCCGAGCATGGCGGCTCCGTGCACCACAGCAGCGTGGACATATCGCGGGATGAGAACCGGCATGTCGCAGGCCGTGGCGATGAGATCCATCAGGATCTCGTTCTGGCACTGGCTGCCGGACATGAAGATGCTCAGGATCGAGTGTCCGGCCTTGTTCATCGTCTCGACGATCTGCCTCGTCTGCAGCGCGATGAACTCCATCGTCACGTAGTACAGCAACGCCATGCCGTCCTTGGTCTTGTCGCTACTGAGTCCTACCACGGCTCCTTTCATATTCGGATCCGCGATTGGTGACCGGTTTCCCCAGAGGTCACCGTAAAAGAAGAAATGGCGGACCAGGTATGCGATCGAGGGCGACTTGTTCGCCTTGGCAAGGGCGCGTAGGTGATCGTTCAGGAAGTCATATATGTTCTTCCCCGCAGCCTGGGCCTCTTTGATCGTTTCCTGGTATGCTGCGTGCGTTTCCAGCATGTGCCGCATCAACTCGCCCGTAGCCGACTGGCCCCCTTCAGCCATCCAGAAATCAGGCATCAGGACGTCTCTGTACGGGCCCCATACGCCGGGCACAAATACCGCGTCTTTCGACATGGCGAGGTGGCATGTCGACGTACCGGCAACCGAAGCCAGTCGGGTAAAGGCCTGGGAGACATCGTTCGAAGCAACCGAATCGTCAAGATCATCTGCGCTCAGGGCTACTTTAGCCCCGACCGTCCCAACCCAGCCCGCATAGGCGTCGATCACACCACTTCCAACGGCGATGCCGGCGGGAAGACCGAGCTCCTTGCTGGACTTCTCGGACAGGGGCCCAACGAGCTCGCCGGCGCTCTTGTAGGTACCGTTCTGATCTATGTTAGCATGCTGTCCTGTACGAGAGCCCCCGGATTTGATAACGCCGCAAGGGTGAACACCAATAAGGAAAAAGGCTCACCACCCCGTCGACTCCTCCCATTCGTTTAAAGTTGTCCTTAACAAGGTCGCCAAGCCCAATGGTGTGGTAGAAATCCTCCTGCCACCCCTTGACGCTGCCGTCTACGCCGACCGGGACGAAGCCTTGCTTACAAACGGTGCTGCAGAAGCTTCTAGTCTCGCTGCCCGTTGCAATGTGCGTCAGCGCATCCGCCAAGTCGTAGAACTTGCAGCGGTCGAACAGGTCTGGGGGCATGTTGTTCTTCAGCCATAGAACCTTGGGGATCTCCATCTCGACGCTCATGGTACCGCCGACGTATCGTAGGAGGTTGTGTTTCGTCGAGTTGATCTTCTCCGTTTCGGCAAGAGGTCGGTGGTCCAGCCAGAGGATGACATTTCTGTCGTTGCCGTCATTCTTGAAATCGGGTCCAGTGACCGGGATGGGCTCGTCGGTGTCGTGAGAGAAGACAGCAAGGGAGCAAGTCGCATCGAAGCCGAGCCCGCGGATGCTCGTCGGGTCTACCTTGGACTCTGCCACCACCTTCTTTACACAGATACAGATGCATCGCCAGATATCTGAGGTGGATTGCTCCTGTATATCGTTATTAGCAACTCTAGTTGCAATAGCGGGCGGGGGGCATCACCATACGTAATGGGTGCCGTGAAGGCCAGCTGTGGGCTGCCAGAGCTTGATGTTCTCGGACGCGAGTGCCTTGATATCGCCCGTTGAGTCGATGATACAAGCGCGAGCAGAGCCGGTCCCCACGTCGATTCCAATGTAGTGTTCCTAGAGCATGATAAGCAATTGGTTCTCTGTGAAAAGATCGAGGAAGGGCAGAGCTCACCTGCATTTTGCCGCCGTGCAACACAGAACGTAGCTCAATGCTCTATGTCTTCTCACTTTCGGCTCTGCGTCACTTTCGCTCTCTCGGTGAGTCCTCGACCCGGTCACTCTGCCTTCAGAAGCTTAGCGAATACGTTGTCCTGATTTATCGAAGAGCCCAACTTGGATGCGATCCCACTTCAATTGAAAGAACCTAGGTATGAATATAGCTTTTTGTGTTCTCTCTTTTGTGTCCTCTGCGATGGGAGATATGCAAGTTGCGCCCGCCGGCAACGCGGGCACTCACGTGTATGCTGCTCAACCCCACCTTTGCCCCGCCTACTTACTCAGTCTAGATCTCTATTCCAAGAGCTTTAGCTTGCAGGTGTTTGCTTCTAGAACTAAGGAAACCCAATGATGGAGTTGATAGCTGGCAGGATCCCCACCCTGTCAGACGAGTTTGTTGAGCGATCGAAGGTTGGCAATCCGCGATCGGCAGGATCAACAGTCATCGGGCCCAAAAAATCCGTATGGCACGAGACATCTCGAGTTCTATCCTTTCGGTCTGCGGACGCCACTCGGTGACACGGAACACGGGTCTGACGGCCGGCAGCCCGGATCTGGGCCGGGCGACGCAGAGACTGGGATTCCGGAACCAGTTTAGAGTTACCATGAGAATAGGTTATCATATATGAAGTTCGTTCCCCTTTGCAGCGAAGGGTCCTGCAGCTGCTCGTTCCGGATCCGGTAGTACAGGAGCCCTTGCTCAAGTTCCCACAACGTTTGACTCCCGGGTTGGCCATTCCAATTTTTATGGACGGATCGAGGTTAGGGGGGTTGATTGAAGAAATCATCGTGGAAATACCCGACGGCTTTTGTACACGACCACCCTATGTACGTCACTAAACTGGCAGATACACCCGTCATTCTTTTTGATTTTGTTCTCTCGTAAACAAGAGCGACGCTTTTCTCAGAACAAGCTGATGGAAGGTGCAGCTTGTAGCTCCTGAGTCCGTAATAGCGAAAAATATATACAAAGGTACATACAAGGGTTAAACGGTCACTTCTGAAGTGCCAGATGGTCGTGCTCATCAACACCAACTTGAGGGTGCGGGAATGAGGCTTGTTCTTCCTCCCTAATTTTTTCCCACCCCCCAAAAAAATCGGTCCAAATACGACACAGCGTGAATGTCCAATATGGAGCCCAGGAGAGACGAACTAACTCACGACGACATCTGGGATGACTCGGCCCTCATCGACTCATGGAATGATGCATTGGAAGAGTATAAGGTTAGTGTCAACAACACACAGCCTCTGATTACGCATCACACACAGGTCGGTGGCTCAGGTTGCTAAAGTGCCGGTCCAGAAATACCATAGCATCCACGCAAAAGGAGGCGCAGCGGTCGATGACATTCTAGCCCAAGCAAAGTAAGTCATCTCGTCTGAGTCCCATCGTGTCCCATCGTTTGGTCTTGGCGATCCTCACCTATTCTATTGTTTCAGAACTCGAAAGAATGCCAAGCCTGAAACGGGAGATGGAAGCCAGCCTATGGAGGAAGGCGAAGTCGACCAGGCCGACGAAACACCCAAGAATGGGCAGGGCACGGATGTACACGAGGTAAATCATCCATCGATTCCATCCGCAGGCCCTCCACGGAGATGGAACATCAACGGCGATCACAAAGCTTGGCCTCAGACCAGAGGGTTGCGCTGACAATAATGATCCCTATCAGGATCGAGCCCCGACGGCTGTGCAAGGGGGGCATACAACGAATGCAGGGCCATCAAATCTCGGTCCGCAGACAATACTAGGATCAGGTAAGAAGCGCACCAGCGTCGCCGGTTACTTGGCCATCACTTGGCCAAGTATCGCGATCACGGATCAACTGCTGCTACCCCTATCGCTTAGAAAGTGACTAACACAGGCAGTGGGAGATGAGGGTTTGAGAAAGCTCCTGATGTCTTGGTATTACGCGGGATATTACACTGGACTCTACGAAGGGCAACAGCAACAACAGGCCAAGGAGGAAGGCCAATGAGAGCGAGTGAAAATAATTGGGGGTACAAAGGAAAAGTTCCAAAACGAAGATCAACACCGATGATAAACTTTAAATCCTGACGCTGGCGATCCGCCGCCGGGGCGTTCGGCAGAAGCGATCAAGGTGATGTGAGATGAGAGGATGGGAGGCTCATGTCAAAATGGGGGGGGATAGGGGGGAATGCTGAGCTCGGATGCAGGCGGCAAGCAGGGGTGTCGGTGGTGGGGAGAAATGGCCTGTACACATTGTAAAAGAGGCTGCTACGTGATCGACCGCGAACTGACGATTCTGTAACGACCTGTGTTCCATCGCCTCAAAAAATGCTACGGCACAGCCCTGTTCCTTGTCTGGGTCTGGAGTCCGGATGCGGGTGTCAAGCTGGAGCTGAGCAAGGGGGGTCGTCTTCGCCGTTTCAGCATTGCTTGGCCCGCCTAATGGGCCGCGTAAAGGAGTCAAGAGGAACAAAAAGAAGCTTCGGGGCAGGCTGGATGCTGTTTCTCCAAATGCTCCGAGGCGGGACGGAAGCACGGCGTCGTTAATTGCCAGGACCCTGGGCGCCGACGAGGCCCGATTTTCTGCCAAGGTCGTAAGCGTGCGCTTTGGCTTCTGCCAAATAGGGCATGGCTAAACAGAGAACCCTCAGGGGCGCATCTCAGGGCTCCTTCCCCAATTTTGGCAGTCTCGCAGACGGCCATGCAGCCACGTTGTGTACATGTACTGTTGCGTACGGCGCAACGAGGACAGGTCAAAAACACTGCACGATAGTTCGAACTGATTTACAAATCACTGCATTCGTACATACAACATGCTGAGTGTCCACAGCCGCGCAATATCAAATTTTAGGGACCTCTGACAATGTCCAGTTTGCTCCAGAAGCGAGTCCGCAAGTAATCACGGCTAGCCAGCATTTCCGGTACATCCCTTGTCTTGGGGTCTGAGCGGCTACTATTTCAGCAAAATGCAAAACACGACTCGAGACGATTCTGTCACATCCAACCTCCTGCGCCGCGACGCCCAGGTCTATCCCCCCAGCAACTTCGCTGGGAAGGCCGCATATGGGCAGAGGACTGCTTAATCGGACAAGCGCTACCCCGAACCCTGGCGCCAACCCCCGTCCAGAGTTGTTTCGTCATCCCCTCCTGAGAGCCATGGATGGGCCAGACCCATGGCTTGGACGTGCCCTTGGGTCTTCATGCTCGATTTAAGCAATGGGTTCCCTCCAGGAACCCTCTCAAGAAGTCTTGTTTCCCCTTCATATCTCTATTTCGCCCGTGTTCGTGTGTTCGTGTTGTATCCGCTCATTTGGTTTCTTTCGCTTCATCCTTCTAAGACGTCTTCACTTCTCACGAGCAGGCACTCGCCAAAGGCATCCAGAGCATTCAAGCAACAGGCATTTCAATAGTTGGATTCTCTACAGCATTTCCCGGTCAACACTCCTACCCCGATAACCGATAACCGTTCGACAAGATGAAGGTTACCGCCGCTCTATCGCTGTGCATGGCACCTCTAGCGTTGGCAAAGTCCGTCAACAATGCCTATCCTCAAAAACGGGATCAGAGCTCTCCTCGGGAGCTTTCGACCAAGGAGTCGCGGGCTCTCCCGATTGTCGGTGCGAACTCGGTGATTGGCAACCCCAGCGACATCTTCAACGCTGGCTTCAGAGGATTTGGTCTCCAGCAAAACGCCGTCTCCGAGGTTATCATTGTCTGGTTTAACCCTGGCGGTGGTTCCGCAACGACCATCGTCAACACGGTGACCGAAACCGTCGTTGCTGGCGGTGCTGCCAACACTGGCCTTGTAACCCCACCAGGCAATAACAACGGCAACAACAACGGCAACGGAGCCTCCCTTACCGTCCCCTCTGGCGCGACCGGCACTGTTGGAGGCACTGGAGCCACCCACACTGTCACCGTTGGCGGCCCGGCAGCTGGTCTCAATTTCTCGCCCTCTCAGATCTCGGCCAACATTGGAGATATGGTCATCTTCACCTTCCTGAGCGCCAACCACACCGCCACTCAATCCGCCTTCGACACTCCTTGCCAGCCCTTGGCGGGAGGTATGGACTCTAGCTTCCAGCCCAACCCCAACAACAGCGTCAACCCGCCTCCGCAGGTTGCCATGCAGGTTATGGTTTCCACACCCCTCTGTAAGCTTCCCCCGCCCTGAAAATACTTGCCCCAGTTGAGCAGTGACTAATTCCATAATCAGGGTTCTTCTGCAAGCAGGGCGGTCACTGTGGCAAGGGCATGACCTTCTCCATCAACCCCACCGCTGAGAAGACGCAAGCACTGTTCCAGTCCATGGCCATTGCCCAGAACGGCCAGGGCAGCGGAGGCGCCATCACCGGCAACGGAGGCGGTGCCGCCGCTCCTCCTCCTCCTCCTCCTCCTCCTCCGGCTGGTGGCAACGGTGCCGTTGCCGGCGAGGGTGCTGCTGTCACGGGCACCGTCGGCAATGGTGCTGCCCCCGCAGTCGGAACCGGTGGCGCTACCAATGGCAACGGCTTCGCTACTGGAACGGGCACCGTCAACCCAGACGGCTCTTGCTCGTGCGCCGTCGTCTGCAATGTCGGTTCCTTCCCCGCTGTCGCACAAGGGAACGGTGCCTTCGGTGGTTTCGCAGGCGCGATACCCGCCACCATGATCGGCGCCGCATAAGTGATTCCGTCTTTTGTTGCTGGGGGCGAGAGGGTTGTGTTTCTTGGCAGGCGGGTACTTTTCGGGGAAAGAATACCATTTTTTGTAGATTTACCACTTTGTTGCCATATGCTTGGATGATTTGCTTGGGAGGGCTAGGCTCTGCCCATCTCCGGCTTCAAGGCACATATATGACTGGTTCGTATTCTGGATGCAATCTTAATAGGACATGAATAAAGCACCCGAGGCCTTGTACGGGTCTTTTTCTTTTCTTGGGAGATAACTAGCCGCCGAGAACGACATTGAAAATCTATAGAGTTTCTCCAGTCGCTAGTGACCCCGTGAGACTGGCCCTGCGCCGAGGAAACGTATTGGGCTGTCGTCTTAGGTCAAGAGAGGTATTGGCGCTGACAGGTGCGATGATTACACTCGAGAAAGAACCCCCCCGGAGAGCCAGTCACGAGCACAGGATGCACAGTCTGTATGGATATCTAGATATATTGCGTTGCAATTGGCCGTCTCTCGGAACAGCCGTCCTAAACGCGACGGAGAAAACCCAGCCCGTCGTCCGACCCCAACTCCCCGAACAGAACGCGGTCGTGATATTCGTTACTCAGTCAACCTCGGAGAGGAAGCTGCATACATTATTCGGTTTCCCGGTGCTGTCAACCCGTCCCCCTCACTTCTTCCCGTTAGCCTCGGCGGCCTTCTTGGCGTCGGCTGTCAAAGTTGGTCAGTCTCCTGTTTATGGAACGCGAGAAACCCCATGCCAGGCGTTCGGCGGGTGTGTGTTTGTGTGGTGTGACTCGTACCAGCTGCTTGCTTCTCCCTCATCTTGGCAGCCGCGAGCTCCTTGTCGCGCGCCATCTCGCTTCCGCTCTTGCCGTTTGCCTTTTTCTATTCAATGGTAAGCACGGGTTCTGGGTTAGCATGTCCCTCTTTCGTTTTTCTCCCTCCCTTCCTTGATAAACGTCTCCGCGAGGAATGGCCAATGCCAAAGGTTCGCTCGATTGGCGAGCAAGCGCTCTGCCTGCGCCAAGGTAGCTCTGGTTGGGCGAGAAGGGGTATTGCGGGAATGGCGGTTCCAGGCCCTGCTTACCTGGGTGGCTTGCTTCTTGAGATTCGCCTCGCGGGCCTTATCGCGCTGGTTGCCGCGAGCCATTTTTAGAACGGCGGGTTTTGGGGGTAATTGATTGGGAACAAAGAGAGAGGAAAACAAAGGAAAGCCGGTGGCTTGAGAAAGCGGTATCGTTGGCACCAGTTGCGGAAGTGGACAGCGCGACTGGATTCTTTGGCTGTGGACTCTGGAGGAAGCCGACAAAGAAATTTGTAGGCGGAATCTGGGAGAAAACCCCTGATAATTGTTAAGGGGGTCTCCGAAGCCAATCAAATTCTCAGCTGGAATGGTTAGCTTAAGTGCTGTGGCAGTGACTAATCGCCGGCTGAGGCTTAGAGTCAAACACCGACGGTACGGAGATTCGACAAACTACCTTACCTAGACAAGTCACGAATGCGGCCTGTCGACCGGATTCGTTGGATGACAGGGTCGGTGTCACGAACGTCAGGTGGGGTGGTTTCCATGGCACCTGAGACCCTACGTATTTCAGGACAGCCATGGAAACCACCTGGGCGCTTGACGTCAAAGTTGCGCTTAATCGGCGACTCAGCATCCACACCGTCTCTGCTCTCGGATTCTAATGCTATTGGCATTGGGAAGCGCAAATGATCAGCTTGGTTACAGGGCAGTCCCTGCCTAGAATCAAATCGCACAAACACCACGACGCCTTCACAGTCTTTGCGTTCCTGGTACGAGAAAATGGATCACTCAAAATTCCAGGGACGGGCCATCAACCAGGTCAACGCCTAGGTTGACACACGATGGAATATAGATTAGGTCGGCCTCAAGGGCTGTTCCTAGCCCGGTTTGGATTCTGGAGATCACCTTGGAGCTATCATGATATTAACCGCATGACTTCTAGGCCGTCGGCCTCGCCAGGTAAGATAGGTGTGTACAGTACAATCCCCGGAAATCCAACCGGCCGCTCAGAGTGCCTTCACAGGCGGCAGGGCGTGCCGCTCCACTGAGCTGGGTTCCGAACCGGACGCAGGCATGATTCTGATGCATTGGTGGTGTGGTGGTGAAAGCCACCCAAATCGCCCGGAATGGGCAGTTTCGCATCATTTGAGAAGCTTGAGGCACGGAGGTAGCGAACGAAGATATTGGTGCATGTTCTGTGGGTACCTGACGGCGGCACGCGGGAGGGGCTGAGGCTAAATCCAGCTGAAACCGTTGTCGTCAGCCGCTAGCCAATGGAAGCTGCGAGGAAGTTGAGACTCTGTGCAGCCCGCAGGAACCAATTCCCGTCCATCAATGGATTGTCTGGGCTTCCCACCTGCTAAATGCTTCTTGTCGCTACCCAAGGAAGCCACATCAGAGTCATTGGACGAAAAGGATCGGCAGCTCTCTTCATGCGCGCCCTGGGGAATCAGCGACACTGCCTGGGTTCCTGGGCTCCGCTAGACTTCTGGATCGCCACACGCCAGTTCTTTTGCCAGCGGGGGATCGTCGTCAGAAGCCGAATCGAAGGAAGCCAAACGGGTCGACATCCATGCCCAGCGCATCGCGCCAGATGCTCTGAATGTACTGTACCTTGTCCATGACCCCATTCCGTCTGCCGACCTGCTCCCTTCCTCAATCACCATCAGGGACACGCGGTCTTGAAACCGCCAGTCACAGTCGACCTGAACAAACTGGTTCTGGACCCTCCTTCTCCGTAGCATGAGACAACCAGGGCGTCTAGCAAACCATTGGCCAACGGCTCCTCGAAACATTCGCTCAATGCAGGAATCTGTGAAAGAGGTGCCGAGCGAGTTTCCTTTGTCCCTCAGCTAATTAGTTAGCTCCCGCCAGTCCCTATTGAGATATTGTGCCCAGTCCCGGACAATGAGTCCTCTCCCCATTGTTCTATAATAAGACGTCCTCGCCCTCCACCCCATCGTGAACTCCCATTGTCTTTGACAAGGTCGCTATTGTTCGGCGTACAATGCCATCGAGTCCATAATTCACTTTTCTTTCCTTTGCGTTGTATAACTTCTACCATACCCCTTACCAGACACTGGACTGTCAACCTTTCATATTCTCTCGATCTAATATTGATCTCTCTCTTCAACACCTTCCTTCCAGCAAGATATCTGCAGGTCAGACTAGCAAGCCACCACCAAACCCAACATATATTTCATTCCAGAGTCCCTGCCGGCATCAGATCACCAGGAACCCGTAAGTATAAGGAGCTGCTCTAGCCCGGGTAGTACCATTATGACTGACAAGGATATTAGTACCAGTCACCAATACCCACATTACCTTCTTCAGCAAACTAAAAATGTTCAACCTGGGAGCAAAACCCGGTGTTCGGGGATTCGGGCATATCTTCCTCCAGGTTCTCCGCCTCCTCACCATCATTACCCTGCTCACAACCATGGCATCGAACTGGGCCATGATCATCGTGTCTGGGTTGGAGGATCGCTTCGCCTTCTTCGACACCGTGTCGCACATTTTCGCGTCCACCATCGCGCTCTGCCTAATCATCTCCGAGCTCGACATGATTGGCATACTCAAGCGATACTTTGAGAGAAACTGGCCGGTCTTGAGCCCCACCCATTCGCTGGCCTGGCTCGGTCTGGCCATGGTCATGCTCGGCTGCCAGCTCATCAGTGACCAGGGCAAGGAAGCCTACAGCAAGAAGATTTTCGGCATGCCTTTGTGGCGCCTCGTCCTCTCCTCCGGTATCCTGGCCATCACGTTTGGCTTCAGCAACATCCTGTCCTCCCTTATCTTCCGGGACGGCAAGGGTGGTATAACCGCTCGCCAGATCCGGAGCGACGGCAACCTGGCGCAGCCCACGTCGGCAAAAGACGACATCTACGAGGAATACTCGCAGAGAAGCGCCTCGGTTCGCCAGAAGGAAAACATTTCTGCGGCCCGCCGGGTGACCAGGATGCTCAACGTCAAGAACTTCCGGAGGTCCAAGATCCAAATCAGCAAACCCATCATGCACCCGACTGATGCCGACCTCGAGCACGGAGACAGCGGCCGGGACGACCGCGCCAGCCCCATCATGCCGAACGTCCAGCGACCCCCGACGGTGATGCACCCTGCCTATACCGGTGGCAGCCGATATAGCGAAGCACACATGTCTCGCTTCTGATGCGATGCCTGGCACTGTTTTTTATTATTAGAAGGAGTTGGGGATTGGCGTTAACGGATATGGATATACCCTACAAAATTAGTAGTCACTTCTGAGTTCTCGTAAAGGCTTGAACGAAAATACATTCATTCATACAAGAACAGAAATTAGCGACGGCCGTGATTGGTGTACATACGGATTACCTAAGTATCCAAATGAAAGTCACGTGGATATTGCTTGCTTATGTAATGTTCTCCCTGGTCTTGTTTTCTGCCACCAGCACCCTGAATGCTCTGGTCTTGGTTAACCAATTCTGCCCACCCAAATCAACGACATCAAATACTTCAACTCCGGCGACACTTCCATTCGACGACCTCATTGAGATAATATCTGACGCCTGTTTTATGCCCCGTAAAGTGGAGAGGTATCGCTGAGGGTGCGGCCGTACCATCTATCTCGACAAGCCACCGCGACCTCCCAACGCGACGTCACCCAACAGTCACCTTGCTCGGTTTCCATTCCTCATCTCTCACTCACCTGCTCGTCATTTCTGGCCGCCCTAAGGACATATTAGACAAGTCAGGTCAGGGGCGGATAGTTGTGAACAATCTTCGCCCCGGATGGTGTCGAGCTCGTGAGAGATCGATACAACCTGGAGGGCTAGGCTGTGGAGGGGTAAACGGCGTACAGGACATTGTCTGGCATTGCTCCGAGGAAGAACAAAACCTTCTCCACCCGTCCTCCATATGGGAGAGAGTAGTTGCCGGGGGTCTCCTTTGTGCAGTGGGGTATTTGGGCGGTTCCGTTTGTCTCATCTTAGTGCAGCCTCATCCAGGATCCCCTCGCAACCGCTCGCTGGATAGCTTGTTGCTCAAACCCTGAAAACTTGACATCCTCGCCTGCTCTGATAGCCTGCCCATCATGTCTTACGGCGAGAATTCTGCCGAGGTGGCAGAGGACTATCGTCATGCCTTGGAGGACTTGACCATGAACTCTCGATATGAGATTACGAACTTGACTGTCGTTGCCCGCGAGAACACGGAGCACGCCCTTGCTATTTCGGAGGCCCTACAGGACCATATCAAAAAGGTGATTCAGCATCTCCCGCATGCCAAGCGATGCGTCCTGTCCTGGCGTTGTTGCTTTGCATTCGAGTCTCTAGTCTTGACTCGGCTTCCGCCAACCGAATAGCACTGCTAACTTTTGCCCAGGTTGCGCCTCAGAGAAAGCTGCCGGCCTTGTACGTCCTCGACTCCATAGTCAAGAATGTGGGGACTCCGTACACCCTGTTCTTTGGTCGGAAGCTCTATCAGACGTTCATGGATGCCTACGCGTCGGTCGACAATGTGACCCGGCGCAAAATGGATGAGATGCTGAAGACGTGGAAGGAGCCAGTGCCCGGCTCTATCGACACCAGGCCGGTGTTTCCGCCGGACGTTGTACGGCCCATCGAAAACGCGCTGATCAAGGCGCGGACGACAGCCCTTCAAGCTCAGCAGGAAAGCCTGCGAGGCCAGCAACAGCTTCTCAGCAGAGGACGCGTGGCCATGCCGTACAGAGAGACGCCAACTCCGCCGGACCCTCGGTCAGGTCCCCAGCAGGCAGGGCCCTATGGCCATCCTCCTTTCCCAGGAATGAACGGAACCCCACTAGGAAATCCCGCCGCCATCCAACAAGGCTATCCCATCCCCCCCAATAATGTATGTTGCATATCTCTCCTCCCGGAAAAACCGGTGTAGTGGCTAACAGAGCATCCAGGTGCCCCAACCCTCTCGTTCGACTCCACAACCGGTGTCATCGCTGGTCTCGGCGCCCCCTGCCTACCCACAGACTTCAACGCCGGAAGTCTACGGTACTCCGCAACCAGGAATAAGCATAGACAAGTTGAATGATGACATCCAGCAGCTGATCGTTGCGACCAAGGCTCAGTTTGCACAAGCACCTCTTGAAGCTAGTATACAAACAAGACTGAGGGCATTGCTGGACTTGCAGAGTCTTCTCCAGCGTTCAAACTTGAATCAGGACCAGTTAGTGCTTATTAAAACTCAAGTCTCTGAACTTGCCGTAAACATCAGGGTGCCTAATACCCAAGCGCCGGCACTCACCCCTACATCCATAGCACCAGTAGCAGTAGCTCCGCCCCCGCCAGTATCGGCGCCGCCGGCGCCTGTGTCCTTAGACTCTCTCTTCGGGCAGGGGGCGCTGGCTACTCTTCTGGCTGGCGCAAAGAAGCCTGCGACTCCGCAGCAGTTCTCGACGCCACAACCGACCCAGACACCACCCCCGGCAACTCTAGGCGCCGCCATAAGGTCGCCCGCCCAGCAGCCGGCCAAGCCTGCAGCTGCCGTCCCGGCAGACCCGATGGCGTTGATGGCGATGCTGAGGCAGTCCGGCCTGCTGCCTCCGCCGCCTCCAGGGACGTCCGCGAACGCGCCACCACCACCACCACCGGGCTCCTTCCCCCAAGGCCTCTCGGGTTTATTGTCTTCCGCCAAGGGCGCTCCAGTTCGGCAACCGGGAGATGAGCACAGCGGAGATATTCAGCTAACGGCATCATCGCTCAAGCAGTAAGTATCACGAATCTACAACCATGCGGTTGGCTGTCACATGGGAGACTCGCTGGCTAACGCGCGGGATAGGTTTCGCCCACATCTGATCCCGCTAATCTACGAGGACCTCGGCCCGCCATGTACTCAGTGCGGCAGGCGGTTCAGGACAGACGAGGAGGGGCGCAGGAAAAAGACGGCCCACATGGACTGGCATTTCCGAGTCCACCAGCTCATCGCCGAGGCGGAGAAGAGGGGCCAGCACCGGAGCTGGTACGTTGACGACAAGGTAAGACTAGAGGCATACACATACTCTCACCCACCCCCGTTGTTTTCCCCTCAACGAATATTTTCTGACAGGCACGTCTTTCAGGAATGGGTCAAGTCGCGCGAGGCCATCGACACGGAATTCGTGTCAGCCCAGGCGGACGACGACGCCGGGGGGGCGGCGGGCAGCGGCGGTGGCGGGGCGGCGACCAAGGGCCCCAAGCTGCAGTACATGGCGGTACCAGACGACCCGCAGACCAACAGCGTGTGCCCGATCTGCCAGGAGAAGTTCGAGATGAAGTGGCTGGACGAGGCGCAGGAGTGGGTGTGGATGGACGCCGTCAAGGTGGGGCCGCGCGTCTACCACGCCAGCTGCCACTCCGAGGCGACCAGGGACCGAGAGAACACGCCCGAGTCGGTGCTGGGCAAGCGGAAGGCTGAGGTGAGTCCTGGCTACTGAACGGGGGGGGAGGGGCTGGTGGGGATGATGGTTTGGAATTGAGCTGACTGGGGTGTAAGCAGGGTGATCACACGCCGGGACGAGGAAAACTGAAGGTGGAGAGTTACTGAATCGTCGGGTGCGGCAGCTTCTTTCGGATGATGACCTGTAAGGCATTTGTGGGGAGGGGTGATGACAATCGTTCCGACCGCGGAGTTCTTGAGGGGGCCTAAGGAGGTGGTCTTGGGAGAATAGCTCCTCTTCGCATTACGGACGTCGCCCTGCTTAGTTAGGTCGGGTCGCGGATTGAAAAACGCAGTATCTCGCATAAGAGTAGACACATCGTTCTAGTCAGCATGGCAGCTTAAAGAGCGTTGAAACCAGAAAATGACCCTCAATCCGATTAGACACCGCTGCAGTGACAGATCCCGTCGGGATATACAATAACTCGACAGTGCCATACAGTAATAAGGCGCTCTTCTGTCATACAGACATGAAGTTCTTCATTACCCACGAGCCCCAGACGAGATCCACTCTTCAAACGCCGCCAAACACTTGTCAAAAACCGCCCTGCCCGCCTCCGTCCGCCGCCACACAGCGACCCTCTCGACGCCGCCCAGGTCCTCAGCCATGTGCTCCACGCTCGTCGTCCCGTCCAGCACCGCCACGTCCAGCGCGAGCACGAGCGCGTACAGCGCCGCCGCGGTGCTCACCCCGCCACCGGCCCCGCGAGCCACCGCCGCGACGAACTCGGCCGGACCCGGACCCGGACCGCCGGCCGCAACCCCCCCTTCCTGCCAGAGCTCCCGGTTCGCCGTGAGGATCCAGAAAGCCTGGTACGTGGCGGCGCCGCCGGCGCTGCGCCGGCAGAAGGCCCGCACCCGCTCGTCCCAGCGGCCCTGTCGCCTGTGGAAGCGGTTCTGGACGACGGACGGGAGGGGCAGCAGGGGTGGTGGTGGTGGCTGCCCGGGAGGGGCGGGCGGCCACAGCTCCTCGAGGATGGCGGCGTCGACGTTGCTGATGCCCAGGGAGCGGATGGTGTGCGGGACCAGGGGCTGCAGGGCGAGCCAGGCGGCGCGGGTGGCGGCGGCGGTGCGGAGCGGGGAGTGCAGGACTAGGCTGTCGAGGTAGGGCGGGTCCGGGCTGCCCGGGATGGTGGCGAGATTGCGGAGCGACGAGGAGACCGAGTCGCGGATCTGGGTGGCTAGTGGGGAGGTGGGATCGTAGGGGACTTGGCTGTCGGCGGCGGTCTGGGGGTCCTCGACTGGGGTGAATTTTGTTTGGATCTGTGAGGCAAAGGGGGAGGTGAGTGACGTGCGAGTTAGGTCAAAAGTAACGAAATATCGTAAATATGGTTCGTGACGTTCAATGGCCATCTCTCTTGCCTCAGGGGGGAGTTTCTCTCACCCCCTTTACCTCCTCTTTTCAGACGCCAGAACCAGGACGAAGGAGATTCAAGCAGTGTCAGGGGCATGGGGCCGTGAGAGAGACCATGACCAGGGGAGAACTGACGTAGATATCCTGACGCCTCACTATGCCCTCCCCGATTGCCCTCCGTATACCTTCGCCAGCCAAGTCTTCTCGGTAATGTTTGCCCATGGCGGCGGTGTCGATGCCTCGGAAGCCAGATTTGATAGCTAGATAGACGAGCTCGGCGGTTCTCTCCTTCTTCCAGGCTGTGCCATACATCATCCGGGGCATCTGCAGACCCGTCTCGTGGCCATCCTGACCGACTGGTGGACCTGAGGTCATAGCCGGATGGAAGAGGCTTTCCTGCTCGACGAGTCGTCTATGTGTATAGTCTCAGTTGCTGGACTCTCAGAATACCAAGGCAAGCATAGTCTAGGAAATAACAACCGCCGGGGACTGAGAGGCCGAAACCTAACACCGGAATCAAGCCGGTCTGGACTCTCGGAGGTCGCAAGCGTGGGTCTGCCGGGCCGGTGATATCTGTCTCCCGAACTGCGCCGCACTTGCAGCTAGCCGTCGTGCCTCTCCGATCCGACCTCGAAAGGGGATGTAGTCCCTGGTACCTAACACCGCTGCAGGGGTGGTTCACGGATTTGATATCGATATCAGCGCTGGTGATCAATATTACGACGGCTCCGACTGTTCTAGGTCCAAATCAAAGTGCCCGGAGCCGGAGGTTGCGGGGCTCAAAGAGGTATGACGTTGGGTCCTGTCCCCCACCAGCGGGCTATCGAGAGCAGTATCGACCAATTACTAGTCCTCAAACTGTACGATGTATGTTTTAAGCAATTTATCCAGGAATTGGGATTGGTAAGCTGTAGGAATAGTCCCAAAAAAAAAAAAGACGGGTAAACTGGACTCGAAATTATTACGTATATGTTTCCCCTTTCTGAGGGAGGGGTTGAGGGGTTATAAGATAGCTCGTAAGGAGAAGACGTCCACACATCGCACATTTAAAGGTGATCTGTAAACCAGAACCATATATATCTGATCCAAGGACAGATTCAATTTAGACCTTGACATCTATTGATTGATCCTCCCATCCAAGGTTAACTCTCTAACCTCCGCGCAATATGGCAACCTCCACCCCCTACACCCTGAGGTGGGGCATCATGGCGACAGGATGGATCGCCGAGAGTAAGTCGTCTGGAAGCTCTTAGCAATCAGCGTCGCGGAATCGGAGGCTCATATCGTCGTACAGTGTTCGTCAAGGATCTCCTCACAAACCCGGCCGCGCGTGATGTTCACGACGTGCGCCACCAGCTGTATGCCGTGGGGTCGTCAAGCAACCCGCAGAGGGCCGTCGACTTTCTCACCAAGGTCAAGGCACCAAGTGGGGTGAAGACTTACGGATCGTACGCGGAGCTTGTGGCTGATCCAGATGTCGACATCGTCTATGTGGCGACCCCCCACAGCCACCACTTCCAGAACGCCATGCTCGCACTGCAAGCGGGCAAGAATGTGCTCTGCGAGAAGGCCCTGACCGTGACTGTTTCCCAGGCCCGTAAGCTGGTCGAGGTCGCCAAGGCCAAGAACCTCTTCTTCATGGAGGCCGTATGGACTAGATACTTCCCGCTGAGCATCAAGGTGAGGGAGTTGATTCAGTCGGGCGCTGTCGGTACTGTTTATCGAGTCATTGGTATGTAATAAACAAGCCACGGCTCTGGGCAGTCTGCAATCTTGCTAACCGTTGATGTCCAATAAAGCCGACTTGTCGTTCAACAGGAACTTGCCTAACGGGAAGGTGGACTTTGACGATTCTCATCGGATGGTCAACATGGACCTGGCAGGCGGCGCGTTGCTGGATCTTGGAATCTACTCGTTGACCTGGCTGTTCCAGACCCTCTACCATGTCCAGCCCGAGGAGGACAAGGAGACCCCCAACGTCGTGGCTGCCATCAACAAGTACCACACCGGCGCCGACGAGTCAACGAGCATCATCCTGCAGTTCCCCAAGCACAAGAGCATGGGCATCGCCCTGACCTCGCTGCGGGTGGGCACGGATGTGGATGGCCTGAACAGCGGAGGGCCCGCGATCAGGATCCAGGGCTCCGGTGGCGAGATCCAGGTCATGGGCCCCGCGTACAGGCCGCTGCAGTACAAGGTCATCAAGAAGGATGGCGGCGGCAAGGTCGAGGTCGTGGACTGCCCCATCCCCACGGACCCGGAGCGGGACTGGGGCCACGGCTTTTTCTGGGAGGCCGACGAGTGTGCGAGGTGTCTGCGGGACGGCAAGGTTCAGAGCGACACGCTGCCGTGGAGCGAGAGCATAGCCATCATGGAGGTGATGGAGTCGACGCTGAAGCAGGGAGGCGTAACCTACTCGGACCTCATCACCAACGACGTCTATGATGCCCAGAGCCCCCTCAACCTGGGCAAGAAATAGGAGAGCGTTGGCAAGGATGTGGCTCGGGTAGACTAATAGACGTCATTTTAAAAGTAAACGAGACTCAACAACCTTGTGAGCCCTTTCGGCCTGATTTGGGAAGCACTTTTGCGTTGAAGTAGCGTTAGAAGTTGTGCTGAACTAATTAATGCTGGAGCAGCTATGCTATGTAAGGGCTGATTTACTGTGTAATTCTTGAAATTCTTCCTTTCCGCGGGTTCCTTCAGAGATAGAAATTGCAACTAAGCCAACAAATCCTACGGGGCATGACTCTATATTTGCCTTTCCGATAAAGAGAAAAATAACAGAAGAGTGTAACCGTTGACTTGGTCAGACTCGAGTTCAGCAGCGTTTTGGCGGGCGCAACGCTCTCAAGCCCCGCCAGTTCTTCATGAGGGAAAAAGAGGGGACAAAAGTTAGACAAACACCATCGCCAACCCAACCCTGAAAGAAAAAAAGGTTCAAACGGCCTACCGCAAACATATCTAGTTATCACACACACATAACGTTGCATAACCTATCATAAACACCGCTAGTTGCCGTTATAGGCCCAAGTCCGCCCTTTCATCCTGCCTAATCCGTGGCCGAAAGAAAAAAAGGCAAAGGAAATAAGAACGGTGAAGGGGCAAAGGGGCATGACACCCTCACAGCCCGCATCCGAAACGGCGGTCAGGGAGCTCTCGAGGCCGCAGCCTAATGGGGGCCGAAGCCCAGCCGGGCCTGCAGACGCACCACTCTCAGTTGCATGCACCACTACCACCACCACCACCACCACCGCTGAGGTCGGGCGCACCAGCAGGGGCTCGGCACACCCCCATGCAGCAGCAGCAGCAGCAGCATCAGCAGCAGCAGCAGCAGCAGCATCAGCAGCAGCAGCAGCAGCAGCAGCAGCAGCACCCGACCTGCCCGTCACAAACACCGTCGCCGCCGGGCCGAGACCATCGCACATGGCCGACGTGCCACCAGGCAGGAAGGATGACGACGGAAGCCTTGGACCACCACCACCACCACCACCAGCAAACCAACCAATGGACCAACATCATCAACAACAACAAGAACCAGACGCATCATCCGCAGCCGAGGCCTACGAGCGCGAGCACGTACACGGCGTCTACGAGGCCATCGCGCCGCACTTCTCGGCCACGCGCCACAAGCCCTGGCCGCTGGTGACCGAGTTCCTGCGCTCGCAGGCGCCCGGGTCCGTGGGTCTCGACGTCGGCTGCGGCAACGGCAAGTACCTGACCGCCGTCTGCGGCGGCGATGGTGGTGGTGGTGGTGGTGCGGGGGAATTCTTCATGGTTGGCTCCGACCGCAGCGCCGCGCTGGTGGGGCTGGCTCGGGGGCGGGGAAGGGAGCTGTCGGGGGATGGATCGGGGAGCAGGAGCATGGCGGTGGCGCCCGAGGTTCTCGTCGCGGATGGGCTGGCGCTGCCGTTTCGGGAGGGGGCGGCCGACTTTGCCATCTGCGTGGCTGTCATCCACCACCTGTCGACGAGGGAGAGGAGGCAGGACGGGGTGCGGCAGCTGCTGAGGTGCGTCAGGCCCCGGAGCGGCGGCGGCGGCGGCGGCGGCAGGGTGCTCGTCTACGTCTGGGCCCTGGAGCAGGCCTCCAGCCGCAGGGGGTGGGACGAGGGCGGCGAGCAGGACCTGCTGGTGCCGTGGGTCATGAAGAAGAACGACCCTCGGAGGGGCGCAGCCGGCGGCGGCAAACCCCTCCGGGAGGGGTCCGCGGCCGTGGTAGACGATGACCAGCCCGCCGACCAGACATTCCAGCGGTATTACCATCTGTACCGGAAAGGCGAGCTCGAGGAAGACGTCCGAGCTGTTGGCGGCGAAGTCCTCTCTAGTGGGTACGAGAGGGACAACTGGTGGGTGATAGCTGCGAATGGTACATCGTGAGGATAGCTGGACTACCTCGTGGTCTTTAGTTGAGGGATATCAAACCAGTATGCTTTGTGTGTGTGTGTGTGTGTGTGTGTGTGTGTGTGCAGTATGCGCGTTTCGAAGCTCGACTTGGTCTAAGTTGGCTCTATCGTGACAAACATAATAAAGCAACGCTAAACGGCTCGACAAGATTGCCCTTTCCACTCACTCCAAGCCGTTTTCACAGTCCCTTAACTTGCAGCCTTCCCATCAATGAACTTTTCGAGCTTTCCTTCTAACTCCTGGCCTTTTTTCTCTCCTTCTTTTCTCTCTCCCTCTTTTTATTTATTTCCGGCTCTCCGTTGGCGCCGTGCTGATTTACCCCAAAAGACACGATAGAAGACAATATAGCAAGTTGTTGCAATACTTCCACCGCCCCCCGTCTCCAGATCGCCAGCCTCAACAATAACACCAGGTCCCACCCATGTTGGAACAAGCATAAAGCAGCAGTGAGTTAACAAACCGTAATTCTCGTACCATCGCCTAATGCATATGCCGCTTCGATATTAAGAGAACCACTAGTACGTATAGGCATTTGGGTATTTGTGTCATTTGTCCCCCCCCCGCGCCCCCCCTTTACCCCGAGCTCCGATGCATCATGCATTTGCGTCGTCGTCGTGAGGAACCTTTTATCAGATGATGATGATCAAAAAAGACGATTAAAAATGTAGACAGAATAGAAAATAAGGGAGGAAATTCAATGCTTGCTCCGTGATGACCGGCTTCCCCAGTCAAAGGGGAAACAAAAAGAGAAACAAGTGAAGCACCATCATGTTGTGGTTATTTTGGAAAACCGCCACCTCGACTCTTGGAATCAGTTTTCCCTAGCACGGCTGGTCATTCGCGTCTTGTGTCCCCTGACAATTGATGTTTTGTCACGTCGAACGCCGTGATCCCGAGGGGCCGCCTCCGTCCAGTCGCGGGTCGAGATGTCGGCGGCGGCTCGCCTCTCGAGGAGGGATCTCCGGGCTGGCCGGTCGTTTCGCCCCGACGGGCTCGAGTGGTGGATAGGAGTAGAGCGAGGGCAGCGGAGGTCCGGGACTGGCAGTTCCACTGTGAACTGGGCTCGCGCTGGCGACGCCGGCCGAGTAGGCAGGCGTGCTGTATGGGCTCACTCCCGTGGTGAGCTCGGCGACGCTGGGCAGCAACCCCCCGCGACCTTGTGCGGCGGTGTGAATCGGCGCCAGCCCGAACCCCGGATGGCCGTAGCCGGTGCCTTCGTGTGGGTCCGACTGTCCCAAGTGTCTCGGAGGCAAGCTCTCGTGCCGGGCGGCTAAACCCCGTCCCGCTGGCAGGGGTGGAGGGATTGACACGGGAACAGGGGTGTGGGCGGTGCCGAGACCCGGACCCCTGTTGTACCGCGGGGACGGAATTCCCGAAATCTCACGCGGCATGCTGCCCTGCGAATGCGAGTGCGCGTGCCCTCTCGAGGGTGATGCTCGATGATGGACTTGTGGCGGCATGTCTCCGCCCCCAGCCGCTAGAGAGAAGGGAACCACACCCGCACGCCGCGCCATCTCGGATTCGCCGAGCTGCCAGTGCATGGCTTCCGCGGCTCGCCATGGTACCTGCATTTCTTCGGCTACCTTGGCCCACATTTCCGGTTTGAACCTAAGCACGGACGAGTCAGCCAAAAGCCCTTGGGAGTAATTTAAACAGGCTGCCCCTATTCTACGACAGACGTCGACCTGTCCCTGGGGAAATAACAGCATGGATTGTTAGGGTCTTTTTTACCTTTCGTACAGCCGCGCAAGCTTGTTCTTGCGCTCTTCGTCCCACTCGCTCCGCCTCTCGAGATAGTTCTGGTAATGAAGCCGGCAACTGATCGGGCTCCGGCCTGGGAGGCGCTTCGAGATATCGTCCCACTTCATCCCGCTGCCTCGGAGCTCTATGATCAGCGAGTCTTCCTCGGCTGACCATTTGCTTTGCTTCTTGGCTGGCGAATCGGAGCTGTGCGGCGGCATAGTACGCCTCGCGCCGGGAAAGGCCCCTACGCCGACACTCTGGAAACCCGGCAAACCCGGCAGGGCGGCGTAGACTGATGGTCGGACCGCGGGGCCCGCTGACGTTGCCGTGGTGGTCGGAATGGACGGTGATGACGTGCGCTGGGTAGCAGACGCGGAGGACTCATTTGAGTCAGAGGCCTTGAGAAGCGAGGCGATATCCACGGTGACGGTGTCTCGCCGGCTTTGCGTAGAAGGGTGTTGATATCATGAGCGCATGCCACACGCGCCTAGTCCTCTTTTCTGGTCCTTTCTTTATTTCCTTTTTCCCCTTCACTCGTGTCTCTGCTCCCTTTGGGTTCGCCTTCTGCCGTGGCCGACGTCTCTTGAGAGTTTTGGCGGACGTCCGAGGTCAAACTTTTGTGACCTCTCGGGAGTTTTTAAGTTCGAGAAGCTGTCTTGACGTGCCGGCCTTCTCTTAAGTCCCTTCAGCTGTACCTCCGGGACCCAGGTTTGCTCCCAACAAGCCCTCGAGCGGCTGGATCAGAACAGGTTGCTCAAGAAAGAGAATGAGCGAGACAGGAAGCCGTTGTTGCAGCACGAGACCTAGAGGTTGCGTGGCCCTGGTACAAGGTGTACGGAGCTCGGGAATTCTGAACGATGGGTGAAGACGGATCCAAAGACAGAGGAAGGCGTATTCAAGGACAGAGGAAGGCGCATTCAAGGACAGAAGAAGGCGTGTCCAAGGGCAGATGGATGGCGTTCGGGTGGCCGGTTAAAGAGAGTAGAGAGTAGAGAAGAGATATAGAGAAGAAGAGAGAGAGAAGGAGTAAGCAGAATCTGGCGACGCTGAACAAAAGACTGCTCAGATTCAAGAAGGCGTGGCTCGCGTGTTGAATGCAGGTATCAACATGATTGGTGCCTCTGAAGCACTCGCCCACCAATGAACGGAGATGAGACGAGTTGATAAGGTAGAGAATGGAGCGCCGGCGGGTGAATACGTCAGTCAAACTAGTTTGCTCTGGATCTGGACAGGAGAAGAGAAGGGCTTTTCCATAGTCATCTTCTCCTGCGGCAAGCGGGAAGAGAGAAGAGGCAACGGACAGGGAACAGGGACGGACAGGGTCGGGAAGATGCGCAGGTGCAGATTGATAATAGAATGCAGAAGGGAAATAAAAAGCTTGAAGTACAAGGACGGTCAGAGGAGGCAGTTGAGGTTGGTGGGGGACAGGAACCGGGGTCCAGGGAGCAGAGGGAGCATATACCAGGATGGGACCGGGCCTTAAGAATGGGATACTAAGAACAATGACGGCCGTCGCTACTGGGCCATACAAGAGAAGAAAGACTTGCCAGAGACAAGGGGGGGGGAGGCCCAGGGAGGGGGGGGTGAGAGAGGAATGGTGTGCAGAAGCAAAATGTGGAGTCGGGAAACAGCATGGCATACCGAGTGTATGCAAATGGGACTTAAGTAGTATTTCCCATGATCCATGCTTGCCCACGCTATCAGAAAGAGGAAAAGCGACCAGGTATGTACCTACATTGACACAGGCACACATGGCCTTTCTCCCTTTTGGAAGAAGATTGCAGATTCAGTGCTGGGGCCCAAAGCGGATTTGGCAGCCCAGGGTCGTACTCGAGCCACTCGAGCCCCAGAGAACTAATGAACGGGGGAAGGAAAAAAGCAAGCCACCAAGGAGAGGGACAGAGGTAGAGGGCGAGAGCAGAGTGAGAAAAAAGAGTCAAAGTGACAAAAAGGAAACCCGACGACCACGGGGGG